AAATATTGGCCACAGTGTAAAAAATATTCATAAACTTACAGTTTTCTGTAAGCGTGTGCGTGCGTGTGTGTGTGTGTGTGTGTGTGTGTGTGTGTGTGTGTGTGTGTGTGTGTGTGTGTGTGTGTGTGTGTGTGTGTGTGTGCGTTTCTTTACCAGATTCAACTTGTTAGGCCCTTTCAGGTCCAGTATTGACGCCACCTTTACTGGAGTCTAGCAGATGTTTCAGGTCCAAATATAATCTAAAATATTAGGATAAGCAGAAGAGAAAAAGTGCAAAGACAACAGCAAAACATTATTTAAGTAAAAGTTCACCCACAATACAAAACTTATCACCTTCATGTCATTTGTTATTCTCTAATGCTCTAATACCCTCTCAGCTTATTGTGAAACAAATACAGAAATTTATCAAACATACCTTCATTATTATCACCACATATGACCAAGAAGGTGTGCTTGGTCATTTCACCAACTCTGGAAATACACCATCCGTCTCTAATCAGCCACCGTCACAGGGTCTTGTGTTATTGTACAGAGAACTGTGGCTGTTAAAAAACAACAACACATTAGTATCTAACACATATGCATAACCTTCAGATAAAAAAGAGAGAAGAACATCACAAAGTATGCCTCACACATTTTCACATATCTTTTGATTCAGATGTTGATTATTGATAATAAATCTACAAATCAAACCTGTATCATCATTAGGCTGCTCAAATATGAATCAGTTGATTAATTTTACAGACAGGTGGCTGTTTACAACGCACTAATAAAACGGAAATGTTGTGTACAGTACATGCTAAGTTTAGCCTATAGTTTTAAGCACAATATCATGCGGGAGAAAAAGCTTGACTAAGATGTTCCTGACAACAGAAATAGCCTAACTTACTAACGTCAGACATCCCGAGTTGGGAAAAGTCATTTTCGGGGGATACAGAGTTGATTTGCGGGAGGTAGCGGGAGAGATGAGTACCTGAAGAGCAATGGGATGAGCTGCGCGCGACGTACCTGAAGAGCGGTGGGGGTGACTTGAGCGCGACGTACCTGAAGAGCTGGGAGGGATGCGGTGGAGAGGGGCGTGCAAAGTGTTTAATGACCGGGCGGGAGACGCGCGATTTCCGGGAGATGATCATTCATTTGCGGGCATCTACTTGGGCATCTGGGAGTCTCTGTGCATTTGCGGGATAACGTTAACGTTAGTCCCGCAACTTCCGGGAGACTTCTGTAACGTTAAATGTCTGATAAAGTGCAAACGCGGTCATTTAAAGACATTAATGTTAACATTCCGACTTTAATGGTTGTCAACACTTAATATAATTCAAGCGTACGTTATCACACGAGTCTAAGTTATGGACTAACGTTAACGGTATATGGACGGCCACGAATGAACCAAAAGGGCCGAGGTGTTTAAAATAACCAAATTAACGTACACGAATAACAAACAATCATTTGTTTCAGTCAGGAAGCCTTTTACAAGTAAGCATATGTTCATTTACTCACCAGATATGTTTTAGAAACTCTCCAGAGCTTATGGAAACCGTCCTGTGTTGCCGTTAGCATCCGGGCAGAGTAGGCTAACGTTAGGCTGCTCCGGGGATTCCCTCGCTAGTTTGCTTAGAATTAAAGGAGAAGTGTCGATTTTATTTTACAGATGGGTAACAACGCACAAAATGGCATTAAGCGTGACAGAAATGTGCTGAACATGTACATTTGATGTTTTTATGCACTATGTATGCGTGAGCATATATAAAAACATTCTTGAAAAGAAGTCAATAGTAATGCAGTTAAGCTAGATACACAAACGACCATGAATGAACCACAGAAGTTTAAAATTGTCACTCCATTCTAAAGTTATTAACTTAACAACATGTTTACAACTGTATTTCCTTAAAGAAAGTCAGTAAAATACCAACATTTAGGTAGTTTGACTCACCAGTTGCTGTTCTAAACCTCAGATGGAAAATGGCGTCTGGAAAATTCTTCAGTGACTGGGGCTGCATGAATTCCCGGATGTTGGAAATAACACCACCAAGTGTAGAAAAGATAACTCCTTGATTTCGCACTGAATAAAATCAATTCTAACTCTTATTATATTCATTTATCAAAATCTAACTCTTTAACGTCAACACTTTACTCTCAAATGCTTCAACACCGAGAATTTAACTCTGATGAATTTGCTGTGTACTCATTCTAGTTTTTGGCTGCGCTCCCCAGCTGTAGCTGCACATAAGATAACACTTCTTGAGAGTTGCATAATGGCTCTTAATTCATGACAATGACACACAAATGCTTTTGAAAGCGAGAGGTTTGTGAAGACTCGTCACTTTGTCTTGTTCTCAATGGCTGAGCAGGTAATGGTTCAGTCATTGCCATCGTCAGCCAGCAGGAAGCCTCTGGTATAAAGGAAAAACCATCTCCAAAGTGAGCTTGATTTAGGACATGAAATGTTTCCTGTCATTTGGATGGTAAATGATGTAGTTTTAATACTTTTTTGTACTGGGAGTGAGGAAATAAGAAAGTACAGAGAGTGCAGTACTCTGTTAAAGCCCAGAAAGATGCACATTTTATATACTTACTTAATGTAACCCAACAGTCTTTCCGGACCCAACCTGGTCTGATGCTGGGATCGAACTGGCGATTCTTTGTATGAGAGTCAGTTGTTCTAACAAGAAGGTTACAGACCATGACCTCTAGCATCTGTCGCTAGACCACCTTTTGGGGTCACAGGAGTCATAGGCTGATTAAACTTCTGTGTCATGCGTACGGTCTGGCGCAGACTTTGCCAAAAATGTAACTACATGTCGCAACGACATGTAGCGCAAGCCCTGTGATTGGTCGGCTTGGTAGCTGTGACCAGTGTGGGCAGGACCAAGAGCCGTGCAAACCTGTTGGAGTGAGTGTTTACAGGTGCGGAGTCTCGTGAAGTTGCTTTAGATGAAAACTGTTGTTTTGTGTTTACCTTATGATTAATGTTATTGCACATCAGCCAGCTCCTGCCTCTAAATGAGCGAGTGTCAGCTACTTGTTAATAAAGGTAGCGTTTAAAAAAAGAAAGAAACACGGCACAGAAGAACATAAAAACCTACTGCCAGCTAGCGTTTAAGAAGTGTTATTGCAGAGCAACACAAACAGCATGCAGATGTTTGTCATTGTGAAGCATGCATTGTGTGTCACGCCGATCACTCGACGCAGAAGTATAAATCAGCCTTGAGATTTACCTGCATAGCACTTTGCTAGCTGACCTTTTACACTCACCCCCTAAACCTCACTCCCATCCCGGACGAGCCACCATGTGTAACCCACCGGTTTTTCTGCACCCAAACTGGTCTGAGCTGAGGTGATTCTTTGCATGGGAGTCTTTTGCTCAAGACCACGTCTGTTGCTAGAGCAGCTTCAGATGTCAGAGGAGTGAGGTTTACCTGCTAAACACTTTGCTAGCCGGCCTCCATTACATTAATTAAATAATTATAAGAGTAAGTTTTGCATAATTACGTGCAATAATCATAAACAGAAGTTCAAAGTCTGTTCTACATGTATGTTGTTAATTAATAGTGTTCTTTAATTAAATGCACAATTACACACCATAACAAGGCCACTTAAAATATAGTGTAGCTGCCTCAAACATAGTACACCAATGTACACACTTCAAGCTCTGATAGATCTATTTCTCATCATTTTAATTGAAACCATGATCATTGGTGATTCGAAAGAATGTACAATGGCCTTCAGCTCTTTGAAAGTCAAAAAAAGGTTAAGCCTTTGTACATGAGGTGAGATCTTGTGAAGCAAAACTATGAGTCTGTTCTGTAAACTGAACATTATTTGCAACTATCACCTCCACATTACTCCACAGCCCCAGCCAAAGTTTGAATAGCTGTGTCCGAAATCACCTACAGTACTCAGTAGGTACAGCATTTGAATTTAAATGTACTTCTTGACCGTTAGAAAAGTACATTCTATACAGTATGAATGTCAGTAGTATGAATGGAACTCATACTACATCCACAATTTTGTCATCATCACGTGACCTACAGTTAGTAGTGCAGAATAGTGTAGAATGTCACACTTCAGAATGTCGCCGGAAGTAGTATGTCATCCGGGTACTTCTCGCATACTGTTTTATGAATTTGGACATACTACTCTGCTCGTATACTTTTTTAGCATACTATATAGTATGGAAGTATACAATATGGATGCAGCCTATGTGTTCACGACAGTCTGGAGCACATGTTACTTGTCGCATAATGATGAGGTTTGAGTGGGAACAAACTTCCATCTGGGCTGATACGGATTGTTTACAACAGGACACGTTTCGTTGTGTTGTTCAAAATGTGTTGTACTTTAAGTGTACAGTTCCTGGATGCTGCAATGTATATAAGAAAAACTGGTTAAACTATCAGGAAACACTTTCTATTTCTACTTAAGAATATTTTTCATAGACATTTTGGTTTCCAGTAGTTCTGGTTACTAATAGTTTTATTTAGAGATTTTAAGAAATATGAATCAAGTTTTCAAATTCTTTTATAAAAGGTCTTTACAAACATTGTTTGTTTTTCTTGTCTTTTTTTGAGAGCTAAAACTGAATCATTAAACCACATTGATAAAAATAATACATATGAAGTCTTCATTTGCCAAAACACAACTTATAAATCATTTTCATAATTTTTTTTCCCAAATGAGCTCTCACTGACTTGTCCATTTGTGCAAATTAACTTTTAATATGCAACAGTTTATTCATTTAGTATTCAAGATTTGATAAAGTGGTGACTGTACAGTATTTCTCCAGGTTTTTTAAAGCTAAACCATTGAAAGAGCATGCTTCAATTGTTCACATTCTTAAATAAAGTATGTTTCTAGCTTAAGCCTCTAGGGCATTTATAATTTTAATTTGGCTAGGCTAGAGCAATTTTAAAATAAGTCCAAATTAATTGTCTCTCCCCACTCAGGATTTGCATGTTTGAAATGATATTTTAATCCTAAAATTGTTTTTGTTCTGGCAGGACCCAGCAGGGATCTTCGAGTTGGTGGAGGTCGTGGGCAACGGCACCTATGGACAAGTTTACAAGGTGAGTCATAAGGAGAGATGAAGGGTGAGAAAAGGAGAGATATCGACAATAATACATGACGCCACAGTAATTCAATTAAACCTCCATTTGTGTTCTGTGAGGAAATGCGTGATGTGGTGTGATGAAGGTTTCGGTGGGAGATGGATTAGAGATGCTGCTGGTACATGAGTAACAGAGGACAGTAGTGCTGTAAAGCAGTTGTGTACGTGAGGACATGTGTGAGAATGTCATTGCACTCTCAGCATGGTGCAGTAACACACCGACTGCCTCAGATCATTGCAGCTGCGCTCAGACCTGTCAATACTCGCTCTTGAGATGATGAAGTCCCCTGCACAAGAAGAACAGCTTAAATTGTGTCATTTTTGCACCTCTAGTGACAAATAGGGATGCTTCTATTAGTGTTTTTGCCAGTATTGACTACCGGTTTGTTGACCATCAAAATACTGATTATTCAAGCTTGTATGCAAGTCAGATAAAGTAATGCAATAGACATCACTTGGCTACATAGTTTACAATAATGTCCATATTTTGGTGAAACTTTACATTAAGGTTGCATTAGTTAATGTATTTACTAACATGAACAAACAATGAACAATACTTTATTACGGTATTTATTAGAGCTGCACAATTAATCGTTAAAAGTTCGCGATCTCGATTCGACCCCCTAGACGATCTTAATCCAGCATTTCTACGATTCTGCCAATCATATTTTCAAGTTCAGGAGAGAAGAAAAGGCGGCTGCACAAGTCTTTTCATTGTTTCACACACGTTGCTCAGTGACATTGACACCTCCAAATGATGTTGAATGAGTCACATACTGTATTTATGAGGTGTAATTTACCTAAAAATGTAATTTTTGTCTTAATATAATGATGTTTTCGCGATCGGGAAAGCACACGTGACATGAGCTGCTGATCGTGACCTGTTATCATAGAGAGGGCGCGCGCGCACCTACTTTTGTGATCAGAACCTGCATATGTTGCGAGTAACAGGTAATACAGTTGTAAATAATATTTAGTTTGTGGCACAGAGTGATCGTTTGGGAGCCGCGCGCGAAGTATGAACAAGCACTTAGCAGTCAGAATGAAACCGAAAGTCATTCATTTTAAATGATCATATCGCATTTTAGAGTTATGGTTAAGACAAGCATTTGATGTTTTTTCTTTCATAGCGAACCCACAGTTGTGCATGAAAATGAATGTTTACAATGTCAGTATAAGTACTCTAGCTTATATATTGTTGAACATAATCTGATAATGGCAAATGTCTGATTTTACCAGTGAATAAAATTGTCTAATATGACAGATTGCAAGCATATATCTCAAACATAATTCAACATCAGAATTATTATAAGTAGAATACAATTAGTTATAGAAACCAGTAGACCTACACATAATATTATTATCGAGGTTGTGCCATATGCTTGTTTTTACCATACCTTTAGAATCGTGAGAAAATCGTGATCTTTGTTGTAAGCAAAAAAATCGCGATTCTCATTTTAGCCAGAATCATGCAGCTCTAGTATTTATTCATCTTTAACCCTGCATGCCCATGTTGGGCATGTTTTTATCCAGTCTTGGATGACTTTGTGGCTTATTTTGGCCAAAACACTCAGCAAATGGGATAACAATAATAATAATAATAATAATTAATAATATTACCTTACATTCATATAGCACTGTTCTAGACACTCAAAGCGTTTTACACGTCCACCACCAGTGACAGCAGCCATATTGCGCCAGACTGCACACCAGCTGATTGGTGGAGAGGAGACAGAATGATGAAGCCAATTATGATATGGGGATGGTTAGGAGGCCATGATAAACAGAGGCCAGTGGGCAAATTTGGCCAGGATGTTAGGGTTAAACCCCTACTCTTTTTCAAAGGGCATCCTGGGATTTTTTTTCACCACCACAGAGAGTCAGGACCTCGGTTTAACGTCTCATCCAAATGACGACACTCACTGAGCAATATAGAGTCCCCTTCACTATACTGCTGCGTTGAGACTCACACAGACCGCAGGTTGAGCGCCCCCTGCTGGCCTTACCAACACCACTTCCAGCAACAACCTAGCTTTCCCATGTGGTCTCCCATCCAGGTACTGACTGGACGCAGCCCTGCTTAGCACCATTGGGTGAACATGTTGGAGTTACAGAGAGCTAGCTTCTGACAAATGGGATTTTTTATCGTATTCCTACACATAGTTTGGGGAAATGCTTTAGAGTATTGTTGAGTTTTTCAAAAATTCCAAAGCTAATTTTTTTTGCGTGAAAATGATGATCAACAGTAAAAATCACACATTTGACCTCTTTCCATCAGCGACACCAACAACAATCAAGAATGGAGGATTATTTGCTGTCGTAGCTTTGCATTCAAAAAATGTGTAATGTAAATCAGTGGGGCAAAAACAGCCGCAAACATAACAAAAGGGTGGTACATGTGAACAATACACAAGGATTAATGAAAATAAAGTTGTTCATTATTAGTTTGTTACCTCATAGTGCTCTAAATATTGTTTAATATAAAAAAAGTTTAACACACACGAATTTAGATTTTTGTAGTGCCTAAGTAAATGTTGAACTGTGATTAATAAATGCTGTATATAGTTCCTTAATATTTTATATTAGTGAATACATCAACTAATGAAACCTTATCGTATAGATCATTTTGAGGCATGTAAACAATAACAATTGTCCTAACGTATTTCCTATTTTACATTTTTTAACTTCCCTAGTTTCTGAGAATTTACCAAGGTCCACATATTGAAAAATAATGTTATAATAGATGTTTTAACATTAAGTTATGACTGAATTGCCTCTTGTTACAGTTATGAAATTGTTTGATAACAAGCAGAACACTTCATGGGTCAGTGCCATCACCACATTGAAATGGTCTGTAGTCTGACCATGTTTTAAAATTGTGAATACAATAATGTATATTACAATAAGCCTAAAAAAGACAGACTTATTCAAAATGTTGCAAGACTTTGGTTGTGAAATAGCCTACAAGACAGTCAAACATAACTGTAGACTAAAAGGTGTAACCGCATGTTATCCAAGATGTCAAAATGAATTGTTTTGTGTTTGGAGAAATAGAAAGTATGTCACATTCTGGCGACACAGATAAAACATGTCGGTCTTCTGCAAGTTCTGCAGAAACTCCTGTTAGAGTCACTGAAGCTTAAAAATGCATCTCTAACTTTCACTGTTTCAGCACTTTTATTGTTTATGATGAAAAATCTTGAGCATGCAGGCAGTAAACATGAGCACTCAAAACTATAACAGCAGTGAGTGAATTAGTGATGGGTCGTTCTTGAACAATTAGTTCATTTTGAACCAATCTTTAATGTCACTCAGGAACGATGAGTCCTCTCAGAGAGTGATTTGTTTATTTGCACAGGTGGAGAGAGGATTAGCTCCTTTTCAAATCAGATTTTTCAAGTCTTCTGTCAGGTTGGAGTCTTCATTCATCATGTGAAAGACTTATAACTAAGCCTATCCTACTGTAGGCAGTCAAAGCTGGAAAAAGATTTGATTCCTTCATCTCTCGAGTCCTTAGGTTTTTGAGTCGTTCATCTCTTTACATGTGACTTGATGGCAGGATCGGATACAGAAATTAATAAATGATTTCTAATCCTTCTTATACGAATCCTCCTTTATATATTTATATGGTCATATATTTTGGTTTACTTAGATTAATTATGACTATTTTATGTCTAATGTGTTTTAAACAGTGAGCTTATAAACATGTACTGATATTTATACTTCCCTTTTTAATAAGTATATCTGGGTTTATGTCAAAGGGGTGGGGCTTCGCCTTTAAAAGGCAGTCCCAAATGCTAATTCACTGTCAGTTAACCTCTTTGTGACTTGTCAGTGTATACTAGTGTGGTTGTAAATATATTGTTAGTTTGTTTGCTGTTTATTTGTTCTTTTATTTTTGGTTATTTTGCTGGGTTTTTGGGTTATTTTGTTTTTCACTCTCGTACATTGTAAATAAACCATCACTTTGCACGTCACATTAGCAAGTAGTAGTTTTTTTTTTTTTTTTTTTTTTGAGGTTTTCTCGCTTTACCATACATGAAGAACCCACTACGAGCCTTTCTGGTTCGTCAACCTCACATTATTGCATTATTATTAATACTACTGTATATTTTTGTGCTAAAGTTCTAATTTTAGAGTGTAGCTCTGTTTTTAAATGTTTGAAATTCAGTTTTTATAAATGTGATAATAGAGTTTTTGGACAGAGTTTAAAAACTTTGTATATGATGAAGATAATTAACTTAACTTAAGATAATTTTGATTTCAATTAATCTTTCATATGATGAAACCCAAACATTGAATCGAGACAACGAATGATATAATTGTCAGTCAGACTGCATGGGTTAAGCTTTATATGGTGCTGACACATGATAAACAAAGAACTTAAAGACTCGATCTGTGAACTAATCATGGGTCTTTCCGGCTCCGATTGCATTCATTAGTTAAGCTTATGGGACTGTCAGTGTCATGTGAATGAATGACTCAAACTTGAAGACTTGTCAGATAAGAGGTGAGCTGAGCTAATTATACTGTACACAAAATAACAAGGTAAACAACCAAGTATTCTGCTTTTATTCATAACATTATAGTATTGACTTTGTACTGTGATCAAGGTTTGTTTGATCTCTAGTTTGACATGTTTGAGAAGCAACTTGTAACATTTTGGCAAATTGTCTGAAATGATTCAAAAAAAGATTAGTTCATCCTGCTGAACGAGACTCAAAGTTCAGAGTTTGTAAAGTGATCTGAACTTCCCATCACTACATTAAAGTATTTCTCTTCTAAATAGCTTCCAAGTGGGGTTTTTTTCATGCTAATTTCATCACCTGTTTGTCAGTCTGACAGATACTCTTAGTCCAATCTCACTTCACTGTTAATGTCAAGCTGGTCTTAATAGTTAAGTGCACAGAGACCTGAGTTCGATTCCCAGCTGGTGGTTCGACATTCTTTGCCAATCCTTCCCTTCTCTTGACTCCCCATGCATTCCTGTCTCTCTCTTTCTCGCTCCACTTTTCTATATAATAAAGGTTAAATACCCCTTAAAAAACTGCAGTGAGAAAGTCAGGGAGTTAATGCTTTCATGACCGATTAATATACAAATGATTTACATCTAGTCTGCATGTTATTCTAGCATAGAAGTATTTTAACAAAGAAGAAAAAAATTGGAATTGACTTTTAAGGAGCCATGTGACCTGTCATTATACATTCAGACTCATGTAGTGATTTTAACCCTACAGGCCTCTGTAATTATTGCAGTGTATGACATGAGCCTTCTTTAAATTGTTTGTAAGGTGTAATTTATACTTCAGGCTCTATTGTTTGGAGAATGTGTCATTTATAAGCTGTAGTGAGGATATTGTTTATGTCATGGTGTATAATGAGCATGTACGGTAGTTTATAAAGGGATATGGCAAGTGATGAATGTGTGGCTTGCGGAGAGACGGCGAGGTGGTTTATCTAGTTTAGCTTTAGAGTTGAATATTTAGTTTATAGAACAGTATACAATGTGAAATTTGGAATTACACATGCTATTGTGATAATTCAGTAACATGGCATTTCACGAAACAATGTGTTTTCACTGGAATGGCCATTTTGCAAAAATTAAGGTTGCAAAGAAAAGAAAGTCTGCATTGGCATAATTTTTTACAGTGGTGTATGTGTGTGTGTGTGTGTATATATAGTATATATATATATATATATATATATATATATATATATATATATATATATATATATATATATATATATACTGTTCGTGTTGTCCAAAAAATAATTGGAGATAGTATATGGGAAAATAAGGTGCATTTCCAAAAAAAAAAAATCAGTTTGATTAAAAAAAAAAGACTATTTGGGTCTGTTCATTTGTCTAAAAATAAAGCCTTTTTTACTATAATCAAAATTGATATTTTGTTATAGTATATATTTAAAATTCACTTTAATTTTCTACAGATAGTATATATATTCAATCTTTGTTACTTCTCAAGATTCTTTAATGAAAGGATATTTGGTAACCTAATGAATGTCTTTTCACTCACTTTTGATCAGTTTAATACCTCTATACTTAATATGGTGTATATTCTGCTGACAGGGTGTTAATTATTTGTAAATTTAGGCTCTGTTACTTGCCGATTCATTTTTTAATTTTTTTTCCTGTTTCAGGGTCGTCATGTTAAGACAGGTCAGCTGGCAGCCATAAAAGTCATGGATGTGACTGAGGAAGAAGAGGAGGAGATTAAAGCGGAGATTAACATGCTGAAGAAGTACAGTCACCATAGAAATATCGCCACCTACTATGGAGCCTTTGTGAAGAAGAGTCCTCCTGGACACGATGACCAGCTCTGGGTCAGTTTGCTTCCTCAAATCTCTAAACTTGATCTCCAGCATAACCTGTGACTCCTGATCTCATAATTACTCTGATAACTTCTTTAAAAAACAGCATTAATATATTGTGCTCTATTGCAGCTACAGTCTGCCATTAACGGAAGTGATTTAGCTTGAAAATTTTCGAGGTCATGGTCTCTTTTATTTGGAGGAACCACTGGCCTGTATCAGCTTGCAGTTTTATAATGATGTGTATTTTGTGTATTTTTCTTTAGTTGGTGATGGAGTTTTGTGGTGCCGGCTCAGTAACAGACTTGGTGAAGAACACAAAAGGCAACTCTTTAAAAGAAGACTGGATCGCCTATATCTGCAGAGAGATCCTTAGGGTGAGACTCTTTAAGTCTCTTTTTATTGCAGTGACTGTTATTATGCAGTGGTAATGAACATCTAGTTGTTAGCTCATTTGTTTTGCAATAACAAACAATGAATTTAAATCACTGTGCTATTTATTGTTACTTTCCTAAAGTGTAAATGATGCCAAACGTTGGTTTAAATAAAAAAGTACTATCTCACTGAACAGAATGCTTTAGTGATATAGCAATATTACTGTGCTATTAATACAAAAGTTTGTGGATTTATTTTTCATAATTGATTTCATAATCAATTATTACATCAGACGCAAGATGCAGAAATATTTGGACATCGACACAATTCTAACGCTTTTAGCTCTATACACCAAATCAGGTGTAGGAAATACAACAGTTTGCATATGTGCCTCCCACTTGTTGATGCTGCGTTCACACCAGATGCGGCACGCGCGTCAAGCGCGAGTGATTTACATGTTAAGTTAATACAAACGCGCGAATAGACATCCTGCGGCGCGAATGATGAGAATTGCGCATGGCGCGAATGGCTTGGCGCGAATTGATGGTTTTGTGCGTTTGACGCGCTTAATGCGCGTTTCGCGCAAATCACTCGCGTTCGAAAATCTGAACTTCAGCGGACATTCGCGCCGCGTTAACCAATCAGGAGCTTGCTCTTGTGGGGGCGTGATTGTGACGTATCGCCTGTTGTCGGTGTCCCAGGGGAAATCCCCCAGCAGACACCGACAAGAAGTTCATCAAACTGGGCTGGGCTCAGTCAGAAGCACCGCTGAAAACCTCCATCAGCCAGGTTTAGTTTCTGGAGGAGTCTATGAGGTTAAAGAGCTGGATGCACCTCTGAAAGGATGTAGTGGACTCAGACACGGCTCTAAACGTATCGACGCTGTTTATCATCCTTCATAAAGCACATAAACACTGTTATTTTCTTCATAAAATCCATGTTAGCCCTTTAGCTATGAAGCTAGAGTCACGCGGCAGACAGAAGCCCTGCCCATCACGCGAATCCGTGTCTGTTCTGAAGTGAATTTGACACGCGAATGAAGCAGGGTTTGATGCGCGAATGAAGCGGGGTTTGACGCGCGAACGAAGCGAGTAACCTCAAATGTTCACGCGACTATTTACGCGAGAATAGCGCAATTTATTCACGCGTTCCGCGTCTGGTGTGAACACAGCATAAGAGTCCAAAAATAATGGGACAGAACAACAATAATAAATCAAACCTTGATTTTTTAATAATTGGTTGCAAATCCTTTGCAGTTAATTACAGCCTTAAGTCTGGGACACATAGTCATCACCAGATGCTGGGTGTCATTCCTGGTGGTGCTCTGCCAGACCTCTACAGCAACTGTCTTCAGTTCCTGCTTGTTCTTTGGGCATTTTCCCTTCAGTTTTGTCTTCAAAGTGAAATTCATGCTCAATGGGATTTAGGTCAGGTGATTGACTTGACCATTGCATAACATTCCACTTCTTTCCCTTCAAAAACTTTTTGATTGCTTTTGCAGCATGCTTTGGGTCATTCTCCATCTACACTGTGAAGCACCATCCAATGAATTATGAAGTATTTAGCTTAATATGAGCAGAAAATATTGCCTGAAACACTGCAGAATTCATCCTGCTGCTTTTGTCAGCAGTCACATCATCAATAAATACAAGAGAACCAGTTCCATTGACAGCTATACATGCCCACGCCATGATAATATACCACCATGCTTCACTGCTTAGGATCATGAGCAGTTCCTTTCCTTCTCCATACTCTTCTCTTCTCATCACTCTGATACAAGTTGATCTTGATCTCATCTGTTCATAGGATGTTGTTCCAGCACGGTGAAGGCTTTTTTAGAACTCTAATCTGGTCTTCCTGTTTTTTGACTGTTGACTTTGACATACATACACCTACCTCCTGGAGAGTGTTCCTGATCTGGTTCCTGATCTGGTGAACTGCTGTGAAGGGTGTTTTCTTCACCAGGGAAAAAATTCTTCAGTCAATTACCACAGTTGTTCCTGTGGTCGTCTGGGTCTTTTGGTGTCGCTGAGCTCACTGGTGTGTTCTTTCTTTTTAAGAATGTTCCATAGAGCAGGTTTGGCCAAGCCTGATGTTTTTGCTATTTCTCTTATTGACCTTATTCTAAAATGCGGAAGTGCGCCTGTTTTCGCGATTGTCTTAGAACTTCCGTTTCAGTCGCCTATGGGAGAAATGACAAGGAATAATTAACGGCAAAAAACGGTCTAACTACTCGCTCTACAAACAAATGTTTGCATGACTATACAGACCAAGTAGAATAATATAACAAGGAAATATCAGTTTTCAACAGCAAACAGCGAAACGAGCAGTATTTAATGTCTAAAAATGAATGGAAGTGAATGAGACCGGAAGTCTCGTGCCAAAAAATTTCAAATGGCAGTGCCCACTCGTCTGCGGAGAATAAGGTCAATAGGTTTGTTGTGCTTTTCAGCCTAATGATGGCTTGCTTGACTGATAGTGACAGATCTTTGCATCTCATTTGAGAATTGACAGTAACAGATCTGCTAATTAGGATAGTTAGGGAATAGTACACCTGGCCATGGGACAGCTTAGAAGCCAATTGTCCAATTATTTTTGGACCCTTAACAAGTGGGAGGCAAATATGCAAACTGTTGTAATTCCTACAGCGTTCACCTGATTTGGATGTAAATACCCTCATATTAAAGTGGACAGTCTGCAGCTAAAGCACATCTTGGTTGTTTAATTTCAAATCAGTTGTGTTGGTGTACAGAGCCAAAAATGTTAGAAGTGTGTCATTGTCCAAATATTTATGAACCTAACTGTATATATTATATAGACGAAAATAAAAAGTCTGTAATTTCATATTATACTCTATCATTTATTTCGTGGTCAAAATGCTTTGTTCACGGCAATACTTTTTCATCATTTGGATGACTCCGATCTTACACACCACTATGAGGATGGGGAATAACATAGTTGTTTGAAAGTTGCAAGCTTAAAGTACAATGTTTAGATTGTATTTTATTTAGCTGTGTTTTATGTTGATTAATTAATTGATTGAATTTGGATTGGAAATTAGATTACTTAAATTGTGAATTTTGCCATATTGTCCATCCCTAGCTTTTTGTGTAATAATCAGAATCAGAAAGAGCTTTATTGCCAGGTATGCTCACACATACAAAGAATTAGTTTTAGTGAATAGGTAATAAATAAGTATTAAATGTTGAACATAATATAGTTTACTGTGGCTATTCTAGAATATTATGAATACATTGTGCAATTATATGGTTTTATCTGCTTTCTGATTAGATCATAGGTCTCAAACTCGATTCCTCGAGCGCCGCAGCTCTGCACAGTTTTGCTTCAACCTTAATCAAACAGCTAATCCAACTAATCAAGTTGTTCAAGACTACTAGAGACTAATAAGCAGGTGTGAATTGGAGCTAAACTATGCAGAGCTGCGACCCTCCAGGTATTGAGCTTGAGATGATTGGATTAGACTTAATATCATACCCATACCATATACCAAAAATAATTTCAGGGTCAGATTTTATGATTAAAAAATTTTCTAAAATGCATAAACTTCATAAGACAAAAATGTCTACATACTATGAAGTTTTTAGAAATAAACATATTAAGCACAACTACTGGACCTCCCAAGGCTATAGCTTTACCATATGTCTTCTTTAGCACATTTTGCAAGTAAGAACCTTTCTCTATAGTCCTTCAGAGAATTGTGCCACTCATGAGACACAGATTTTGCTTATTCGGTATCTTTTAATCCCCTCATACAAGCCCACGTCAACAAGGCCATATATTGCAAGAACAGACAAGAGTTGTTTGTTTTTTTTAAGGTGAATGTGGGAGAGGCTTGAAAATAAAATTATAAGGAATTGCTTCGTTTACTGTAGAGTTTGTTTTTTCAGTCAGTATATCCATCATAAAAGTGCACAATTAACTACAATAATCTTAATTAATATTAAAAATATGCATTAAAAATGCAATTATTTTTAAGAAACATAAGAATGTACTTTTATTGTGGATCTAAAACCTATTATTCTCAAAAATCTGAAATTGCACATTGGATTAAATTGACGTGACGCCTATGGACTATAATGTGATTGAATGACTGAAAAAAATGCTGGTTAGAAATAGAAATTTAGTTTGATGTAATTAATTATATATTTGATGTCGAACAGCCAGTCAACACTGTCTGTCTGCTCCTCAGGGTCTGTCTCACCTCCATGCTCATAAAGTCATCCACCGAGACATCAAGGGACAGAATGTGCTGCTTACAGAGAACGCAGAGGTTAAACTGGGTGAGTGGGATATTTGCTCGACACGCAATGAAAAACACACACTCTCATTACCTTCAGTTTAGCTCTTATCTGATATGGAGATATCTGATTTGTGTAGCTGTATTTTGTGTGTGTTGTCTAGCCTATATCCTATATCCTTCATTTCGTTTAACAACTAGAGCAAAGCACCGAAGCTCATTAATGTAGGCCTGACACCATGACAAAAATATCTTCACATCACAACCTGAGGGAGAGTGTGGCGGAAGTGGAAGAGTCTGCGTGTGTGAGGTGGAAGAGATTAGCATAGATGAATATAAACATCTTGGCTGCGCAACAGGTTTCATAAGAGCGCTTGAAAGCAGAAATGGCCCTGTAATATTACAGACTCTGATTGCTTCCGCTTTTTCTTTTTTTTTCTTCTCACTCTCTGTGTAGTGGATTTTGGGGTGAGCGCACAGTTGGATCGTACTGTCGGCAGAAGAAACACTTTCATTGGCACTCCATACTGGATGGCCCCAGAAGTCATTGCCTGTGATGAAAATCCCGACTCCACCTATGATTACAGGGTAAAATGAGCTTCTGACTGTTGATGCACACTAAACTGTTCAAAAGTTTGGGGTCAAGAGTTTTTTTGAAAGAAGTCTTTTATGTTGAACAACATTGTTTATTTGATGTAAAGTACAGTGCAGGGTGTCCCCAGACTCTTCAAAATCTTAAATAAAAAAATAATAATAATGGTGTAGGCCTTAAAAAGTCAAAGAAATATTGTCCTAAATCATTTTAAACAGGTCTTATAATGTATTTTGAACAGATCTTATAATAGCTTTATAACTAATATGGTTTGATTATATTCTTTGCAATGTCCCCATCCCATATGGTCTATAAATAAACAGAGAACATTTAAACAAAAGTTCTCTGTGTATTTATAGACCATATAGGATGGAAACACTGACCTGGACAGACTGTTGTCCATAAATTTGGGATAATATATTTTTAGGAGTTATTTTATATGTTTCTGGATTATTTAGAAAAGTTATGTTGAAATAAATTGTGTATAAAACTAGGATTTGCTTGTTTGACACATTATTTTAAATATGTGGTTAAGAAATAACTAAATAGAATTTTTTTTCATTGGGCAAATAAAATATTTTCAAAACCTACCAGACCATAAGAAAAAAAAATCATTCATAATAGTCTTAAAAATGTTTTAAAGTCTTAAATTGGACTTTGTGAAAACTGCAGAAAGGCTGTAGTAAGATTAGTGAATGTGGATTTTTATTTATTGTTTTATTAAAGAATACAGAGTTAATAAAGTACAGTACAGCGTAAAGGGGTTTATTTTATGTTAGTCCATCAATTTCCAGCTACCTTAATAAATGTTAATACATGTATAAACATTGTTAGGACATATAAAAGAGGAAAGATCAAGTTCTGTCTGGTTCTCAAATCTTCGCTGATAGCTGTGCAATATTCCCGTAATAACAGCACACTCGCACAGCCTCCTCACCTTTGTGTATTACTCCGCCCACATAGAGTGACAGCAGATCAATTAACTCACTACAGTTTGAAAAATAATGCAGCTGTTGGACAACATAATGTACTTATGAGGCTTTTTTTATGCGAGAATGTAGTTGTTTAGCTGCAGACTTGATTGAGTGGCAGAAGTTCCTCATAAAAAAGAGTTTTTAGGCTCTCATTGTTGGATTTTCTTTTTTATATATATACAAGATTATGCCATTGAACTGTTGTATAAATGCAATATCATGTGAGTAGCAGTGCAATATGGCTTTACATAACGCACACCTCCCACCAGTGCCGATATACAGCCATATCGCACTGCTACTCATGTGATATTGCTGATACTGTATATATAATAAGATGGATAAAGAAAGAGGTGATGTTTTTCTGTTACAATATTTTAAAATATATATCCCTGGTGTGAAGAGCAGAAAAGGTGTTTTTTTTAATGCTTTACTCTTTACTATTGAGCCTCCTTCACAAATCATTCAAATATGCTGATTTGGTCCTCAATGAACAGTTTTGTATTTGATGTTTATGCTGGGAACAGTTGTTTTTATTATTCTTTGTAAAAACCATACATTTTTTTTAGAAATCTTTAATCAATTGAAATAAAAAGAACATTTATTTGTAAAAGAAATATTTTGTAAAAATTTAAAAGACTTAACTGTCACTTTTTTGTCACTTGTTGCTAAGTTAAAGTTTTAATTACTTTTAAACCACAGACTTTTGAATGGTACTTTACATTTCTGAGAGGTCACTGCCTGTTTTTTGTCTCTTTTTAAAAGGTGCCCTAAGCAATTTTTTATTTTATTTTTTCATTTTTAATATTAAGAAAAAAGTACATTTAAGGGAACGTGTTTATGTTTAACATACAAGTGGTCTAGATAGAGCTGCATTAAACTTTATATATTTTCTGCAACCTTTCTCATATTGGTTGCTTTGTTGGTATCACCTCACGCCCAGTTGCCAAATACTCATACCAGTAAAACTGCCAGTCAGCTTCTAATATGTGACATTTCGCTTGGTCATTATTTAGTGAAGTGATACTCAATGCTGCTCTTTGTTTGCTTTCAATGGGTATCATTACTCAGCAATGTTTGTGACCGCTTGTTGTCACAACGACTAACTGCTTATTAAACAACTAATTGCTGCCACTTTTAAGCTCATGGTAAATTTTTATGTTCATACTAATTTTTTATGGATGTTTCTTTTTATGAGGTCCAGGTTAATATACAATATGATTAGTATGTGAAGTATGATTATCAATCCATCCATCCATCCAACTTACTTCTCTTGTACTGCCAGTGATGTTTATGCAGCACAACAGTAACCATAGACTATGACTTTTGCATGAATTAAATAATGTTGTTTTTCTTTTCCTTTCAACAACAGAGTGATATCTGGTCTCTGGGAATCACTGCTATAGAAATGGCTGAAGGAGCACCTCGTAAGTACACTAATGTGGGGTTGTATTTGTTGACTTAAAGTCACAGTGTGGATTCAGATCTTAATATGAAGTAATTAAAATAATGAAATTAATGAAAATTAAAGTAATAAAATAATTATCAGTAAAAAAAAAACAAGTAAATAACTGTCAGTATCTCTCACCAGCAGCATCACCCACACTACTGTTGCTCCTGTTTTTAAGTGTAAAATTGAAAAGGGGTTGAATATATCAGTTTGTCCTGAGTTTGAAATGATAATCCTATTTGCAGTAAAAAACACAACAATACCTCGAAGGAAACTAAAATAATATCCATATTAAAGAACCCTGTTTATTATGTGTTGTTTCCTCTGCCGAAGTTCAACCCAAAAAGAAGAATACTGTATATCACTAATTTTTTTTTACCCTTTTTTACCTTGTCATTTGCAAATAATGTTTTAAATAATGTTTTTTTTTTGTCTGTGTCTGTCCCTCCATTTCTGTCTAAGCTTCCGTAAAACATATTTGACTGCAAATAAAAGCCTAAAGGATATCTGCTCAAACTAAAACAACTTCTTCTAAAACAACTATTTTAAAGTGCCTTTATTTTCTTGATTAAAATATCTGAAGTTATCTGGAGCATAGTATGTTATGGGTTTGTAACAACCTGAGGGTAAATAAATATAAGATAGAAATTTCGATTTGTGGGTAAGTGGCCTTTGATTCACATTTTATAAAACAAACCAATTAACCAAACAACACAAAATAAACGTTCTCCTACACTCATCCATGCTATGCCAGTCTAACAAATTAAATAATAAAGAAAGTAGTGATAAAAGAGACACATCCCTCATTTGGAATTTGTTTAAAAATCAAGATTATATTTGCATATTATATATTTTGTCAAGATAAATTTGGGTTTGAAATATTATTGTCATAATAATTTTTTTTAAATGTGTTTGAAAAAAATGTCTTGACTATGGGACAGCGTGACTAAAGGGGTTAAGTAGATTATTGTAGACCATCCAGCATAACTTAGAATACTGGTCCATTAGTTAATGTCAGTAATGCAGCGGTTATCAAAGTGGGACTCATGGGACAATGACGGGGTTGCTTGGTGATTTCCAACAGTCAAATAAAATTTATTAAACTATTAGAATTACTATAATTTATCCATGACCCACAGAAGATAAAAATAGTTGTTCATATTAACATAAAAAGACAACAACATGCAAATAAAAAGTCATCAGCCTTTTTTTTTCATTGGATTGGTGTGTTAACGTTAGATTAACAACACAGCAATAGCGTCAGCTGCAGTAGATTTTATAACACCAGGTTAAACTTTCTGACTCCTTAAATGCATTTAAAATAAACACAGGCCACAAGTTAACACTGAGAAGGATTTCTGAGTGGCGGTCTCCAAAACCAAGAATAGACTTGTGCGAAAACGTTTTGCCCACCTGTCTTAGCTGAGGTTAATATTAAATTAGACAAATTATTAAATAACTATGTAAAGTACTGCCTATGGTTGTTAGACTGTTGCACTTTTTTTGTGTTGGCAATATGATCATGTTTATATAGACCTATTGTTGTCTGCGCAACATTTCTATATTTAAAACCACCTCTGAGGAATGGGGGGGTCACAAGTCACTGGCATTGTTATTTTGGGGGTCGCGGTTTGAAAAAATAAGAAAACCCCTAAGTTAATGTATTTACTAACATTAACTTAATATGAATAATCTTGTAAAGAATTTATTAATACATAATTCAGCATTGACTAATGAATTATTAAAATCTAATGTGCTCGTTAACATTAGTTAATGCACTGTGAGTTAACATAAACTAACGTTGTTTAATTAACATTAACAAAGATGAATAAATATCATAATAAATGTATCACTAGTAGTTTGTTCATGTTAGAAAATACATTAAAAGTGCAGTAGGTGATCTGCCTAAATGCTTTGTGTTAGCATAATATCTTTGAAAACAGATGTACAAATCTACTTTTGTTAATAGATTGTTTGGCCTACTTATCAGAATTATGGGAATTATTGGTCCTCTTCTGCCATCCAAAGTCACACCTCCTGAAATCACGAACGCGCACATTAAGGATAACAGAAATCCGCTAGATCATGTCATTCGCCAGTTACTACATACTACAATTCTGAACGAAAATCTGTATTATATTGTATGTATTATACTGCACGTTTTCAGTTGTGTAGCGAGCAAAACTTGTCATAATGTGCAATATTCGTGCATGCAAGGATCGCTGTCTCACATGCTATGTCCTAAAGCCACTACTGTATGCTTAGTGGTTGGCCTGCGGCGTGCAGAAGTTACACTTATTACTAAGCCATACTTACATGCTATTTCAGACCGAATATTGAGAGTAGCATGGTGAACAATATAGGGAGCACGTCACAGGTTGTCATTGTTCAAAAATGAACAATCAGTAAAGCAGGCTTGGTAGATTAGCGCTATTTACTGATGTTTTGTTGTTAAACTAAATAAAAACTATCGACATGATTGATGCTGTAAAAGGTCCCTTATGAAACAGAAAATATTCACATCAATCTTTCGCCAGAAGGTTTCAGTGGCTTAACAACACTTGTGTGTGCGGATAACCCATTCATAACAACAAAATTCACATAAGCTTTGCATGACTAAAATGTAATTATCTTTCTAAAAGAAAAACTTCAGCCATGGTGTCGTCCTTCCTTTTATTTTTTTTTTCTTCAAACTTTTAAAGTTTTGATTTAGCATTTGTTTTTACGGCTGTCACTCACTCTCTCTGCTATGCATGTAAACGCGGTGTGTGTGTACAAGCAAACCTGCTACACCTTTAACTAATGGACCATTATTTTAAGTGTTACCAACAAATTAGATCTAGTGCTTGATCTGCACTCAATTGTGATGGTAACTTCTGCAGCACAGCACTTAGTCATAATCTCTCTCTCACACGGACAGCGTGTTGCAGCGGTCCAGTCACTGCTCCACTTGCGTTCATGAATTGTTGTCACCTCTCAAATCAGTCAGTCAGTCTGATAATTGGGCACACATGGGTGAAAGAGTCTGTTATCAGCGTGTTTGATTTTTGTGCTCTTTCCCTCAGCGTTGTGTGACATGCATCCCATGCGAGCTTTGTTCCTTATCCCACGGAACCCTCCTCCCAAACTGAAGTCCAAGAAATGGTGAGGACACCCTGTCTCAGCTGTTATTTTGAGATCAAGCTATATTTTCCTTCTTTCTTCCCTCCCTTTTTTTCCCCTTCGTCTATATATACACACACTGCATATGTATGATTGCTGCCGTCCATATAGCGGCTCTCGGTGTATGTGGTTTCCTCATGTAAGACTGCTTTTCAGACAGGAGTGAAAGTGTTTGCACTCACATCCACCTACATCTCTACACATGTGAACTGTTGTTGCATGATGTAAAATGCCTTTCTAACTTGATTTCATATAGGTTCTTCTTTTCTCTGTCGGTTGCAGTTGTCATATGTTGGCATGCCATACTTTAGTTTTCCAGTTATTTTTGTCCTTCTGGTCAGAGCCCTGCCCTTGAACAGCTGGTTATAAAAGTAAAGATGGAGCATATGTTGGGCAAGGATCCAGAAGAAAGACTTTTTATCAATTCTAAGCTATCAATTTTTGGGGGGGTGTAAGACAGAAATATACACCATAAAAATTAAAGGTGTCTGTAAAATATATAGGCAGTCAAATGTTTAGGGTCTGTTTTTTTTTTTTGTTGTTTTTTTTTTTTATAAGAAAATTATTCTGTTCATCAAGGCGACATTTATTAAATGTAAAAAAAAAAAATTGTTAAATATTTATTTATTAAATATATATTTAATACTTATTGTATGTGGTTTCAAATGAAATTATTACTCCAGTCATTGTTGCTTTTATTACTATTACCAATAATAATATTAATATTGTAAAAGGTGTATGATATGGTAGTACTAACACTTTCCTCAAACAACTTGTCTATAAAATTTCTGCATACTGGGATAAATGGCTAAGAATAAATGTTATGTTTTAATTTTACTGTGGTGTGTATATATATATCTGGAACCTGTTGATCTTTGATCTGTAACCCTTAACAAAATTTTATATAGAAACATTTTATCAACCATAAATACGAATGTAAAAAAGATTGTATTCGGTGACCTTTGACACTTGTATTGAATGTCTTTTTGTTTCTATGTTCTTTTAAAAATGTTTTGAAATAAAATGATAAAAATATGTAACTTGTAGTAGTAATAATAATAATAATTAATTAATTAATTAATTATAATAATTATTATTATTAAAATTAGAGTGATTTCTGAAGTATCATGTGACTCTTTAAAATCACTGGAATAAATTATTAAATTAAATTATAAACAACTTTTGAACAGTTATTTTATAGTGCAATAAAATTTCAGTTTTACAATTTGTACTTTTTGTGTCTTGGTGAGCAGGAGAAGCTTATTTTAAAACATTTAAAAATCTTTCTGACCCCAAACTTTTGACCAGAAGTGTATATATTTGTTATTACTACAAAGATGCTTTATATTGATTAGGACAATAATTCAACAATGACATTTAATAATGTTTTAAGTTTTTACCAAGCTTTTCTTTTTTCTTTTTTTTTAAATGGAAAAGTGTAGAAGATTCAAATTATAATATTTCACAGTACTTTTTACATCAAATTAATGCAGCCCTGGTAAGGAAAAACTTTCAGAAACTTTTTAAACTCACACCGACATCAAACTATTGAATTTTGGTGTGCTCATATTTCTCATTAAATACTTTTTTAACTAAGACAACCAGTTACGGTTATTAATATTTTTAGAACATAATACAAAATAAGACAAAAAAAGATAAACACTTTTTTTAATATACCATTATTATATATATTTTATAAATGTTATGAAATGCAATGCAATCTATCGCTAATTTGTTGGTCATTTACAGCATATTCTAGCTGCAACCGAAGCTACTGTCACAGCTAATTGGCATATTTTTAACATGATCTCTTCTCATCAGGATCTGCTAGCTGTACCTGGCTGTTGTATTTAAATCAGAAGAGTTCACTGTAGAGTTCACTGTTTCATAAATTATAGAAATTGCCATTCGTTTGGCATAAAAAAATAAATGGACCTTATTTTCCATCAAATACATGATACCTAAAAAAGTCCAGTCTGGTCAAAAATTAAATGTTTGCAAGGAAATGAAAACTAGTTTGTTGGATTGGTGTGTAAGTCAGATTTTGATATATTCTTCAGAAATAATAGCCCTAAAATATAACTGTTACAAACTAAATAAACAAGTATTTTAATTCTCCTCACTCCACAGCAAATCCTTTCAATTATAACAGTATTCAGAAAACAAAAGAATGTACAATATTAATATGAATCAAATGATGATAGTGCATTCACTGTAAGCAACATTAATTGTAAATGTAAAACTTCACAGATGCCTGCCTCCTTCTTTTCACACCAATTCTGATGTTCATCTGTTGCTTGCTTGAATATAAGTCTCTTTTATTATAAAAGTTACAGCCTTTTTGACTTTATGACATGACTTACAGACTTTATTTATTTATTTTTTTATGTAGTACTTGATCAGCAATTGTAAGATGTATCTAGAGCACACAAAAGAGTAAATAACAGTTGTGCCAGGATGGTCTTTCCTGCTCGAAATAAATTGTTTGTTTTGCTGATTTTCAGGTCTAAGAAGTTCATTGACTTCATCGAGGGCTGTCTGGTAAAGTCATATCCGAATCGTCCGTCCACTGAACAGCTCCTGAAACACTCATTCATCAGAGATCAGCCCACTGAAAGACAAGTCCGCATCCAGCTCAAAGATCACATCGACAGAACACGCAAGAAACGTGGCGAAAAAGGTATGTCCATTTGTGTTGTTTCATGTTGTCTTCATGTTAAATAATCATAAACGGTGTATAAGAACAAAAGAACTTTAATCACAGAAGTTTCAAGCATTTAATAAAACAAATGCTTGACAATTGATCCAGGAGATGATCTGTTTTGCTATCAGAATCAGCACAGAATCTCCTCTAAGACTTTAAAGTTACCTTAGAGTGTTTTGGTTAAGTGTGTTAAATTGTTCTTTGATATCTACATAGTCGATCTGCAGCCCACAAAAACCACACCCTTACAATGAAAGGCTGTTTTGACCATATTCGGAACAATCGTGAATATTAATGAGCTCATTTTGGTGCCGGCTCTCTTTCTCTCACACACACAAACACACTGCGTGATGTACTCTGAAATGAAACGTTCAAAATAATCATACTTCATTTGTCAAAAAATATTTAAAAATTGAGTGTGCGCCTTGTTAACAATTTTTACATCTGAAGTGGTAGAGAGGTTTTTTTAGCTAGAAGGAATTAGTGAGCCATTTTTAAGCCACGAATCTAGTTTGAGTTGTGTCATGAATGAAATAATAATTATACTTGACAAAAGGAAACAACAGAGGCTATTAAATGTATGTGAAAACAGAGGCAGGAATTAACATCTACCTCTTCATTAATAGATGAATTTAGTAAAGTTTATTGACATCCTTTCATTCAAGAAAAATCACAATAAGAGCTGAGTGATATGACGCAATGCATAAACCTGCATTAAACACTCATACTCCGCAGTTTACATGTGTTTGTTGCCTCATTAGAAACAAATTTCACAATATACTTGTTAAATTAACAAAAGATGCATTTAGACTAGTGATGCTCAAAGTTAGCCCATGCTAACCTTTAGTTTTGCCCGCCATCCCATCTGAAAAGAGAGGGAAAATGATGGAGTTGGTTGGGGCGAATGCCATCTACAGAGATCATCATTTCGAATTTAATGGATACCCTTTTGTTTCCCAGATCAATTGAGGAGCTACAAAAAAGCGAACTAAAATTAAATGTTTCAAATGAATCGACTTTTAAAATGTAAATACTGTCACTTAACAGAAGACAATGCACAAGACATCGGTGAGCAAATGAAGGCAAAGGCAGGAGCAGCACAGCTAGTGTATTCAGTATTGAACTCTATTGTGTTATAAACGGAGTTGTTTATGTTTTCAATATAATAAGTTGATTTTAAAATGATTTAAATTTGTACTGCATCATCATTTAATATGTTTTAAAGCAACTTTTTCTAGTTATTTTGAAATAATAAGCAAACAAGTGAGCAAATTAAATATAATATATAATGGCATATTTAGCTGCGGCCCACGGCGCTCAATCAAGTTTGGTTTTTGGCCCTTTTATAAGAGAAAGTTTGGGCACCCCTGATTTAAACAGACCTTATGCCTCTTATAGGTGGCACTGAAAACATCTATATCCCGTATGTCCCACATTTAGAGTTCTGACGAACTGTGAACAGATGAGACCCATGGCTGCATGCTTCGCGGAACCTTATTAGTCTCCCTGCTTTTATGGTTTTCAAAGAGAGTCCTACATACAGTTGAAGTCAGAATTATTAGCCCCCCTGAATTATTAGCCCCGTTTATTTTTTCCCCCAATTTCTGTTTAACGGAGAGAAGATTTTCTCATCTCATTCATAAACATAATACTTTTAATAACTCATTTCTAATAGCTGATTTATTTTATCTTTGTCATGATGGCAGTAAATAATATTTTACTAGATATTTTCAAGACACTTCTATACAGCTTAAAGTGACATTTAAAGGCTTAACTAGATTTATTAGGGTAGGTTATGGTAATAAGGCAAGTTATTGTATAACGATGGTTTGTTCTGTAGACTATCAGGAAAAAATATAGCTTCAAGGCGCTAATAATTTTGACCTTAAAATGTTTTTTAAAAAATTAAAAACTGCTTTTATTCTAGCCGAAATAAAACAAATACAACTTTCTCCAGAAGAAAAAATATTATCAGTCAAACTGTGAAAATTTCTTTACTCTTTTAAACATCATTTAGGAAATATTTAAAAAAGAAAAAAAATTCAAAGGGGGGCTAATAATCTTAAACTGTACATAGTATGTTAAATTCGAGCTTAGATAAACTTAAAGATAAGGAAAATATAATTGTTGTAATCTCAATAGAAATTATTGTGGCTAGTCAAACACAGCCTGGTGCGTGTGTATTAATAGGCCAGTGACATAGTCTGTATTTTGTTCCGTTTGGCCTGTTTTTTTTATCAGGATTTTATAGTCACAGGATTTTCATGAGAACAAGAAAGCAATGGGGTTTGAGGCACATAGTTTTTCACTTGTAATGTTCTAAAGTATTTTTTATTCATCTTTGAATTATAATTATAATGTGTCCACTTGTTTACATATCAGAGATTTCAGAATGTTTAAAAGACTCTTTGTGCAGAGACGTCACTAATCCCCCATCCAATCAGATCTCACCTTTGGAGCACAATGTGACACTTGTCTATAATTCATGTAGCTTAGAGTAACACAAGATCTGTGGCCAGTAGTGTAATCGAATAGCACAGCTGGGCTCGAATTATGTTTTATTCTGGATATGGAGAATGAGGAACAGCTAAAAATGGAAGCATCACCCAGCAGCCTTCAGCAGTGTTATTACAGTTCATACGCTATCCGTTTGGAAGAGCAATGATGATTTAGACTGTCTGCATAGACTGTGTTGAGCCATTTTATATTAATGCCAATAGCCATTCTCATTATTTACTGCCCACCTCTCACTCTGTGCATCTCTTCTTTGCATTTTGTCTTGATTCCTTTCAGAGGAGACAGAGTACGAGTACAGCGGCAGTGATGAAGAGGATGAGAACAGAGGAGATGAGAGAGAATCCAGGTAAACATGGCAGCATCTGTGTTTACTCAACCCGACACAACACCTCAGAAGCACCCATTAAAAAGGTTTCAACTACAGTTTTATTGACCTTTTGTTAACTTACTAACTTAAGCAGTAAGTAGACCTTTCACAATATCTATTTTTGTTGTACGATATATTGCACCAAAATATAATGCGATAAATGAAATTATTGTCATTTATTGTCTCTCATTACAAAATGCCAGAGTATCATCAGAATGCAAGTACACTCTTCCAAAGAACACATTTTTAAGCTCATTTGATTTAATTATAGGCATTTGCACCATTTAATAATTAGGCATTTAAATCAGAATGTGTAAATTCTTTTCCTAAATAAATAATAATACATGTTAACAAAAAAGTGCAAGGTAAAAAGTCACAGAGGCTGTGATATCTGCTACTAGATCTATTTTCAGTTGTCAGACACATACATGAAAATATACTATAGTAAGATATAGTCAATACTAGGGATGCACAATTAATCATTAAAAGATCAAAATCTTAATTCTACCGATATTGCCTAGATTATATATGCGGATGGCCGGAAGTGCGATATGCACATTAATATAGCTGCATTTTTATGACACTGTATAACAATTATTAATATTTTCACACTACTGTGGCGGTTGGATTTAGGGTTGGGGGTGGGGGTAGGAGGTAAAAAATACAATTTATTGTGTAATTTATTAGATAACATAAATAATACTTGATACAACTACAGTTGTTACATTACTGTGATGGTTAGGTTTAGGGTTGGGGTGGGGGTAGACGTTAATAAAATACAAAAAATGGGAAATTTAATTTAAAAATACAAATAATTTTCATTAACTTCTGGCCGCAGCCATATTCAATCTAACAACAACCAATTCGACCCTCCCATATGATCTTCAGTCATTCATGTCTTCAAGTTCAGTAGAGAAGCATAAAGGCGGTCACATAAGTCCTTGTTGTTTTATATATGTTGCTCAACAATGTGGGCATGGTCAGATTCCTAATGGCATTGAACAGTCCTCATACTGTATTTATAGGGTATAAGTCACCAAAGAATTTAATTTGTTTTCATTTAATGATGTATTCACGGCTGCAAAATCACACGTGACCTGACCGTGAGCTGTTTGTTTATCACAATAAAAATAGCCTACTCATATTAACCTTTACTAAACAACTATAGAGTTGTGAGAAAATCGTGATCTTTATTCTGAGCAAAATAAAAATAAAAATGTGATTCTCATTTTAGCCAGAATCGTGCAGCCCTAGTTAATACTATGGTGTTTTTTAAACCATTCTGACACTGACACCTCCAATAGAGAAAGAGATGTTGCACAGTCAGCTAAAATGTTGCTAGAATTGTGACTTGAACTAATAGATAGCTAACTAGAGACTTAAACTAGTAATTTTATCTAAAATTAGTTAATAACTGAGTCATACTTGATTGAACTAGCAGATAAATGACTCAAGACTTAAACCAACTGATAATCTTCATCTAACATGAACATTGATCAAATTTTAGAGGTCTGCACCCGACCAGATTACTTTCGGCACCGGAATACCTTTCCGAATAAACCTCGGGAGCGGTCGGTAACTGGTGTATTTTTGGATGGGAGCGGGCGGTCTGACAATATCGCTCCCGACTTCCGAGCAAGCGAGCATGCGTATGTGTGTGTGTGAATAAGACAGCGTGATGCTGCGTTTAGCTTTTTTGCTGCTGTTGTGTTTGTGTTTGTGTGTGTGTGTGTGTGTGTGTGTGTGTGTGTGTGTGTGTGTGTGTGTGTGTGTGTGTGTGTGTGTGTGTGTGTGTGTGTGTGTGTGTGTGTGTGTGTGTGTGTGTGTGTGTGTGTGTGTGTGTGTGTGTGTGTGTGTTTATACAGACAGCATGTTATAGGCTGTCTGGACTCTGTATAGTTGGGTGGTTTTCGGTTTGTTCTCCCCCCTGCCCATTAGCAGGAATGGGAGCGGCGAGTAAAAAAACGGATCGGGTCGGGCAGCGGGACAATGAATGCTGAACATAAGCAGGAGCAGTCGGGTTCGGACTAAAACCTGACTGGTGCGGGTGGGAGTGGGATTTAAAATTTAGTCCCGTGCAGATCTCCACGTCAAATTCTCCAAAATTGCCTGCCAAGCTTACAATTAACTTTCATATTAGGAATCACCAATAAAACAAAACATCAACTGTCTATTTATTTTTATTTCTAAACGTTCAAATCACATAAAATCTGCAGAAACTCACATCTGATCCAAGCCTCTCCACAGGAGAATAGTCAGTTTATAGCGATCGATGATTGGCACCTGTACTAGGAGGTGGGGCTTCATTTGCCATATTTTTTTATTATTAATACTATTATTATTTTTATTATTAAACATTTATTTAAAGATTTGCAACGACAGAACAGTGGTATAGGTGTCTTATGTCGTCATATACAATAATATAGCCGTCTATTATACAATTGTCCATTGGCTTGAACGTCAAGTCTTTTGCGAAGGGTAAAATGAACAAAAAATAAATAAGTCGTAAGTCAATTTTTCTAAGGGTAAGAAAATGGCAATCTGACTTATCCACATATTGACCGAAAAAAGAGAGGACCACAACAAAAGAATATGTTTTCTTGCTAGATACGTAAATGTGTAAACACAGATTCTAGTCCATGACTAAGATGTAGAGCAGTTTTACTGTCCAGGAGATAAATTGCTAAAGATAGGGCCAAAGGTTGACCAATAATCGTCTGAACTGATTTGTGAATTTCTTTCCAGTAGGTCTTAATCATGTCACATTCCCAGAATATATGCATCACAGTTTCATTCACCATATTGACCGCTACACTTTTCCCCATTCAAAACTATATTAGTGACATGTCTTGTGCATTCTATAGTCTTTGATAGGAATTGCCTTGGCAAAAGTTGATAACTGAACTGACCAATCAGTTAAAATACTTGATAACCAATAACCAGCTTGAGGCTTGACTTCAACAGATAATTGACAAAATACTTGAAGTAGAGGATAGTGTCACGGATGATTGACTTGAGACTTGACTTAAGCTAGCAAATAACTAACTGGAGAAGTTTTACTTGTAGATAACTAAACTACATGAAGAACTAATAACTAATAGGTCTTATCTAAACATGTACTGTAGCTATTTTGATTATCAAATAATAATTGACTGGATTTATAATAGTCAGTACTTCATTTAATTGATAAAAATAAATCCTTTAAATCCTCTAGTTGATAATCAATAACCAGCTTGAGGCTTGACTTAAACAAGTAGATCGTTCTATAGACTATAGAACATTGTTTATAGACTATAGAAGTAATTGATGATGTTACTTAGGACAGACTTGACTTGAAGTAGCATATTACTTGAAACTTAAAATCATGGGTAATTTTACGTGTAACAAAACTGATCTAAGGCATGAATTAAATGATGAAAATTCAACTTTTGTGTAGAGTTTGTGACGACTTATTAGGGGTTAGATTTACTTTGGACTTGTCTGTACATGTCTGACTGAGTCAACACCAAATAAACCATTTGCTTGTTGGAGACGAGACGTCCTTGTCAAAACATGACACGTGCTATTTTAAAACAATCATTAGTTTTGCAATTATACTTGATGCTTTGGGGCAGCAATTACACCCTTCACCCTTAATGGATATGTTTAGGGTAGTGTTTTATGCGCATAGATGTTTCCAATAATGTGCACAGAAGATTCCATTAAAACATAATCATATTACTCCACATGGATCAATCCTTTTTACCAGCTGCACACGAGTACATGTCCTCGATGTAACTGTGAGAATTGGATGTGCAGTCGTCTTTGCAAACCACAGAACTTCATGTCTTCACTGCCCAAACTGTGTTTATGTCAGCTGACTGTACCTCCGTTTGTTTATGTCTGTCTGAAGCTCTATTTTGAATGTTCCTGGTGAGTCGACGTTGCGGAGGGATTTCCTGCGGCTGCAGCAAGAAAATAAAGAGCGTTCAGAGGCCTTAAAGAGACAGCAGGCGCAGCTCGCCGCTCAGCGCAGAGACCCTGAGGAGCATAAACGCCAGCTGCTGCACGACCGGCAGAAGCGCATAGAGGAGCAGAAAGAGCAGAGGCGACGCTTAGAGGAGGTACTCCAACTTACACTGATTTCTCAAAGAAAATGAGTATCCAATCATAACATATATAAACCTACTTATAATAATAAAAAATAATTCCTTACATTTATATAGCGCTTTTCTGGGCACTCAAAGCGCTTTACACAATAAGGGGGAATCTCCTCATCCACCAACATACCTGCCAAACATGTAAAACATGATAGATGGATGGATAGATGGAAGGAAGGAAGGAAGGAAACCTGTTTAGTTTAGTTGTTTATTTTTGCGATTGTTCACCCAAAATGATGCCAATCATAAAATATCTCTGAATAAAGCTACTTGCCACAATTTTATTTTTTTTATATATGAATTGTTTTGTTTGAGTGTTAAACCAAAATAATGTCAGGTAAAATATTTCTTCGTAAAACTACTTGCCAAATCAGACTGATTGACCAGTAAATTGCTGGCTTGAGATATAACTTTAATTATTAGGTAACTGATTTAAGACTTCGGCTAGTAAACAAGCATTAAAAGTCAATTTTTTTTTGTAATTGTTTCCCAAAATAATGGCAATCCAAAAATAACCAAAATATTTGTTCCATGTATATTTATCTATTTATCTCTCTGAATGGTGCTTCATATGACCTCCTTTCTTGGAGCTATCATATGACTTCAGAAGACAAGCCCTATGAACCAATTACATAATACCTTTATGATTCTTTTTGCAACCTTCCTGAAAATGAACAGCTTTAGGAGGTTTCTTTGCATTACATGCATACAAAAGTGAGCAGTACACTCTCTTTGTTCTGCAGAACAAAAAGAAGGTGATACTGGTTTATGTTATGACTATGTTATGTTAAGTATGGCTGGGCGGTATAATGTATATATTGTTACTGTGCAACTGTAATAGATTTTTTTTATTCCATGTATACCATGACATGTGACTGGGTGTGATTAATTCACATCCAGTATGCCTGAGACAGGGAAGTTCTGATCAGAGTGCTCATTGTAAGATTAGGCCATCAATCTGAGGTGAACTTTTACCTGTGATTTAAAATAACTGCTTTGGATTACGGACTTAAATGTAACAACAGAATAACTCTGTGTACAATAAATTAAATGGTATCTTATGTAGCGCTACAGACTCTGGTAGCCTCCCACAAGCCCTAATGCCCACTTTTAGGATGGCTGATTCATAGGGTTTGCTACAAACCTTACATTAGGAAAATGAAAATAAATAAATAAATAACATGTAAAATACAACAATAGCATCAAGTTACTTCATAAAATGCTTAGTGTACTTTAATAAGTTGCTCTGAATATAAGAAAAAATATTGACTTATTTACTGTGGCATCACAGTAAATAATTGGCCATTGTGTTCACCATTTTTCACCACTGTTCATCGAGTGCCAACACAGATATACGGACACTGAAGCATTTCAGTCACATCAATCCGCTTGTCTCTTTATGAGCTGATATACGAGCGATCCGCTGATGGATTAACTGATCTACGCAGCTTTGAAATACTCTAATGTTGTGAACAATGGCCAATCAACAGGGTTTAAAGAGCCATGAAACCCTCTTGTTTCAGCAGGGTGTTTTCACACCTCTACTTTGGAAAAAGTCAGGAAAGTGGGCATGTCCATCTCTGTTTAGGGGGGAGTGTCGGAGGAGGGAAAAAGGGAAGGTCTGTAAAAAATTTGCATAATAATGGGAGTGTCGGTTTGGGCACATGCTGATTTTCACAGAGGCAAAACAAACAAAAATGCAGAGGAGAAAGACAGTGACTGTGTTTACATGGACATCAGTTATCAAATTATTTGCCGAGTTATTACTTTGTCAACTTTAACTGCAGTTTGGCTATTTCATTCAGGAATTTCATTCATGGCCCTCGTGACAAACAAGATATTTGATTCGAGGAACTGCTGGAAGCAATTATTTTTCATGCAATGTTTGTTACTGCACGGCGAATGAAATAAAAAAAAACCTCAGCTTTTCTCTGTAACTTAGATGCACTCAGTAGGTAGTGTCAGAATGCTGTGTGTGTTAGTCCTGTCAAAAAATGCGGTAAAAAATCCTACACCACGGTAAGTTTGATTGTGTGGCTTACATGTTTACACTCGGAGAGCAGCATTTACAGCAGATTTTTCAGTCCAAATTGTAGTGATATTAACGTAATGTAAGCTTTATTAACTTAGAAATCATTTGACAAAGGTCCATCTTTAAACATGGAAAGAGTACTGCTGACGATACGAACTAACTTTGCCTATGAATAAACAAACAAAGACCAATGATCGCTTACTTACCAAATCTGTGTGTGAGACAGGACAATTAACACCAACTGGAGCTGCGTTTTTATTAAAAGGAGACTAGAGGTAAATCCAGATTACACTATTGCAGATAAGAAAAGCTCTCAGGTAAACAATGTTCCTTAGACACGTATTTCTGTCGAGAGTAGCTTGCACTGTAATCCACACGTGAGTCCAGCTGGGCTCTCATAAAGGGAAAATGAAAACTAAACCTTCACTGCAGCAAATTATAAAAGCAGCACTGATGACCTGTATCTCCAAACTATTCTTGTTCACCCACTTGCAACACAACATGGCGTCTATCTACCGTCTGAACACTGTAACAGGTAAAAAAAGTCTTCGAAGCTATCATGCATATTAATCAAGTTGCACCGCATACACAATAGAGCGTGCTGATTGGTTTGAACCAAGTCTTACTCATGAATGAATGCAGCACACTCAGAGATGTCATGAGGTACTTCCAGGTACAGACGTCCAGTATAAATGCTGGAATACACAGCCAAGATCTCATGGCTGTGACGCAGCTTCAAAAATTTGTTTCAAACCGGAAGTACAGATTTGCTCGAAATAACAACCAATTTTCACTTTTTAGTGAGATATATGTGTCCTAATAGTGTTGTTAGCAGTGTGGGACACACATACGACTGTCAACAGCCCAAAAAAATGTGTTTTGGTGTTTTGTGACCCTTTAACAACATGCTCAACAGCACTCCGATGTTAGCGGGATATCAACATTTTTTAAATTTCAGCATCGATTGGTACCAAATTCGATATTTTTACCAACCCCAAAGCTAATACTTACTGAGAAATAAAAATCTCAAACCTTACTCAAACACTTTGTACATAAACACACAAACAGAAAAGGAAAAACCAAAAAGTCTTGGAAAAATACATTATTGTTCATCCCTACTATATTTAACAAGGTCCAAATAAAAGACCTTTTCATTTCTGAAATATTCAGGGTCTTTAATTTAAGGGTCTCTATTTATCTGAATTTTTTGTTGATTTTTCTGGAATAACTACCAGCATAAACAACTCTGTCGTGAAATATATTGTTACCGTGATATAAACTTGGTCATAACTCTTACTCCTAATGACAAGTAACAATATAAGAACAAGATTGTTGTTGTTGAATGATCTTGTCGTTTTAGTATTTTAGAATCTATCATCCTGGCTATTAAAGTTGGCCTGAACTTCATAGCACCCCACTGACAGAGCTTAAAGTTTGTATGAGAAGATCAATCGAGAACATGCCATGTTTTAAAAGGCATACATCACAGCGGAAAGTTTTACAGCAGTGTTTGTTGAAGTGCTCAACATTTTTCTCTTATCTGGAGCTGCTCTCTCTTCATTAGAGTGAACTCAGGGTGGTATCTGTGGAATGTCATGAGGTACGTGGAGGTGAATTTGAGAGAGGGAAACCAGCTGAACGACTGAGAAGCCTTTATACTAATGTCAAACTTTTAATTAAATTAGTGCAAGCGGTCATTGTCACTGCATGACTGTGGAAGGACACAGTGGTTGTCACATCACAGGGTATCGTGATGATCGCAGGCAACTTGAACATCACAAGGTGATGAAGAGGCTATAGCACAAAGGAGTGTGTGTATTTGATATGTACTGAGTATTGTTGCTCATTGTGTTCATGATTGCTAGGAAAGATTCTCACAGTCATGCTCCTTGCAGCTAAGCTAATTAAATCAAGACCATGTGGGATCAAGACATGTTTGCTGGAGGCTACTAAGCTGAGTATTGAAATACTGAAAAAAGCAAACATGGGTCATTCCGAGTCAGATCTCTTTGGCACATAGTTTAGATTTAAATTTTTTGTACTTGTATAAATATGACATATAATATATAAATGCTGATAAAAACAAAAATAATTAATATCTTGGATTTGCTGAGTAATCCACCATTTTGTATTGAGGGCCAAAATTTAGGGAAAAATGTTTCACCTAAGATTTTAAGCCAAATTAGAGGCTTTTGAAAATGACTCTAGAAAAATAGTCTGGTTATAATAGTCAGAGGCTGGTTATGTCTAATAAAGGTCCCATTAAATTAAAATAAAGGTTTTTAGATGTTTATCAGTATTATTCATTTTTAGGATATCTAGCTAGTGTGCTCTAAAACAATGACAAAATTTGCGTTTAGAAGACATAAAACTTATATAAACATGTAACGCTTGTACTTTAGCACTTTCGCCCATCTGGATCAACGGTTTTATTCACGTCACCTCACACTATAGCTTCTAATCAAATCTTGACCAATGAAATGCTCACTAGTATCTGATATGCCCCGCCCCTTTCAAGACGCTTTTCATTTGCATTTCATTTGATGCGCTTGAGTTCAACCACTCTTACTGGCAGAGCTGTGATAAAACAAAAGACTATTGGCTGTTTTTTTTTTTATAAAAGGGGAGGAGCTACACTGTCCCACACTCTTTTTGTGTTATGATTGAGATTGTCAAACATTGAATAAAAACGCATATTTCAAAACACATCTCAGGACCTTTAATAAAATATAAGCTTTGTTACATTAAATCAGTGTTTCTTCATGAGAGATACAGTTTTGTGATTAGAATATCATTGAATAAAGTCACAAGCCATGTTTCCATCGACCTATTTTATGCACATTTTGGGAAAAAAAATGGTTGGTGGAAATGGCAAGATGCGTATACATTTTGAAAATGCGTATACATTTTGAAAATACACATAAAAACATATGCGCATAACTGAGTAGGATAAGATAGGATTTTCTTATTGTATAAGAAAAGATGTGCATAAACTACGATGGAAACACTTTCCAAACAAATTCCAATATGCACACAAAAAAAGCCATGTGATTTTGTTATAAGAGATCGTGGGATTTTAAAAAAATGTTTGTAAAACATCTGAAATGTTGCTCTGGTCATTCTAAAATGCCAATATTAGTGTTATCATATTATTAATTACCTCCAGAACAGTAAAAAGCGTTCATTGTATGTCGGTATTGTCTTCTGAGGCGCAAGTCATTTATTAAATGAGGAAAAGATTCATGCAGCTTCTCCTTTCAGCAAATTACGTTTTTACTTTGGATAATTGGCACTGGTTAATTAGGAAGTGACAAGTTTGTTCACTTTGACTTTGATTGGATGGAAACGCTGCTTTATTCACACGTCTTTTATGCGATATTCCAGTTTTGCGCATACATTTAATTTGCATCTTTGGAAAAAAAACATAGCTACTGTTCTGTTAATAAATTTAATAAAATAAAATAATAATAAATAATTAAATAATTTCGTTGGAAATAGTGGACATGGGGGGGCCTGTCTTTATTTTCATTGCTCAGTGCATAAACAAGCCCAGGGGTTCTTAACCTTTTTCACTTCAGGGCCAACTTTTTTCTCAAATCAATTTTTGAAGACCCACCTATATATATATAATACATTTGTTGTGCCTTCTATTAATTTCTATTAACAGCATAGTATAAAAAATAGATAATCTTATTTAAATTTAATCATATATAAAACTAGACCAGCTTCTGCTTTAAACTGGACTGACTGAATATCTACTATTAAACATCTACTATTCAAAAATATATAGACAAATGTAAAACACCCGTTGAAACGCGTCAATCTGATGGCGGTTGAGTTTGCAGCTAGGTATAATTGGGAGATCGCTGACGGGAACAGTGAACAGCTCCGCCAGAGAGTGTCTGAATGTTGAATGCAAGTTTATTTTACCTTCTATGGCAGAAACCCTATTGAGCCTTGCTAGATCCTCCTGTATTGGAGGTATTGTTGCACATCAATTATAAAACACTTACAGGACAATAGTTTGGACAACTATGCGAATATATTAAATAGATCACACAGAAATACACAAAAAGAGACTTTTACTTTCACTTCATGCATACTTTTGTGAATGAACAGACTTGCGTGGACTAGATGAGATCATGAGGCTGTTTTTGTGCTAAGTTTGAAGTAATCAATCAGAGAACAGGAGAAAGTGCGCTACTTTGATCATTTTAATATAGCTATTAATAATTAAATAAACTTAACTCTCAATATTATACTATAATTTTTTTAAGCTCTCGACCCTCCTGCAAGATCGCTGAGGTCCACCGGTTGAGAATCCCCGAACTAGCCCATTCATAAAGCTTGTTTAATTAATTTGGTACTTTAAAAAAAAATTTTTACAGTTGAAAAAAATTGGCAAACATGTGCGCTATTAGATTGAAAGACAAGAGAAGCCAATACAGTTGCACCTGCTCTCATCAAAAAAGTTGTTGAAAATGGACAAAAGAGACGTGTTTAAACACCAGGTGTAAACCAGATCATGTCTCCCCTGTCCGCTTGTGATCCTATTAACTGAAAAGCATCTTAATACCATTTGTAATCCATGCCTTTGTCCTGCTGTCAGTGGACAGTTCAATTGAAGTGAATTATTATACTGTAAAATAAAGCAGCTTCTGTGAATAGGGATGCTAGCACCATCTAGCCACTATCCCACTGAATGCAGCACCGCAGTGCACTGACTCACCAATCTCACTATTCTCTCTCTCTCTTTCTCTCGAGAATGGTGCCCAATGTCTTCGTCACTTACACTTTCAGTGTTTTTCCCCGGCTCCTCATTCTCTTCCCCTTTAATTTCCCCTCTAAAAAGCACTGGCTGATTTTTAGCAGCAGGAAGGCTCTCATTATTTCAGCCAAATATGTTAAAGTGACTCACTCTCTCAATCTCTCTCTCTCTCACACACAGCAACAGAGGAAGGAGAGAGAGATGGTGCGGCAACAACAGGATAAAGCTCCTCACCGGAGACTCGATGACATGAGACGAGAGGAGGACAGGAGGTTGGCAGAGAGAGAGCAGGTAACCAATCACAGCCACGCAACCGCAGACAGCTGACCAATCATAGCCACAGAACTGCAGGCAGCCATCCAATCACAACCAAGCGTGGGTGTTCCACTCAGCACAGCTTTGGCCCTGGAATGTCTGTGGAGTGGTTGCCATGGCAGCAGTGTGCGTGTACGTGTGTGCGTGTGTGTGTGTGTGTGTGTGTGTGTGTGTGTGTGGGAGAGAAGCGTGTGCAGCCCTACATTCAATTCAATTCGAACTGACAGAAACACAAAAGACCAATCAGCATGAATTAGTGCACAATATGCCACAGGACACTCTCTTCAAAGCCAAGTCACATGTAAATGACACTTCTTTTAGTTTAAACGACTGTAGAGACACATGAATACGCAACACAGTGACTGAAACCACTTGTAAACACTCGCCATTTTAAGATCATCGAGGCGGTGTGATGTTACAACTCCACCAGAGCTAGTGAAGAGAAATCTGCTCTGTTAAGGTGTCTTCAGCCATTTTAAAAAGCCCATCAGAAACACTATGTTAAAATGTCTGCCTCCATCTTCAGAGGCTCTACAGACAGGTGCATCTGTCCGCTCTCCCAAATAGCTTTTTTTATTTCATCCTTCTGAGTCTATTCTGATCTGTCTCTTCCTCCTCCTTCACTGCTCCCTGTTTCTCTCTCTCTCTCTCTCTCTCTCTCTGTCTCCATCCCTCTCTCTCTGTAGGAGTTTATAAGACATAAGTTGGAGGAAGAGCAGCGGCAGTTAGAGATACTGCAGCAGCAATTACTGCAGGAGCAGGCATTGCTAATGGTAAACACTGCTTTCTTTCACTCCCCTCTGTTGCTTTGCTCTGGTCTGCTCGGTCCTTTGGTGTGTCTCATCATACAAGGCCATTAGACTCCGCTTGTAAGGATTGTCTTGAAATCTTCTGAAATGGGGTCTTCATTTATTCTTTATTTTATATATATATATATATAACGGTTGACATGCCAGTTTCTGGTACAGGAATTAAAAATTATACTATGAAAAATTTGGAAACATAAAGTGGAAGAACAATTAATTAAAAAATACAAATTCAAAATAAAACATTTTTGAACACTAAATCATCTTTATATTGTAAAGTATGCCATAAAATATCTCACATTCTCATTTAACATATTTTCTTGATGTTGTTTTTTCAGTAAAACCAAAATCAAGTGTAGTAGTGCACCAGGATTATGTTTGTTTGTCTTTAAAAGACTTTAACAGTTATTCAAAACTATATAAACACGGTCAACCGTTTGGTAGAGCAGGCAATTAAATGGTTAAGATAAAAAGATATGAGAGATAAAATATAAAAGGCTAAAATTGAAGCTTAAAGTCTTCCAAATGAGAAGTATTATGCAAATTACTATACAAGCATTTCAAGTCAAGTATGCAAGTTCAGTCATATGAAGCTCAAAATTGACTACAGATTGAAAGATTTTGGGAAAAATCTTCCCTCCAGCACTACATTTGTATACTTTAATAAATTCTATACACTTTGGCTTTTGTTATTGACTTAAAATAGTAGATAACTGATTTGGGACTTTAACTAAACGAGTATTAAAATTAAATTTGCCAAGTAATCAGTATAAACCAATATATTTATATTACATTTATATTTTTACTGTATCTCTTATTTGTGATCGCTCTGAAATGTGCTTCATATGACCTTTTTTCTTGGAGCTATCATATGACTTCAGAAGACATTTTTGGATATAAGAAATAAACTTATGAGATCTAAACTATAGTATTATGTTAAATTTAGCCAAGGCTAAAATTAAAGCTTAAAGTCTTCCAAATGAGAACAAAATAAGTATTATGCAAATGTTCTAGCATTTTCACAAGTAAAAAAAAAAAAGTTTTTTCATATGAAGCTGATCATTGACTACAGATTGAAAGAAGCACCACATTTGTATACTTTGATAATTTGTATACAATTTGGCATTGATTATTGACTTAAATTAAATTAACTTAAATTAATAGATAGTTAAATAACTTAAATTAGTAAATAACTGAATTGAGACTTCAACTTGTAAACAAGCATTAAAACTAAACTTGCAAAGTAATCAGTATAAAACAAAATCTCTTATTTGTGATTGCTCTGAAAGGTGCTTCATATGACCTCCTTTCTTGGAGCTATCATATGACTACAGAAAACAGTTAATTTTGGATTTAATAAATAAAGTTGTGAGATATAAAATATAGCATTATGTTAAATTTAGCCATGGTTAAAAATGAAGCTAAAAGTCTTCAAAATGAGAATATTATTGTATTATGTAAATGTTCAATCATTTTCAAATCAAGAATGGAATTTTAATCATATGAAGCTGAATATAGGGTATATGCCGAAGCATGCTAATAGGACTTTTAATTTGCCAGTTACCTGGGTTAATTGTTTCCGGTAAATTGTATGCCAATGCAAAATCGGTGCATTTAATGTCTGTTTTCTTTAAAAATAAGCGATCTCCACTGGCTGAGTGATATGCGATATAAAGTGGGTCTCAAATTGTACAAGAAGCACTGCAATAAATTACATTATCCCTGCCATGTCTTTATAATATGAGCATTTATTTTACCCCAGTATATTCAATGGAGCTTCTGCGCTAGCCTGCGATTCTGATGTGTGCGTGCGAGCAAGCGGCTTTTTGTCTAGTTTTACGCTTGAGCAACTAAATAATTGCCAAAGTCTGTTTAACTGATTGTATTTGAATTACATTACAACATCGATGCTGTTAAAGGAACGGTATAAAATGTAAAAAAAACTCACAATAACAGGTCACCAGAAGTTTATCAGTATGGGAAACACACTAGTTTGGCATATACCCCATTGACTACAGATTGAAAGATTTGGGGAAAAATCTTTCTACCAGCACCACATTTGTATACAATTCAGTAGTAATATTGTGACATATTATTACAAATTAAAGTTGAACATTTTCAATGTTTGTTAAATAAATCAGATTTGTATTCAATAATGACAAATCTCATTTTTAGGTGGCCATTACTTCAGTCTTTAATCTGAAATTAACTTGACATGCTGATTTTGTGTTAGTTTAATCGTTAATCAATGGTGGAAAGAGTACTGAAAAGTCATACAACTAAAAGCATTACTTGAATAAAAATGTAGTGCGAGTAAAAATATCTGTTGTGAATATTATTCAAAGTATGAGTAAAAAGTAGATCTTTTAAAAGTACTCTAGAGTAGTGAGTATTATGCTGTAAAAAGCTGATGCATTGACATGTAATTTGTGGATGTGTGTAATTGTAACATTCTGTAGTGCATTTAGTTCTTGCTCAGCAGGCACACAACTTCATAAGATGTTAATATTAGATTGGATTTAAGATGTGATGTCAGGTGGCCAAAATTCAAGGTGTAGTCAGCGTCTAAGGACAACGTTATTTTGATGCCCAATAACTATGTCAAATGACATTGATATTTGGTTGCTTTTAGGTTGGACGTTTTCTAATTCCTGTAGACAAAAAAAAGTAAAGTAGTGACTGCAGGTTGAAGGAAAGAAGTGGAATAAAAGTACCAATACTGTACTAAAATATACTCAAGGGAAAGTAAAAGTACACATTTTTAAAATTACTTAGTAAATTACAATTTCTAAGAAAAAAAAACTACTCAATTACAAACATTTGAGTATTTGTAGTTTGTAACTTTAAACCACTGATGTTAATAAAACTGTGAAAAGGTAACATTCATATGAATTACAGAGGTTATGTAACATGTATTTTCTGTCACTCTTGACCAGTGCATTCTTGATATTTTATATTTATTTATTAGGATAAACCCCTTGAGATGTACCATCTCTATTTCAAGGGGGTCCCACAATTAATCACAATCACAAAATATTAACACTAGAATACAAAAACAAAACAGAACTTACACAATATCCAAACAACATAACATAACATAAAAAAGGGGGGGGGGGTAGTATACATACATATTTTATTCACTAAAAGTACATTGCTGACCCAAACATTAGATTTTTTTTACAACAGCAACTTACAATATAAAGATAAATTAAGACCCCTATTCTAAAGCAGGAGAATCATTGCTAAAGTGAGACTCATCAAACTTGACTTCTTTACAATCCTCTGCGTATGTGTTTTTGTGTTTTATTCAGTATAAAGTGGGTGATTTTTATCATTTAAAATGTGTGGATTTGTTTATTTGTTAATTTGGGATAAAATCAAAATGCAATATGACATAATTATACACAATAATTACTGTATACCCACTACACTGAAGAAGAATCGTACAGCTAAGACAAATGTTTTGCTTTTGTCGTTCAGTTGTACAATAAACACTGCTCAGACTCTTCAGTAAATGTGAGCTATGATCTTATATATATATAATGTAAAACTCAAATAATTACGTTTTCTGTGTGTGTAATAATTCACTAAAGGGATAGTTCACCCAAAAATGACAATTTCCTCATTTACTCACTCTCAAGCAATTCTAAAAACTTAAGATATTCTAAAGATTTTGGAAAAAAATAATATTATGGATGACAATGGCTTCAGTCTATCTTCCTTTGTGAACTATTCCTTTAATACACAATTGTTCGATTGCATGTTGTGAAGGGGTACGTTCTACGTTTATGTGTATATATGTGTATGCATGTTGACTGTGCAGTCCTTTTTTCCACCTGCAAACAACACAGTGCAGTGTATCTCGCTGCTTAATGACTTATTAATTGTTTGTTCATGTGTGTGTAGGAGTATAAGCGTAAACAGCTGGAGGAGCAGAGACAGTCAGAGAGGCTTCAGAGGCAGTTACAGCAGGAACATGCGTATCTGGTCTCTCTACAGCAACAGCAGCAGCAGCAAGACAAGAAACCACAGATGTATCACTACAGCAAGAACCTAGAGAACAACAAACCAGCCTGGGCTAGAGAGGTACGCTCTCACCCCACTGAGGGTAAAAGCGCTCTAATAGTCCATTTCCACTAAGTGGTATAGTACAGTACGGGTGACCTTTATTAGGCTTGCATATCCACTGCCAAAATGGTACCAATGGTATGATTTTAATTGCAGATCAATGATAAATAGCTAAATAGCCTACTGCAATATCAGCAATTATATGAACAAAAATAAGTAAATGCAACATATACAGACCCTTACAGTCTGCGATATGTTACCAATTACAGTAAACTACACACATTTATTTCGTTTTTATTTGGGTTCAAAAACAAGACGAAATATAGCACAGTCAGTGCAAACCTCTCATCTGTGTCTTTAATCTTCACCAGCACATGTAACCTCTGTTAGAATAGTTAGTTATAAATGTTAGTTTGTCTTTCTGAGTTCATAATAGTCCAAAAGGTGATGATAATAGTTGAACATGGCAGTTTGTTCAGGTATTAGTTTGCTGAAAGAATCATTTGCCCCTTTGTTTTTCTGGCTTCTCCTTTGTTTTTTCACGCTTCACTCTTGCGTTTGTCTGTTTCTGAAAGGATCAGATATCAGAGGCACTTCAATAATCATGCGCATGTTTTTATCATCAGCTCAAGAAGTTCGAAACTTTAAATATTTTAAATATAGACAAGATCGCGAGCTGCTATGGAGAAAGTGAAACGGCTCACTTTTTTAGCATGCTCGTAAAACAACAAGAGGACAGCAGACTTTGTTCTTCTTGGCTTTGTGGCTTTTCATCAAGACGATGATGGTTCGTGTACGCTTGAGTCAACCATGGCTCATTAATAAATGTAATGTCTCGGCTGTGTATTTAAAACATATTCATTCTTTTGTTTTCATTCTTCTGCTTGTCCATGAGCGAGTGACCTATTTCTGTAAACCAGTAGCGTTCAGCTAGCTCTGCCTTTTGGTACCCATTTGTTGTGCTTGGTACCCTTTGCAAAGGGTACCCTAAAAGTGGTATGGTACGGTTAATTTTTTGTTATTTTTTGACGGTGGAAACGGGCATAAAAGTGTACCATACCATACCACTCAGTGGAAATGGGCCATAAACTGAAGCCTCAAAATCAATTTGTCCTGCTTTGTTCCTCAGGTCGAGGAGCGCAGTAAGCTGAACAGACAGGGCTCTCCCAAAATCTGCACCACGGTCTCTGACACTAATATTCAATCCCGCTCTGAGTCAATCAACCAATCAGGAGCTGCGCAGACGCCGCCCATGCAGAGACCTGTGGAGCCGCAGGGTGGACAGGGAAAGGTGTGCAAGTCATTTCATTCCCTTTGAAAATCAAGGAATTTGATTGAATCTCCAGAAAAGTGATGCAATTATTAGGGGTGTCAGTGCAAATATTTTGACCGTTTAATCTATTATTATTAGTTTTAAAAAAAGAATTGAGGAATCAAAAAGTTCTGTGTCCCTCATTTCAGGGTTGCATTTTGTTTAACAGTGCGGTTTTTGCACGTAAATACAATTAACTTATCATGGACATTACATTTACTGTCTAATAACTATGTACTAACCCTAAACCCACCCCTGAACCTAACCTTAACCCATGTAGTTACCTTACATAACCCAGTAATTTCATAGGTAAGTGCACAGTACAGTAGTACAGTAAAATACAGTGCAACCCATTTCTTCGTGGTTGGCTAGCAGCGTGCAGAAATTACACTTATTACTAAGTCATACTTGCATGCTGTTTTAGACCGAATATTCAGAGTGGCACGGTGAACAATATAGGGAGCTCGTCACAGGTTGTTCAAATATGAACCAATGTAAATATAAAAGCAACTTCACCTCAATAGAGCAGGCTAGGCAGAATAGCGATGTTTACTGATGTTTTGTTGTTAAACTAAATAAAAATCTACATTATTGATGTTGTAAAAGGTCCCTTATGATACAAAAATTAGTCACATCAATCTTTTGCTGGAGGATTTCAGTGGCTGAACAACCCTTCTGTGCATATAACCCATTCATAACAACAAAATCAACACTATTTTTTTTACTTGTCTGAAAGAAATACTTCAGTCATGGTGTCGTCCTTCCTCCAACGTGCAAAAGTAACTCCAATATTGGTTCAGGATTTTAAAAAGTTTTGATTCAGCATTTGTTTTTGCTGCTATCACTCCCGCGAACGCAGCACATGTACATGCGCAATGGGCAGATCTGCGTGAACAGAGGTGCGCAGTTGTACCAGTCTACATTTGTTGACAGACAGTTTGGGATACTTATCAGAATTATGTGAATTATTGGCCTGACAATTTTTGATTAAATAAAAATTTTTTTAATCTTATGCCTTACCCATAATTTAAAAATACATATAAACACATTTAGATCTCTTACTGTAATCATTACTATTGGAATGTCAAGAGACTTTCAACCAGCGCAACAAAAAAAAAATGTTTCTAAAGACAATCACCTACTGCACCTTTAAAATAGCATCAATAATTTTTGTTGGAATCATGATTCTGTTTTTTACAGTGCTTTGCTAAAGTTCAACCAAACAGCATTTATTCGAAATAGAATTATCTTGTAACATGATAAATGTCATTTTGGATTCGTTTTATAAGTGTTTCTGGAAAAAAGTCTCCAAAACTTAAAAAAAATATTCTCTCAGCAAATGTTGATTCGTAGTTTATTTTGATAAATGCATTGTCAGTAATGGTATTTCATTTAAAACTAGGTAAAATATTTAAAAATGAATAGTAAAAGACTTCATCAAGACTAATCATCAAAAGTGATTAGCAGTAGGCTGCCATCATTTATTTTTTTAATGCTGCATGCTCTGGCTAACACTTTACTCTCTCTTCAATGATTTCTTTTTTCTTTTCTTTCTTTCCTGTGGGCCCACTCACTTCCTGTGTAATCCTCCATCATTTGGGGAACATCCTCTTCTCTTGCATATCCTGCGCTGGATCTTCTGCATTTTTCTGCTGCCCAACCCCGGTGGCCTGTTTCCCTTCTCCGCATGTCACACTCACATTTAAACTTCTACTAAACTGCCTGTACTTATTTCCACTCTCTAAAACAAACTCATAACTTGCCTCTTCTATTAAAAACCTCCCCACCCTCTCACTTTCCTTTTTGGATTTCTTTGACGTATGTCATGTCCGCCCCCTCTATTTGCCGTAGTTCCAGATGGCCCATCTAGTGCCGTTAAAACCATACGCCGCTCCAGTCCCTCGCTCTCAGTCTCTTTGTGATCAGCCCACTAAGACCATGTCCGCCTTCCCCACCCAGGACCCCTCACCCACACCCACACCTCGTCCTCTACACTCCAGAGAACTAGTCCGTCAAAACTCTGACCCCACCTCAGAGACTCCTGCCCCTCAGTCCCGGCCAATGAGAGACGACCGCGGACCCTGGATCCGTCTTCCTGAGATTGAACAACCTCCTAAAGTGAGACTGGTTTCCTCAATTCTTTATCTTTTTCCTAATGTGTTTCAAAAGTGGCTAATTCGTACAATTTCATTCATGCAAAATGTGTTTGAAGAGAAGTAAGCGATCCAATACCAGAAATCTAATTTGCAATTACCTACTGTATTTGTTTTTGCAAAAGAAAAAGTTTATAATCAAAGGCAATATTCTACTGAGTCTTATCACCTTTAATATAAAACCTAAGACCCTGTCCACTCAAACATGGGTATTTTCAAAACAGCATTTTATTTCTTCACGGTATTGCTAATTTTCCACACAAAAATGCAGTATTGAGTTAATGAAATCAAAAATTTCTGAAAACTCCAGCCGGGGTCGAGATTTTCTGAAACTCTTGGTACAGTGTGGTCATGTGGATCCTGCAACTGGAGTTTTCAACTTGTGACATCAGTGTGTGCGATGTTTTCACCTTTCTGATTGGCCAACGAAGCTGGGTTCGACATATTCATGGCACACACATTCTGTATTCTGCATCATTTGCACCTCAAGACCTTATACCACATCTGTTCTCACATTTGCACTGACTTGTATGCAATTTACTAGCAAAAATACTTAGTCTCCCATTTGGACAGGTGTCATTATCTCTGCCTGTAGGTTTAGCTTGCCCTTAACATACATCACAATGCCTTTTTGATTTTTCATGTGGACAGATAAACGGGGAAAACTTCTTATAAAAAAACATGTGGACATGGTCTAAGATTATCCATGTCAAAAGTTTACATGAGTCTCTCCAGCTGCTGGGCTGATGAATGAGCTCAGCAGTGGAGAGCAGGCGGTGTTTAGGGGCTGTTGAACACATTTAAGAACATGTGCATTCGCACTACAGAGAAATGGAGCCTCCAGCAAATATTCTATTCTAGTTGCTATGGTTATGTTTTTTTTTTTTTTTTTTTTTTTTTTTATAGTAGAATCAGGAATTTTAACAGACCATGAAAAATATATATTATTTTCAAAATTTTCTAACTTTCTAACTAAGAATTTTGATTAAGTTCATATATATATATATATATATATATATATATATATATATATATATATATATATATATATATATATATATATATATAAACTTCCTCAAAATTCTACACACAATACACCATAATGACAATGTGAAGAAAAATTTTTTTTAAATTGTTGCAAATTTATTAAAAATAAAAAACCTGAAAAATCACATGTACAGAAGGATTCACAGCCTTTTCTTAATACTTTGTTGATGCACCTTTGGCAGCAATTACTGCCTCAAGTATTTTTAAGGATGATGCCACAAGGTTAGCACACCTGTCTTTGGGAATTTGTGGTCATTCATCTTTGCAGTACCTTTCTATCAGGTTGGATGGGAATCAACGATGTGCAGCCTTTTCAGATCTCTCCAGAGATGTTCATCAGGATTTAGGTCTGGGCTCTGGCTGGGCCACTCAAGGACATATATTTGTTTCTTATGGTCTGAGAGTCCTTCAGATGCCTTTTGGTAAATTCCAGGTGGGGAGTGGTTTCCGTCTGGCAACTCTATCATGCAGAATTGTTGCACAGATGGTTGTTCTTCTGTAAGGTTCTCCTCTCTCCACAGAAGATTGCTGGAGCTCAGAAAGAGTGACCATTGAGTTACTAATCGCCTCACTGACTAAGACCCTTCTCCCCCGATCACTCAGCTTAGATGGTCGGCCAACTCTAGGAAGAGTCCTGGTGGTTCCAAACATCTTCCACTTATAGATGATGAAGGCCACTGTGCTCATTGGAACTTTCAGAGCAGCAGAAATTTTTTTGTAACCTTCTCCAGCCTTGTGCCTCAAGACAATCCTGTCTCAGAGGTCCACTGACAATTCATTGGTCTTCATACTTGGTTTGTGCTTTGACATGCACTGTCAACCCTGGGACCTTATATAGACAGGTGTATGCCTTTTCAAATCATGTCCAATTAACTTGATTTACCACAGGTGAACTCAAATTTAGCTGCTGAAACATCTCAATAATGATCAGTGGAAACAGAATGTACCTGAGCTCAATTTAGAGCTTCACGGCACAGGCTGTGAATACTTCTGTACATGTGATTTTTCAGCTTTTTTATTTTAAATAAATTTGCAACAATTTCAAAAACTCCTTGTTCACTTTGTCATTATGGGGTGTTAACATTATTTTACCCACATTATGGGGAAATAAATGAATTGAATTAATTTTGGAATAAGGCTGTGACATGAAAAAATGTGGAAAAAGTGAAGCGCTATGTATACTTTCTGGATCCACTGTATTTTCTTCCAAAAATAGATGATTTTGTCCCAATACCAGTAACAGTGCAGGATTGTTTCTTTGCATTTTTTACAGTTAAAACAAAGACCAGAGAAGTTTCTGTAAACCTTGTTCAGATATAAGGGTGTAAGATAATCTCTGTTAACGAATTTATAATTGAGTTTATGAACACTCAATGAAGTACATGTAGAAAACAAATTTTTACATTTTTCAGACCTATCGGTATCTTGAGTTTCATGACATAAATTTTTTCCCCACACACTCTTTAAAGGAAGGAAGAAGTACATGAGTTAGACACGGCTTTGTATATTTTGGATATTAGTCCTTTGGATCACTTGGCATTGTAATGTAGCATTTGTATTAGAAGCATCACTTTGGCCACCTCCAGATGATTTTCTTTTTGTATTCCCTACAGTAAGACAGTTTCGAGTTCTTCTTTCAGTTATTGATGTTATTTGTGAAAGTTTTCTCATTGCACCCTAATTTTTTTATTTCTTTTTAAAGCACTTATTGTTTAGTTTAGCAGAAGTTTCTCCCTCCACAAAGCATTATTGGGTGTGGGAAAAAAAATGTTGATGCAGGCTTTGTTAATCTAACTAAAAATCTTGTGCAAATAAACTGTGTATAGTCGCTAAATTAAGATACAACAGTAGATGTGTGCTAATTTGTCCTTGTAATGATTAACATCAGCACGACTGATGCATGATTTTTCTATAATTCCTAATTTCTCTCTCTTAGATTCCTCAGAGAACAGCCTCTATAGCCACTGCACTGAACACAAATCTCTCCTCTGGTATCAGACACCCAGTCCGAGCAAGGTAAAGTGTGTACCGTATATATATATATATATATATATATATATATATACACCCACGTTCATCTGAAGTGACACGACTCGTGTGACTGGCCTGACTCCTGCACCGTGTTTTCTTTCTGTGTCAGTAATCCAGATCTGAGTCGCAATGAGCGCTGGGAGAGAGGAGACAGCATGAGCATCATGTCCAACCTGCCACAGACCGGCTCTCTGGAGAGACACCGCATACTCAGTGAGTGTTGTATGCGACATGTTTTGCAAATATTGTGATAGCACATCTGCCCTCAAGCACAGTAAAACTTCAGATTGCCTAACTGTAAGGACAGCACATAACATAACCACAATAAAAAAATGTCTTGATAAAGTCCTCAAGGATTTCGCGAATTGAGTGATAACAGAATTTTATACAAGTAATGCCTGATTTGGCATTGGTGTTTGGCATGACACAAGCATTTCAGTAGTCACTGCCAGTTTAACACAATAGCAAAACTCAATTTAGCTTAAACGTTTTTTAAAAAATTTACTCATTAATGCTTTTAATAATTGCATACAAGAATTAAAACATTAGCTTGATAATTTAAAATATCGTTCAGCTGTGTAAGAATTACATTGTCGCTTATAACAACTGTCATTAAGTGTCATTCGCTTAGTTACGACATTTTAAATGCAAAGATGAACTTGTTAGTGATAACCCAATATTAAACAAATACACCACAGCCTGTTTTTGTCTGTCATGACTACTTGACATTACCTAGACAACTTGTCATAAATCTGTCATTAAAATGATTGTCATTAAACCTTTATAAATAAATCATGAATTTTATAAGAGTTATGACAATTGTTGTCTTGGTAATGACGAGTTGTGTTGACAAAGATGAAGGCTGGTTCTGATATATAATCTTTGAAAAAAGTTTGTGTTTGAAGCTAAAAAAATTGTTAACCTATTAATTAATTACCAACCTACGTCACACGGGTCCCCGGTTGCAAAAAAGAAGACAGGCTGCAATAGTAAACATGTCGTGTTGTGCGGTAGGATGCCAAATTCGAAAGTTCAAAAATAGAAAACTTAGCTTTTACCATACACCACATTGCTTTAATGCCAACTGCAGATGTCTTACATTAAAAGGGAGCTGAATGAAGTGACGACCTAATTAGAAATACTGGACTCTGCAGTTCTCATATTATATCAGGTAAGTTCACGCTATGCTGAATCGTACATATTACTTGTTTTGATTGCAGAAATTATTTCAGCAAAAACAGTTACATATGGTTAATTAAACTGCAAACACTGAATGCTAAGAATGAAACGTGAAAGTGTAAGTTATTAAGGTAAACATGGTTTTATTTTCACACATTCATTCAGTGACAACTTGTGACACTCCCTTTATCGTTTACCATGGCACTTTGAATATTCAGTCTGAAATAACCCGCAAGTGTGACTTGAAAACAACATTAACACTGTTTATTTGACTGTGAACAATGTTGTACTTTGATAGTCATTGGCTGCTAATATAATTTTGCTATTTAGAGTTTGCAAATAATACTTTTATGAAATGATATTATTAGGGAGAAAGTCTGAATGTGTGAATATAAAACCAACTTTACCTTTATGTGTAAGTTCACATATCCTGCCGTACAGGTGCAGTTCACTGTCAGAATGCAGTCGTTTTGCTTGTTGATGATTAATTACCCAGGCCTTGTACAGTTCCGTCTTCTTTCCTTGTCTTTGGCTAGGCAGAACCTCGGTTTTTAGCACTACATAGTGTTGAATCTGGTAATTATGGAACATTATTTCTTGAACATGACCACACAGAACAACATTGTTGGCATCCAAAGATGTGTAGGCCTTTAACTTCTTTCTTGTAAAATCACTTGGAGCTTTAATGAGATTGTATATTTGGGGCCGGATGCTTGGCCATTTCGTCTTATCCAATATTCAATGGGAGGGTGCTGTCGCAAATGTCGCTCACTTTAACGTTAATTTTGCAGAATCTCTAGTGTTATCACTGGGTGACAAGCTGTTATAATACGCTGAAAGCATTATGTAAATAATATATATAATCCGTAATCAGTATATTTTGTTTCTAAGAAAACAACAAACTCTGTACCGCATTGGATGTCATTCCCTTGCTGTAAATGCTAGGTCTCCTGGTTTCTTTCTGCCACCTCCCTGTGAGCGCATCCTGAATGTTTACAAACATGGTAATTGGTCTATAGGAAAAGAAAGCTTAAAGAGGTGGTCCACTATGATATCATATTTTAAACTTTACTTGATGTGTAATGTAGCTGTGTGAACATAAACAATATCTCTGAATGTAAGACTCTAAATGTTCAGTGCAAAGAGAGGCATTGGCTTTTACAGAGTTAGCTTAGCAAAGCCTAGAGCGAACGAAGTTTGGGGTCTACAAAAAATACATCCAGGCTAGTAGGATCCTAAACACTTCAGGTTACGCGCATTCACCATGCCCATACACCCTGTGCAGCAAAGGGGTGTGGCCAGAGTCGCTGTAATGTCATAGCAGAGAAAGCTAAATTGCTGACCAAACGCTGCTATTTCCAAAGAGCTTGTTCTGTTTCTGTATTTGGGCTTCCAAAAGTCACGACACAGAGAGAAGTGCTTACAGTTTAATTTTAATTATGTTCCAGAGAATTATTAAAAAAATACATAGCTAGCTTTTGACAAAGGAGAACTTCTAAAATCTCTCCCAGTTCAGTGCTGGATTCGGTTAACTCCTCCAACCGACGAAGCTGTGGATTGTGAGCCACAACCTGTGAGTATTTTTATTTGTTAAAATTGATCAACTGCATGCACAGTTTCTAGCGTTAACGGTATGTTGTAGCGAGGACGTAAACAAGGATGTAAACAGGAGGAAATGCTGTTTGGCACATTAACAATTTTGCTACAAATTCATATTTTCCTGTCAAACCACTGTAAACACCCACAATCTTCACCAGCACTGCAGTGTCTCTCTATGCAGGCACTTTCCCTGTGTTCTGCATCTCAAACAACAAACAGCCGGGGCACAGCACGTGTTAGTGACTGGATGTGATGCTTTTTGGTGACCTGGAGCCGATCCACGAATCACAGCACATTATCTTAGCTGACCAATCAGAGCCTCTTGAGGGTGGGCTTTCAGAGGAGGATGTTTTCATGTTAGCTGAGTAGCTGTAGTTAATCAAAATAAGATATATGAAAAAAAAACATGATTTAAAAAGAAAATAATACAATTTTTTACAAGTGAAGCATAAGCACACATTGCTTTGCATCTTATATACACAACCAGGCCTTAAAATACACTGTGGACCACTTATTTAATCTGACAAATATGGCAGATTTCCTTTGGTGGGATACCTGAGAGCAATCGCGTTTAGAAATAATGATTCATACATTAAAATGTGATTTTTAAAAAAAAAAATTTTTAGGTAGGGTTTGTCTTAAGCAATTATAAGCAGATATAGCAGTGCATAATGTTATATATTTCAGGCTCATCTAAGATGGATTCCTCTCCAACCCTCTCTCATGATGGCCGACACAAACCAGGAGAATCCCGAACCTCATCTAGACCCAGCAGACCAGCGGTGAGACACACAATTACAAACACACAAAGGGTCGCATGTTAAACACACAAACACACACTCATGCACATAGAGTCCCAGATCATTTGCCTGTGTCTTGTTTATAGAATGAACACGCTCAGCCCTCCTCTAAACACTAACCTCTGTTCCTTACATTTCCCCCTCTCCTTTTACCCTTCTCATCCCTCTCTCCTCTCATCAATCTCTCTTCCTCCTCCTCTTCCTGCCCTCAGAGCTATAAGAGAGCAATAGGAGAGGTCAGTGCCCGTATCTGTGTATCTGCATGAGTCCGAGTCTCTGTTCTTGCATGACTGCATCTTCTCGTGATGGTGTCCATGTGGATGAAGCTAAATGTCAAATGAATGTTGTGTCATCATCATGTTTAAAATAATGATCAAATAATTGCTGCATTAATCACGTATGATTTAAGAATGACATTTCTTAAAGGCTGTCTTGAATTAATTACAGTATGATAATTAAATTAATAGCCAATAATCTTGTATGCACATCCTTTCAGAGATTTGAGTTTAGCATGATTTTAAAAAATAGAAATAATGCATTGCATACGTTCAGTCTAAATCGGTGAAGGTTTTTGCTGGCTGACTTTGTAATTATAAAATTCCACAAACAAAATGTTTCTATTGTTTTAATAAATCAACATTTTCCAATCATTTCTGACTGATCAGGTGACACCAAAGGACCGGAGTAAGACTTCCTAAAAATTACAGCAATAGATCGCCTTTTTTTAAAAATAAATATTACTATAGGCAGCAGTTATTTTAAATTGTAGTAATATTTCACAACATTGAAGATGATCAAATTAATGGAGCCTTGCTGAGCGTAAGAGACTTTATTAAAACAAAAAAAAAAGTCTTATTGACATCCTGCTTTCAAACAGTTATATATATTTCAGGGCTCTCAAAACTGCAAGCCTGACGTCCCAGTGTTATTATATTTTCCAGTCGGGCTACCAAAAATAGAAAAAAAGACACAACTGACGTGTGTAGGTCATGACAAAATGGTGGATGTACTGTAGTATGTCCAAGTTTCATTCACACTGCTCACATTCATACTGTATAGAACTTACTTTTCTAACGGTCGAATATTACATTTAAGTTTAAATGCAGTACCTACTATGTAGTAGTCAATATCTGACGCAGCCATAGCCTATTTCAATGCTTTTGCATTCTCTCACAAATTGGGTAGTTATGTTGGATGTAACTTTCATGCATCGAGGAGCCACTATCAATATGTGTTTATATTAGCATTTGCACTAACTGGTGTTGTCAAAAAAACTGGTAAAGTGATAAAGGTAAGCCTACCAGTTTTTCACATGATTTGTTTTAGGTACAATTAGAAAGGAAAAATATTACTAATAATAATAATAATGAATAAATAAAAAACAATGATAATAATGAATACAATAATGAAATAAAATGTGGTTATTTTAAAAATAGACTATAATGAATGACTTTATAACTTTATTTAGTAGATATATGCATTTCTTTTTATTAACTATATAGTGTTTTTTCTATTTGGGCCACATCAGTTTATTTCAGGCTACTAAAAACTTAGGGGAATTTATTTCGGGCTACCAGGGATTTAGAAATTCTGCAAACCCTGTATTTTTTAATCTATCCTGATTATAATAATTCAGATGCTTAAAGGTAGATGAATATAGCGTTAAATAAACAAGTACCCACATAAATCCATATTGCAACTATGTTTGTGTAAAAAGTGATTTTATACCTAGTTCAAACCTTATTTTTCTTCTGTGGAACACAAATGTTTTTTTTTTTTTTTTTTTTTTTTTTTGGGTGGTGCTTCAAGCAGCCTCCAGTGAAAATCCAGTGTTGTTTTGTATTCCATTGGCCTTTATTATGTCTTTTGAGTCCCACAGAGAAAAGAAACATTTAACCATAAATTATACCTTTAAAATATATAATCAAAGTTAACATTACATGTGAATTTTGGGCCATTGTTTAGCGTCTTGCGTCTCTCCCTGGACGTCTCTATCCAGTTGATGTCACCCGTCTGCAACCATCAGCATCTGTTGAGGGACAGTCCTGCACTTACGGTCTTGATCTGACCACCTTCACCCTCCTCCCCAATATATCCCACTTCCTCCACACTCCAGACTTTGAAAGACGGAATGCATGATCGAAATCCCATGTTTATACTTTATCGGGTCCAGTGTTTATAAATCAGAGATTATTTATATGACAGTTGCTCATTTACCTGTTGATTTGTTGGTGTGGATGTGTCAGGATCATGGTCTGTACTCTAAGGAGCGAGCAGAGGAGCAGCCGCGGCCCCCTGTGAAGGCCAACGACTACTCCTCTTCCTCAGAGAGCAGTGAAAGCAGCGAAGAGAGTGAAAGTGGAGAAGGAGCAGAGGAGGAAAGCCCTACTGACCGGTGAGAGAAGATAGAAGTGTCCCAACTGACGACTGATGATAATACACATTTGGCTTATTTTGTCATTCATCATCTAAAAGTCTAAAAGAACAATCAAACATTCCATGTGTTTTTCTTATGCAATCGTGTGTAATTTCGGTTTTTATGTGCATTTGGTAACACTTTAGTTTAAGTAACAATTCACATTATTTACTCCTGGTTTATTACCTGCCTGTTATAAAGATATAAACTGTTTATTAGCACTTATAAAGTGTGATCCTATTTTACATCCCTAATCTTACACAAAACCTAAATCCAACTTTTACCTTGCCATCTGTTAGTAAGCAGCTAATTAGTAGTTTATTGAGCTAAAATTCTTAGTTAATGGTCTTAGTTATTAGTGTAAAATGTACATTAAAATCAAGTGTTTTTATTTATTTTCCAGTTTGACTGTTTCACTGTCAGATTTAAAGCCTGTTAAAACGGCTGGATAACTTCTTTTTATGGCTTTATTTTTCATATTTTTCTTTTGAATGTGTGTTGTCAGCCCCCGTGATGCAGATTCTGACTCTGTGAACACTATGGTTGTCCATGAAGAGGAGGAAGGTGAAGGAGGAGAAGAAGAACGTGCTGGAGGATATGGAGACCAAACCATGCTTGTGCAGAGGGTAGGATGAGTTGTGTGTCTGTGCGCTGGTGGGATGTTCATTCATGAGACCTCAGCATAAACTTTAAACTAGCTTGAGGGTTTGATTTAGGCATCTACTACTAAATCCCTCTATAGCTGTAAATCGAATTGCTAAATTATCATAATAAACCTATTTAAAATTAATTATTAATTAAAGTATTTAAATAAAAAAATACTAATGGTAACACTGTAGCTTCCTCATGTAGAGGAGTGGAGAGGAATTTATATCTACATTATATCTATATAATCTAGAACAGATTCTCTCTCTTTCTCTCTCTCTCTCTCTCTAATAATAATAATAATAATAACAACAAAGACTTGTGAATTAAGCAAATGGCAAAAACTAACAGCAAACTCAATATTCCGTTTTGTAATGAGAAGTAAAAATGTGCATTAAAATTCTTAGGTTTGGGTCAGAAAAATTAATAATAAAAACAATGAATTTTAAATGTGTTTAAGTTATTCTCCATTTGTTTAAGAATACAGTTAAAACAATACATACAGTCACTGACCACTTCATTAGATAAGCCTTACTAGAACAAAGTTTGACCCCCTTTTGCCTTAATTAATGGCATAGATTCAACAAGGAGATTTTGGTTCATATTGACATGATAGCATCACACAGTTGCTGCAGATTTGTTTGCTGCACATCCATGATGCAAATCTCACATTCCACCCCATGCCAAAGGTGCTCTATTGGATTGAGTCTGGTGACTATTTAGGCCATTTGAGTACAGTGAACTCATTGTTATGTGAGTGACAATGTCAATGCTCAATTGGTATCAATGGGCCCAAAGTGTGCCAAGATTACACCACCAGCACCAACCTGGACCATTGATACAAGTCCGGATGGATATATCCATGCTTTTATGTTGTTGACACCAAATTCTGACCCTACCATCTGAAAGTCACAGCAGAAATCGAGACTCATCAGACCAGGCAACATTATTTCCAATGTTTTATTGTTCAATTTTGGTGAACCTGTGTGAATTGTAGCCTCAGTTTCCTGTTCTTACCTGACAGGAGTGGCACCGGGTGTGGTATTCTGCTGCTGTAGCCAATCTGCCTCAAGGTTGGACGTGTTGTGCGTTCAGAAATGCTCTACTGCATTCCCTTTCTATCAGCTGGAAACCAGTCTGGCCATTCTCCCCTGATCTGTGGTATCAACAAGGCAACAAGTTACTGTTGCCTTTCTATCAGCTGGAAACCAGTCTGGCCATTCTCCCTTGATCTGTGGTATCAACAAGGCATTTGCGCCCACAGAACTGCTGCTCACTGGATATTTCCGCTTTATCGAACCATTCTCTGTAGACCCTAAAGATGATTGTGCGTGAAAATCCCAGTAGATTTTCAGTTTCTGAAATACTTAGACCAGCCCGTCTGGCACCAACAACCATGCCACATTCAAAGTCTCTTAAATAATCTTTCTTCCCCATTCTGATGCTGTAGCAGATTGTCTTGACCATGTCTGCATGCCTAAATGCATGGAGTTGCTGCCATGTGATTGGCTGATCAGAAATTTGCATTAGCTAATAGTTGGGCAGGTGTACCTAATAAAGTGGGCCTTTAAGTGTACATATATTGTGAAATATTTTTAATCCTAATTTAACTCTTTAATATATCTTAAAATTAGACATGTTTTTATATAAATATATTTATAAGGTAGAATTATCATTGATATGTTTTAATTTTATTCAGATTCTGATCCTTCAGGGCATTTAAGAAACATTTGTTGATATCATCAGTGTTGAAATCATGGATAAAATCATCTTTAAGGAATAGACAGTTCAACAGAACAAGAATTATTTGAAAATAATAAAATATAATGTCTATGGTATATTATTATGTCCCTTTATTGCATCATTCCTGAGTAAATCATAAACAAAAATAAATAAAACTAGCCCTAATTCTATTTATTTCATTAAAGCAGCATATAGTTTGTATGTATATTTTGACTTACTACAGGTTTTAAGCATTTCATTGACCCTTCATTAGTGTCCCACTATGCCTCAGAAGGATAAAGCCTTTATGTGCATGCTAGAAGCCAATATCATAGCACCAGTGTCAGCCCGAGTTTGTTTGTGTGTTTGTTTCTGTCAGACTCCAGAGAAGCGCAGTCATAATGGATACACCAACCTGCCTGATGTGGTTCAGCCTTCTCACTCTCCCACAGACTCGGCCTCCCACTCCTCCCCCGGGAAAGACTCTACTTATGATGTGAGTCTCTGCCCACTTCTGGAGCTTCAGTTACTCCACCGTTTATCATTTCATCAGCATGCCATCCAGCTTTTTTTTTTTGTAATTGATTCTTTATCTGATGTACTGGACAACAAGTGTGTGTTCAATTGGCTGACCGTGATCATGCTATTCATTTCAGTATCAGTCCAGGGGATTGGTCAAGGCCTCTGGAAAATCCTCTTTTACTACCTTTGTGGACCTTGGAATGTACCAGCCATCAGGGGGTAGTGGAGATAACATTTCTGTTGGAGGTAAAGTGGTTAGTTTGGGTACGGAGATTTTAAGGGGATTTTTAACACAAAAATGTAAATTCCTGTTTAAGTTTCTGTTTTGTTGAACCTAAATGAAGATATTTTGAAGCTTGTTGGAAATGGGTAACCATTGTCTTCCATAGTATTTGTTTTTCATACAACACATGTTAATGTTTACTAGTTTCCAACATTCTTTAGAATCTCTTTTTATGTGTTCAAAACAACAAAAAACTCCCAACTGGTTTAAAAACAAGTCAAAGATGAGTAATAGATGACAGAATTTTTGTTGAATTTTTTAGAATCATTTGTGGGTGAACTACCCCTTTAAGATACACTATTGTTCAACAACACAGGGTGTACTCTGTTCACTGCATTTACAATTACAGGAAAAACAAAAATATTAGCAAACATTAATTTTTAAGATAAATTTTATGATGTAAACTAATGTGAAAGATTTTTAAGTATAATTATTGTCTCATTAAGTAATTAGTGTCATTCAAAAGTCATATTAATATGCTTTGATTAGTGTTCAAGATTGTTGTTTTCTTTAGTATTTTGTGAAAACCATGATCATTTTAGCCGCATTTGATAGAAAGTTCAAAAGGAAGATGCTAATTTAAAATAATCATAATTTGTAACATTATAAATGTTAAATATTTGCTGAATATGTATATATTAATTTCTTAATACATATTGATTATTTGAAAAAGCAAACATTTGAACAGTGCTGTTTGTGTAAAGCTTAATACATTGGAATACATGAGAATATTTATTTACTTTTTTTGTTGTTGTTGAGAATCAAAATTGATCAGATGAATCTACTGGAAATGCTATATTAATTTAAATTTTCTTACATTACTTGAGAAATATATATATATATATATATATACTTGAATTGCAGCATATATTTAAATTATGTTCTCTCATAACATTACATATTTTCCCCCATAGCTGTATGTTTTGTTCTAATGAATCTTCTACATGTTTACTGGAAAACAAGACAGAAGATCTGAGCAAGAAAATGATTTCAGCACCCTAGACCTGTGACTGTTTCTTGATGGCTGTGAATCTGTTTCTGACAGATGACTCAGTGTCTCTCTGCTGTGCGGTTTGTGGGTGTTGTAGGTCTGGGCTCTCGTTTTGAGCAGCTAAAGCTGGAGGTGAGGAAGGGCTCCATGGTCAATGTCAATCCCACAAACACACGTCCGGTCAGTGACACTCCTGAAATCCGCAAATACAAGAAGAGATTTAACTCTGAGATCCTCTGCGCTGCTCTCTGGGGTAAGAGCCATGCGTGTGTTTGTCAATCTAACGAAGTACATTTCTCATAAAGCCATCCCAACTGTCTATTCTTACTATCAGGGTTGGGCAGAAATACTTTAAAATGTATTTTAAAATAAAATGCCAAATACCTTTTAGTTTAAGTGTAGGTGCATTAAAATAAACTACAAACGACAGCAGCCAAAATGTGTATAAAAATAAAAACTGTATTTTTGTATTTTAAAAATACTACAAAATACTTTTACAAAGCATCGTGACATTTCTTCCCAAAACCTACTATCAATAGGCCTATTGGATCAATCCCTTCACCATTAAACTGACTCAGTGTAATAAACAGTGTTTGACAGTAACAGTGTTTCTCTAAGTTTTAGCTTTTCTGCCACTTTGCTCATCTCAACCTTCAACTGTAAGACTTTCATTTTTGCATTTATTTTGTAGATAATTTCATACAGAAAGTCCTGACTTGATAATCTCATTCCGTTTAAACCATTTATTGCAGATGATAAGTCGAATCGTATTGCTATATCTATTGTTTGTGTTTTCACCCATTCTGTGGCCAGTAAAATTGTCATCATCTCTGTGCAATGATTATTCAAGCTCTTAATATTTTAAAAGGGTGATAAATGAAGAGTTTTAAATTTGTTTTGTTCCCAGAATTTTTCATAAATCTAGTATTTTGCAGTTGAACTCTTCAGTACTCAATGTGAAAACATGATTTCTGAAAACTTCTAAAAATTGTTATGTTTTTCTGTTTTTGCAAATAAACTCTTCATATACAGCTAAAGTCAGAATTATTAGAATTTTTTTTTTTTTTTTTTATGTAGGTGCATTCTTATGCATTTACGTATGTAATAAATCATCTTTGCATTATAAAGAAAAAAAAGATCTACTTTTTCTGCAAGGCATTGGTAATCAGAGTGTATGGATGGACACTAAATGTGACATTGTTCTCTCTTCTGTCTGCCATTAACTGTCTAACACAGATTTTTCTTTTTTCTGCAAGTCTTGATAACACCATCATTGATCATCTTTTATTATTTGAGCAAATAGGATTGTAAAAAAAAATATTTCTTGTATTCTCCCATTCACCTTGCATTAAGTTTACGCAAATATGACAACTTCCGCTACTGAGAAACCTGGAAAAGTGAAGAGGGTCTATTGATTTCAGGTAGCTTTGATCCATTTGAGTCACTTTACTGATTCAAGTATTTTACTGATTGCTGATTTTAGTTCTTTTTAATCAAGTTTTTACATTATTTTAGGGTAGTGAGGTTAGTGTATGAAGTGTGTGAAAATTGGCACATGATGAGATCAAGGCTATTTGTTCCTCCTTCTTCTTTTAGTGTTTTAAACCCTCCAGTTCAAACTCTTTAAAATGTAATGCACATTTTAGCTAAAATAATTCAGGCAAGTTTCCTAGAAACAAAACTTTCTTTCTTCTCTGATTTTTCTAAGCCGTGCTAGTGCAACAAGTGATTTCTGTTCTCGATTTTCTCCTTGTTCAATTGTTTTTATCTTTTTAAGCTCATACTACACTCATAGGGTTGCCAGACAGAAGTTTTTTTTCAAGAAATATATTTGTATCTGTGTATCATTTTAATGTGTTGACATGAACTTTGTTATCTTTGCACCAATTCCCTGAGCGTTCAGGAGGACTAGTTTGATGGCAGTGCCACCCACTGGCCAAAATGCATAAAATATGACCACAAAGCATGGTGGAATAAAGTGGCACAAGGTCAAATTTCTCCATAATACCCTTTTGAGCAGTGTACCGTTTTTTTCATCCACTCCTACAGAGAGTTTATTATATACAGTCAAAACTTTTCTACTTTAAATTCAGTACACCCCTAAAGCATGATAAACAGTTTTCTCAGAATAGCTCCATAGCACAGTCTGTGAGCATTTTAGGTCTTGAAGGGTGTGTGTGTTTTAACTGTGTATGTTCTGTCAGGTGTGAATCTGCTGGTCGGGACAGAGAATGGTCTGAAGCTGCTGGACAGAAGCGGTCAGGGTAAAGTGTATCCACTGATCAACTCGCGCAGATTTCAGCAGATGGATGTCCTGGAGGGACTGAACCTCCTCATCACTATATCAGGTTATAAAATGCTCTGTTCCTTATTTCACACACCCGTCTATCTTTGCCGGGACACATAGATATAGACCAGACCACCTATTTTAGGATCTTCATGTGTAGTTTCTCTCTTTTCTTAGGCAAGAAGAATAAGGTACGCGTGTATTATCTGGCCTGGCTGAGGAATAAGATCCTCCATAATGACCCAGAGGTGGAGAAGAAACAGGGCTGGACCACTGTAGGGGAAATGGAGGGCTGTGTGCACTATAAAGTGGGTAAGTGTGCATGTATGAGGTGCTTAATTATGCGCAAACCAAAAGAAAGTGATGAAAGATTGTGCTCAGCTGCTGCTTGGCGAATAAGCAAAAGTGAAACCGAATAGGTCAGAAGACATGAGGAAAGCTACTTTTATCTTAGAATTTTCCTCTCAACTCTTTTAAAGTGCTTTGTGCCTTGTAATAAAAGTGCTGTGAATGTCGTGTTTATTTTCCCAGTGAAATATGAAAGGATTAAGTTTCTGGTTATCGCTCTGAAGAATGCAGTGGAGGTTTACGCCTGGGCTCCAAAACCTTACCACAAGTTCATGGCCTTCAAGGTACTGACGCAAGCTTTGTGTTTATGTCTGATTGTTTTATTGGTCGCATACAATGCTGGTATGTGCTTTAGTGGGGATTTTAAGGCTTTTCAAAATGTTTTGGTCAGCTTTTTATTATTATTTGATTGATTCATTTTTTTCTTTGTGCCTGTGGAAAAGAAAAACTTTCATTTAACAAAGTAAAATTATCAGAAATGATGGTAAAATATTAAAACTTTTCCAAAAGATTTGTATTTTGAATAAATTCTATTGTTTGTAATTGTTTTTAAAACCCTTTTAAGGGGTATTTAAAGGGATAGTTTGACCCAAAATAAAAATTGTCATAATTTATGCACATTTAAATTGTTCAACTCCTTTTTTGTTCTGTTGAACACACAAGAAGATATTTTAAAGAGTGTTGAAAATTGATAACCACTGACTTCCAGTGCAACTATTTTTTCTACTTTGCACGTGAATGGTTACAGGTTTCCAACATTCTTCAAAATATCTTCAAATTAACTTCAAAATATCTTCCACATTTCATTTTTGAGAGAACTATCCCTTTAAGAATCCTGGTTTCCCCCAAAATAATGATTTTTCAACATTTAAAAATGCATAAGATAAAGATTTTTAAGAATTTTCAAAATCATAAAAATGTCTTTATTCTTTTAATAATTTTTATTTTCTTGTTTCTTTTATTCTTATGTAAAGCACTTTGAATTACCATCGTGGATGAAATGTGCTACATAAACTTGCCTTGCCTTAAAATTCTTTTAATTTACAATCTTATTATGTTTTTGTTGTTGTTAAAAATAATTAATATCATGCTTTTATTGATGTTTCTTAGTCATTTGGAGACCTGCCGCACAGACCTGTGTTGGTTGACCTCACAGTGGAAGAGGGTCAGAGGTTAAAGGTCATCTATGGCTCCTTGGCTGGCTTCCATGCCATTGATGTTGACTCTGGAAACAACTACGACATCTACATTCCTGTACATGTGAGTTATGTTGTCATGTGACACACCAAGAATACACTGGGTCAGTCAATTGGAAAATGCAGAGGAGAGTTTGATAGTGATTTATTTCTCCTATAAATCCATGTTCCTCTCTCTTGCTCTCGGTCTGCTGCTGTAGATCCAGTCACAGATCACTCCTCACGCCATCGTGTTCCTGCCCAACTCAGATGGGATGGAGATGCTGTTGTGTTATGAGGACGAAGGTGTTTATGTCAACACGTACGGACGCATCATTAAAGATGTGGTGCTGCAGTGGGGAGAAATGCCCACATCAGTAGGTGAGTGTGTATACTAGATTAGAATAGATTCAACTTTATTATCATTACAAGTACAAGGCAACGGAATGGAGTTTAGATCTAACCAGCAGTGCAATAGCAACAAGTGCAGGATATAGCTATAAGCTATAAAGTGCAATTATAGAAAAACTATGGTAACATTAGAGCTAAAAAGGGCTTCGTCGCTGCCTATTTTTAAGTCCAAATTAAAGACGCATTTATTTTCTAAGTCTTTTTGAAGCATAAGTCCTTCCCTTTCAGAAGGGGGGGGGTGTTGGGAGTGGGGAGGGGGATAAAAACGGTCATGTTCTCTATCGTGTTTAGTGTTGGTCAACTGTGGTAGCATATTTTAATTAGGAAAAATATTGTATTATTATTATTACGATTTTTTATTTTTATTTACATTTTTGCTCTTTTATTGATAATTTTTCTATGTTCCTTCCTATTATGTGCTTATTGCTGTTTAAACTATTTTATGCTCATATCATGTGTTTATTTTCTCTCTGTAAAGCACTTTGTGCAGCCCTGTAGCAGTTGGAAACGTGCTATATAAATAAATAGAACTAGAACTAGAACTATATTTACAGATGGTTGTACTATGAACATTATATATAGGTTGTATTAGCTATGAACATAGATTTACAATTAGTGAATATATGTACAGGTTGCTATTAATAATCAGGGGTATGCCGAAAGAATTAACATAATTTATAAATGTATATGTGCAGTAGATATGTACAATTCAAGATGAAAGTGCAATGTAGTGCAATGAATATGTTCAATTTTAATTGTGCAAATATTAAATAATAAATAATACAGTGTTTATGGGGAGTTTAAGTTATGAGAAGAGTGTGGGGGGTATATATACAAATACACACAAACACACATTCTGCTTTCTGCACAGTTGTAAAAGTGGTAGATGGAGAGATTTTTTTTATTATTCATTTATTTTTTACCTCTACATTTAGATTTATTCATTTAGAAGATGCTATTTTCCAAAGCCACTTACAATTAGGAGGCATTCAGCGATTCAGTAAGAAGAGGCAATACACACAATAAGTGCTTATTATACAGAGGAACTGTTTGCACTCTGATTTAGTGCTAGAAAAAGAAGGTGGTATTATTTTTGAGAGAGAGAAGCTTGTTTCTACAGGTGGTTTGTTAAGCCCACTTATCTGTAAGAAGCACACTTCATAAATGCACAATAATTTATTCATTTATTTATTTATTTTTATATGGAGTGATCAGAGAGATGAAAGAGTGTGTTTACTACAGATGGTTTGTCAGGGGCATATGGGGGTCTTGGTTTTATTCAGATGGCTTGAGATGATCTCTGTAATTTTTTATATAGACCAGACTGAATGAAAGCAAATATTCTCTGTTTTCCAGCAGAGGTAGAATTTAATCAGATAGGATTTCAATGGATTGTTTTAGTTAAGATTCTGTAGAAGCCATATTTCTGTAGTGAATTCTGAAATCTGTTTTTGTGTTTGTGTCTGTGTTTTGCTTGTAGCCCACATTTGCTCTAATCAGATTATGGGTTGGGGAGAGAAAGCCATTGAGATCCGTTCTGTTGAGACGGGACACCTGGATGGAGTCTTCATGCACAAGAGAGCCCAGAGGCTTAAGTTCCTGTGTGAACGGAACGACAAGGTGATTTTTCTTTTCACACACTTACACACACACTGCACTTCACACTAATGTTAAAAAAAAAAAACCTATACAATTCCTGTCCAAATCCCTCCAAGAAAAAAAATGAATGTTTGTTTTTGATGTATTTATATTCTTTTTATTTTATGCTACATATTTAAATCAAATATAAGACACCACTAGAGTTTAATCTCCTAGTTTGCTTTTTATTTTTAAAGATTAAATAAACATCTATAGAAATGTATTTGAAAATCCATTAATGACATGTTTAAATGTATGAGCTTGACAAACGCTACAATTTGTAGGGAAAAAAATTGAAAATCGAATGAGATGTCCTGTAGATTACAAATAATAGTAAGGGAATCACAGATTTAAAACTGTTATGTAATTGTAATGAAGGACAATTATTACATTTTCTTTGGTAAATAAGGTAGTAATTAAATGTATAACTTGGTACAGTTATACATCAGTTGTAGATAATTAAGGTAATTTACCTAAAAATGGCACTCCTGACTTTTAAGTAGCATTGATGTGCAAGTCAAATTTGACAGTTTTATCAATAAAAAATAAAAATAAGTTATGTAAGAAATGTTTGTAAACTAATTTTTACCTTAACTTTATTATTTAACTTTGTTACCCTTTCAATGTAACATTATTCATAACAGGAATGTAATGTGTATAACAAATATAAGCATAAAACACTAATTATAATAGCATGTACTATACCAATTATTTACTGTAAACATGATACTAGAAACCTCTATTTTAGAAATCAAGCCTGAACACATTTATTTAAAGTGAAACTGAAATTGCACTGTGTTAAAAATGTGCTTCACAAATACTTGTCACTCATTCAGCAACAATACAAATGTGTACATTTTGCATGTTTTTTCTGTTTGACGTTTATTGATTTACATACTTTGCTTTAGTAGACAAGTTATATAACTTATAAAAACCTGCTTTAAATCTGTATATTAATGGTAAATGGCAAATGGAATGAGATGAATGTAGAAACAGCAAAATTGTATGAAGTGAATCCATTTGTAAATGATAGAAATAATTAGCATTTTGAAAATAAACATCAGGTTGTACACTACCTGACAAAAGTCTTGTCGCACATCCAAGTTTTAGGAACAACAAATAATAACTTGACCTCTAGTTGATCATTTGGTATTAAAAGTGGCTTTTATAAAAAAGAGGCTAAAGCCTTTGGATTATGCTTATTTTACCAAAATAAAACATGATCATGCCTTGATTTTTAAATTAATAAAATAAGATAATTAATATTGTGTATGACTCCCGTGAGCTTGGAGGACTATATTCATACATCTCTGCAATGGCTCAAATGGAACGGCAAATAAAGCATTCGTGCAGGACTCCCAAAGTTCATCAAGGTTCTTTGGATTCGTCTTCAATGCCTCATTTTACCCCTGACATGCTCAATAATGTTCATGTCAGGTGACGGGGCTTGCCAATTCTGGAGCACCTTGACCTTCTTTGCTTTCAGGAACTGTAATGTGGAGGCTGAAGTGTGAGGGGTGCTATCCTGCTAATGGAGTTCCCCTCTCCTGTGGTTTGTAGTGTAATGGGCAGCACAAATGTCTTGATAACCTCAGGCTGTTAATGTTGCCATCCACTCTGCAGATCTCTCACACGCCCCCATACTGAACGTAACCCTAAGCCATCATTTTTTCCTTCACCAAACTTGACTGATTTCAATGAGAATCTTGGGTCCATGCGCGTTCCAGTAGGTCTTCTGCCACTTTTCCAAGTTATCAACTAGAAGTCAAGTTATTATTTGTTGCTCTTACAACTGGGATAGATGACAAGACTTTTGTCAGGGAATGTACATACGAGATGTAAAATCAGCCACTCAAGACTTATACTCTCATTTTATTGAAAGGGGAAGAAAAACCTATTTGTGACTTGTATATAAATATTTTTAAGATAAAACATTGTAATAAAATGTGTGGGTTTTTTTTTATTACATTCGAGAGCGTTTTTTTTTCTTCTTTTTTTTCAGAAAATATTTGAAAGGAAATGTTTAAAAAGGTGTCTTCTGAAGGAGTTTTAGAATATTTTTCATTAATCAAACTTAAGTATTATATATGACTCTTTTCAGTGCTGTTGTTGTTTCTTGTATGTGTTTTTGTATAATGAATGTTTATTAAGAAACCGATATGAGTGCATAAATTGTATATTTAGGCAAGGTTTTGCTATGAATATAGCCAATGCTGCGGAAGGCATTATAACCTAAAAAACTGAATAATTAAACAATCAACTTATACTTCTCGTCCACTGTAATGCTGTTTTTGTCTTTCTTTTAGGTGTTTTTCGCGTCAGTGCGTTCCGGTGGCAGCAGCCAAGTTTACTTCATGACCCTCAACAGAAACTGCATTATGAACTGGTGAAAGAACATGGGTTCTGCTGTGTACACACATTCAAACACTGAAGAGATAAAGTCCTCGCACACTACAACACCCTCAAACACTTTGTAAATACACATTTACTCTCACACACACTCACACTTTCCTGCACAAACCTACAGACACATCTTCCTGAAGACACTCCTCCACCATTCTCCTGTGATCTCTGAGCCAACTGAGCCCTGCTGACCTCAGTTCATCCAGTTCCACACGGTTAGCTTTCAGTTCACCGGGGCCAACGTTCCTCCGATGCTTTTAGGACTAGACAAAAGGCTAACTGTACATACATTGTACCAGAGATGCGTGTAAACAAAACGATGCGTGTAAACAAAACTATGAGAATCGTTCGGTTGTTGCGCGTTTGTGACGCAGCAGACATGTGTGCGTGTGTTTCGAGAGACTTTATAAGCTACTTTGAGCAGCAGAAACAACTTGAACCTGCAGTGGTGTGAGGTGGTACTGCCACATCTGTAATTTTACCATTTGACCACTGTATAGTGTAGTAGTCGTTTGTTCTTGGTTGCGTTCAGAGTTTCAGATTCAAGTGATTATAATGTTTTCTTTCAGCAAGTAGAAGTTTAGAGGAATCTTGAGTTTTAGCATATTCCAAGACGGCTTCTCTTCCGAACGAGGGAAGGTTTTCGCTTTCTTGATGTATAAACAATAATCTTTCACCAAACTGTTTGTTGGATGGGAACATCGGTGGCCGCTTACGAAGTACAATCCAGCGCTTTTCCACTAGTAGTTTGCTGGTGAAAACAAGCCACCCACGATGGAGCAGCAGTCTCTGGTTTTGCTTTTCAAAGCACTTTTTTTTTATTTTTGTTTTCTTTGGATGTGAGAAGTATCATCATATCTACTACAGTTTGATATTCTCCGTATGTAAACGTATTTGGTATTACTCCTACTTTTATTATCTGCTGTTCTATAGCTGTTCTATTGCAATACGTGATGTGTGCTCGTTCTTGTTCGAAGTTTTACAGGGGGTCTTCTCTTGATTTCAGAAAGGAAGATGAAGTTGAAGGTGCTTTTTGGCAGCATAAACGTGTAGTTCGGACGTCTCCGTGTAAATTGTACATAGCAGCCATGATCGTATTTAGATAACATTTGTAGGCACATGATTATTATTATTATTATTATTATTATTATGGTTTTTAAGAATTGAATCACTACACAACTGCGTTAAACACTTGAGAGTGATTTTATAACCGAGTCATGTGTTTTTGCTGTCAAAATTGCTTTTGGAAAGTGTAGTTGTTTTAGGCAGATTTGTAGTTCAACGGGAAATGTGCGCATTTGACCTGAACATCTTAATATTTGGAACTCCCCCACCATTTTATAGCAACAAAACGTCATGTTGTAGATGAGGACTCGATGGATCGGAACATAAATATTCTTTTGTTTATCTAACAGTGTGTGAGCGAGTTATATATGTGTGTGAGGGAAATATTAAGCGGTAACGTACAGTAGGATCAGTATAAAGCAATAGTTTAAAGAATTCGTGACGGGTTTGTGCCTGGTGTTATTGTCTCCAGCTCTGCAATACTAGACCAGAGATTATTCTCAAGCTTTTCACTTTCATTTTCATGCAGATGATCTACATTTTTCAACAGTATTTACCCAAAAACAGATTCTCTATTTAAAAAAACAAGATGGTATAACACTTAAAGAAATGCTGCCTTTACAAATAAGCTTGTGCACACTAATCACTGAAATATTTGACGCACTTTCGTCCTTCCTGAATATTTTTCTAGTTTCTAGTCGTACAGTAGCTTGTGGCCGTACAATCATAATCAGTTACCTAACAGCCCCTTTCCTCAATACCGTCGCACAGTCTAGACGAGCGATGACACATTCAGTAAGTCATCGTGAAAACACTTCAGACAAACAACATTATAAATAGTCACATTTCAGAGAGAGGTATTTTTTGTTCATCAACTAAGACCAAACTTGACTGCTACAGTGCCATTATAACATAATCAACGCTCTCTCTGAGACTTGCTTTCGCCCCTCATCCTATAGAATTAAAGCATTTCTTGCTTAGTGAATCTAACTGCCATGTTTACTGAATTAACAGTGCCTTGGATTGGGGTTGAATGTGTGTGCATGTGTGTGTAAGAGAAGGAGCGTGGAGCATGTGATTATTTCAATACGAAGTGAAGTTCAGGGAAGAGAAAAGTCCAGTGCGCAGTTCGAGCTCTCGTGCCAACAAAGTGCACTTAAACTGACAAGAGCCAGAGCACCAAGACAGGCTCCTCTCACTCCGTTTGAGCACAAAAGCCATGCCATATAGAGTTCATTCCTCTGGTTTAAAGGCAGTGCTCTCCTCTTGCAGTGTTTAGATACTTGTAGAGCACCGTATTAAAGTCCAAACGCCCAACAGTTACAAGAAATAGCGCACGTTTTTTGGTGGCTGTATCATTTTGCCAAATGGAAAACCTCTGGTGTTGGGCTGCTCACATGCGTGTGATGTAATTCGGTGGATTGAATAGAGCTTATGTTTTATAGCAAAATTGTGATATAGCAAAGATTCATATTCGCTTTATAAATTAGATAAAAGTTTATATTAGGATTACAGTGGCCTGTCTGGATGAATGAAGGAAATATATATATATATATGTGTGTAAAATATATCTAAAATCCCAGAATTCTTCTTCTTTTTTTGAGCTAAATAGATGTGAATTTATATTAAGAGTTTAACGAACATAACCTGCTCTCTAGAAGCGAAGAAACGAATGCATTGATTATATGTAATAGCATTTGTCTGGCTGAAGAATCATAATAATAATAATCGAGCACAAGCTTCTGTACATACGAGTCGTCTCTCTCCCCTCTTTTTCTTCCAGCGAGTGTTATAAAAGCGAGCGTGTGGGTGTGCGACTCCGCATGTGTGAATAGGAGAGCTATTTTTGCTGTGCGTGCGTGCGTGTGCTGTTCATTATTCCCTCAGAGGAAAGAGAGAAGAGATGGTCGAGGACCAGTTTGGTCAAACATGCACACATCATCACAGATGCGACTCCAGTCATGTTTGCGATGACCAATTCTACAGTCATTCTGTCAGCAACTGACCACAGTTCTGATCTCATGCAAGAGACTTTTAGAGGAAGAGATCATCAAAAAATAACTTGAGTATGTTTCTTTTTCTGTTGAACACAAAAGAAGATAGTTAGAAGAATGTTGGAAATCATTGACCTGCTATTTTTCTCAATTTCTTCTTTTGTTTTCAGCAGAAAGAAGAAACCTCAAAGGTTGAGTAAACAATGAGTAAATGGTCATTTTTGGGGTGAACTACCATATCAGGGGTCATTTTGAAGGTACACATGGTGTTGGCTTTATTATGGACGTTATTGAATGTAATCTGAAGAGTTTTAGAGGGTTTAAGTGCACATGTGAAGATGATATTTGACACTTCATCCCCCTCCGCGACCGATTTCATCATGAAATGCCTGTTCTATTCTCGCGTCTTTCTAAAACCAGTCAGTCTTTCGAAAGCTAGGGCAGTTTGCGTGTAGCGATCATGGAGATCTGTCTGGTTTTTTCCGTTTTAAGGCCTTTTACTGCTGTGTTTGCGGGATTTATCTACCCTACATGCTATTAGCAGCTATGCTAACAAGTGGCATTTCTCTTGTTGTTCTCTTGTAATCCGAAGTTAATCCCTTAGCTGATTTTTGTAAGATATTTACTACTCCAAAGAAGAAGAGTTGATGATTTGTAGATCTTTTGTGCTTTTGGTTCATTCTCATAGCGGCAGCAGCCAGGACAGGTTAAAGCTTGGGTGTTTTTTTTTGTTTGTTTTTTGGAGGTCTTGATAAAAGTTGATCCTCTGTGATGGGTTGATTATCATTCTTTTCATTTTACTTCATAAACGTTTTTCTGTTTCAGAAGAAAGCGGTAGATGTTTCAGACATATTTCTTAGCGTTTCTGTTTAGGAGAGGAATGCTTCGGATGATTTTAAGTCTTAAAGATTGAATGCATTCACAAGTCTGTAATGTCTCGATACAACATTATTTGAAAATTAAAAATAACTTGATCTGTTAAAGGGGTCCAACTTGTTTTTCTTCAAGCTCACTCTTCACTGCATCTTTAAAACTTTTAGTTAACTCACCAAATGAACCGTGTTATCTTGTGTCCCTGTTCATTTATGGTGTTAGATAATTATCAAATGGGTGATTAAATAGGCCTATCGCTCATATGAGTCCTTGATGAGAGATCCTTTTTTTATCGTCGAAAGCAAATCAATTTACAGAAGTGATTTTATATACACTCACTGGTCACTTTATTAGGTACACCTGTCCGACTGTTCGTTAACGCAAATTTCCTATTAGCCAATCACATGGCAGAAACTCAATGCGTTTAGGAATGTAGACATGGTCAAGACAATCTGTTGTTTAAACTGAGCATCAGAATGGGGACGAAAGGTGATGTAAGTGACTTTAAACGTGGCGTAATTATTAGTGCCAGACGAGATGGTCTAAGTGTTTCAGAAACTGCTGATCTACTGAGATTTTCACGCTTAACCATCTCTAGGGTTTACAGAGAATGGTCCGAAAAAGAGAAAATATCCAGTGAGCTGCAGTTCTGTGGGCGCAAATGCCTTGTTGATGACAGAGGTCTGAGGAGAATGGCCAGACTGGTTTCCAGCTGATAGAAAGGCAACAGTAACTCAAATAACTACTCGTTACAACTGAAGTATGCAGAAGAGCATCTCTGAACGCACTACACGTCCAACCTTGAGGCAGATGGGCTACAGCAGCAGATGACCACACCAGGTGCTACTAGCAACTGTCAGCAAAGAACAGGAAACTGAGGCTATCCATCCTGCCTTGTATCAACGATTCAGGCTGCTGCTGCTGGTGGTGGTGGTGTAATGGTGTGGGGGATATTTTTTTGCCACACTTTGGGCCCATTAGTACCAATTGAGCATTATGTCAATGCCACAGCCTACCTGAGTATTGTTGCTGATCATGCCCATCGCTTTATGACCACAATGTACTCATCTTCTGATGGCTACTTCCAGCTGGATAATGCACTGTCATAAAGAGCGAATCATCTCAGACTGGTTTCTTGAACATGACAATGAGTTCGCTCTTCTCAAATGGCCTCCACGGTCACCAGATTTCAATCCAATAGAGCACCTTTGGGATGTGGTGGAATGTGAGATTGGCATCATGGATGTGCAGCTGACAAAACAGCAGCAACTGCGTGATGCTATCATGTCATATATGAACCATAATCTCTGAGGAATATTTCCAGTACCTTGTTGAATCTGTGCCACAAAGAATTAAAACAGTTTTGAAGTCAAAAAGGGGGTCCAACCTGGTAATAATAAGGTGGCCAGTGAGTATACAAAGATATAAATTGAGTGCATCTACTTTAATGTTTTAACTGAGGGTGTAATTAAGGGAAACACATAAACAAACAATAAACATACATTGCAGTCTTTATTCAACGTTTTTGTTAGTTAATGAAAATGGTTGTTCATTGTTAGAAGAGTACATTAATGCGCTGGCAAATGTTGAACTGTAATTAATATATGATGTACAGGCATTGTTCATGTTAGTAAACACATGTAAAGTGTTACCCAAGAAAGTCTTGTGTAAAAGGTGGTAAAAGGGCTAAATAGTATTACTGTTTTAGTATTAAAGGCACAATATGTCATTTTCACCACAAGAGGGTGCATATTCACAACAAACAAAGGTGAAATTTGATGACTCTGTGGCCAAGTGTGGAGTCATGAGAGTTGTCATCTTCATTTTATCTTATGGGACTCCTAAAGAAATCACGTTCATGGATCAGCTAAAGTATTCTAACTTTATTATAATGGTAATATGAAGTAGAGTGACACTGAAAGCTGTCGAATCGAAATTAAACCACTGAAGCAATTAAAGATGAGAGGTGAGTTTGATACAGCATGAAAACACCAGAGCTTTCTTTATGCCACAGTCCATCGCTTACTGTTGTTTCACGCGTTAACACTTGGGGAAGAAGCAGTGCTGATTTATCAATTTGAATAGATTTTAGGGCTCTGTTATAATGCTGCACTCTGCAGGTTAATAAAACACTCAACATAATAAAGTGTGTTTGGTGTTTACATTTTATAAAGTCAAGGGTGTGTGACGTCATTAGCACGACCACACAAGAACCGGTTTGTGTCAAAAGTTAATATCACTAATTTCTTTGGATTTGTACATTCTTCAAAACATTTGGAATCATATACTGTAAGTACACAGGCCAGCAAAATATATATATCAATATATATATATATATATATATATATATATATATCATATAAGGAAAACAATCCTACGTATTGTGTCTTTAAGTACTTAAATATGTAGGGGACTTTAATGCAGTGTGTTACAGGCCATTCAGTCTAACAGGATCGACCCGGTCTGAAATCTTCTGATTCAACGGTCCGTGGCTTCATCAGAAGACAGTGTGGAGCAGCAGCAAAGTGAGTTGTGCTCTATAATATCCAACATTTTTATCCTTTCATGGCTAATTATAAAATCACATGTCATTTGGTGAAATGTCAAAAACCCGACTAAGTTTCCTGGTTAGTTGACTGATACAGGCAGATGGCTTACCTGCAATATAAGCAGAAGTAGAAACTTCATCATTCAGGGTGATGTTTTTGCAGATTGTGTTACACAACAGTACCATCATTACACTGACGGTGCAAAGGTGACCAATTTAGGATCTTATTTGTGTTTGAAATAAATGAGGAATGTTTAGTGCATTCATATGTTCAGCATAAAAATGTTTAAAGTAATTTAATGATACAGGATAATTATTAAAACACTCAAATGCCACTATTCTCTCCTTTCTGGCAAAAAAAAAAACATCAGTATTAGCAGCACAACACATATACAATATATTTATGGAAAAGAAAAACCACATACTCAGACCTACAGTGTACTTCCTGAAAGAATAAGTGATCAGATAACTATCAAATATATTTGAAATGTAACTGACAGATGGTTGAAATCTGGTGGCTTGAATGATTGTGTATGAAGATTTCAAAAGAACTGTGTATGTGATTCCTGTTATAAATATTCTTAAGAAGATTTCTAGGTCACACTTTACAATAAGGTTCATCAGTTAATGTTCATTAATGCATTTACTAACATGAACAAACAATGAACAATACATTTACTACTGTATTTGTTCATGTTAACGTTAGTTAATGAAAATACAGTAGTTCATTGTTAGTTCATTTTAACTATTGAACTAACTTAGAACTATTAGATTTCTAAATAAAATGTTTTTGCACTAAATGTTTTTGGTAAAAAGTAGGTCAAGTTTACTTGCCTTTTTAAACTAAAATATCTAATAGCTTTCTATCGTGAATTCAGTATTTTTGAGTAATATCTAAGAAATAACCAGTAACCACTCAAGTTTCTTATTCAACTGAACTTTACTGATCCTCAAGCCAAATATATAACTCTCATATGTTATATGTTCATTTGTTCAGTATGTCAGGTATTCTGCTATCTGCTTTTGCTTTTACAGCTTTTAAAGTTGATCATTTTACTTGTCTGGTTTGTTCATTTCAAACCATGTTTCAGGACCCACAAGGGATATTGGCTGACAAACACAACTAAGACCATAGTACGGTTGCAAAAAAAAGCCAGTTTGGGTTTTTTGGGCTTAAGAAGGTGAGTTGGTTTTGGTTTTGTTGCCAAGGTAACTTAGGCTGCTAAACTGTAACCAAAGAGCTTAGATTGACCAAGAGGCGACACTTAATAGAGCGATCATTATCCCTCAATCTATCAATCTCTTTTTCTTTCAACAGTGTTTGTGGCCAGGGGTTTCATTTTTTTTTTTCCAGGTCTGAATGTGGAACAAATGGGCCGGGCTTGAGTTCCGTATTGACGTCACACCACCACAGCTAAAGACTCGTTACAGCAGCGATTCATTCGTACCACTAAAAGTGGACTCTTTTAGGATTTAGATGAATCTATAGTTTTAAACACGGCGCACTTTTAGATTTAAGCCTTAGCTGGATATTTCACTTTGGTTAAAGCTGTTACACACTGCATAAGGTCATTTTTAAAAACCCAAAATAGGGGCTCTAAGTTATTACAGCTAATTTAATCAAATTTAATTAATGAAATCAATTTAAATGTAGCTTTTAAAAGGACTTTTTTGCTGTTTGTGAAGCTACATTTGTAATCTGTCTTGTGATTGGCTGTTTGCTGCACGTTTAACACTTACAGCATGCACTCCACAGTTAATCACAAACTCTGGGTTTAACCTCAAGTTAACGGTGGAATTGTTTTAGTAATAATTGCGAAACCACTTAACCTGATCTTAACCAAGTTGGATTTGTTTGGTTTTGTTAACCTAAAACGTACTCTACAAGCCAGTTACCAAAATGAACACAGAAAAGACACTTAATTAGTGGCACAATGTTTTAGTTTTCTTTATTCTCCTTGGGGTGCGGCACACAGAAAAACATGAATAAAATAAGTGTTGTTTAAAAATGTCAAATGAACCTAAAATGAAGACAAGAACATCATATATTTACTTATATACTGGAATATGCCAACAAACGCCTCTATAAAAACATGGACTACATAAAGTGTGATCTAGGACGTTAGTCTCAGGTCTTCATCTGTCCAGCTCTACATGCTCATTGGTACTTTAGGCTTATGTTTGCGCACAGGAGACAATGACAAAGTTCAAAATAAAAACAAATGGATCAACTCTCACCACTTGGGAGCTTTGGGATCGTACTTTCGAATAAGACTCGCTCAACGCACATCCCCAAATCCACTGGTGTCTTTTAGTAAGTGGAGGTCTGGCAAAGCTTACATGAGAGGGGGGGAAGGTGTGTGTAAACATTCCTGTTTTATACTCGTGGTCCAAAACTACCTACAGTGTGATTGTATACGGTGCCCTTCACTAATATTCACATCTTTTGTAAGTAGGACCAAATATGCCTGTAAAAATATTATTTTCAAATATTATTATGATGGAAATAGGAGGCAATTGATCACAATGAATGACAGCAAAAAACAGAGCTTGTTGAGTTTCTGTAAATAGGAAGAAGGTATGTGAAAATAGCAAAAACCTTAAAAATGGCTACCCTCAGGGTGAACATTTAGCCATTCCAGTCAATTGGAAGTGTTCTGAATCAGTCTGGATGAGGACATGTGTCTATCCCGTCCCAAGTTTGTTAAGTTTTTAGGTAGGAAAGGCTGCATTCCAGTCCAATTTGTTATACCCTTCACTCGCTACCTTCCCTCCATCTCGTTCCCTCAGATGTAAGTCATGATTACGTTACAAAAGTGTCCACTGCTGTCGAACATCTGAATGGGTTTGAATGGAATGCCCTAAACCCTTGAGCACTTGTGAACAACACAGTTGTGATGTCACAATTGCAATGTATTCTGGGACATACAGGTGCAGGAGTGATGCAAAATCTGTCAATGTTGAGGGATCAAGAGTATGTTTAGGTAAGCTTCCCTCATTCACTTGATGAAGTGGAACGCACTTATAATGGCCTTGGTATTCCCCTGAGGGAACGAGGGAAGGGAAGATTACAAGTGTGTGTCTAAAAGTGGAGTGGAATACAACCAAAGTTTCAAACTATTAGAAAATTCTACATGAGCGTCTTCTCTCTTTTTTTTTTGTTCATAATCTGAGCATCTTTCCCCCCTCACAGCCTTCTTTGCTCATATTTATGAAAGATGCTGATATTAATAGAGGGCACTGTACGTATGGAGCGATGTGGCACTGAAAAGATTGGTGTAAATGTTTACCTAGTTGCCTTATTTATATTAGTATGTACAGTTTGTATTCAGGCATGTGTGTGTGTGTGTCTGTGTAGGTGAGTGTAAAGTACATACAGTGTGTGTTGAGTGAATTATGTGTACTGTGTGTGTTTGGTCAGTTCCAGATCTTCAGGAAACTGTCCCAGGATCCTGTGCACACGGCCATGCCATCATCTGTTACTCCCAGACAGCTCACACGATTGTCATGGCCAGCCAGCACTCCTGTTAAGAGACCAGGACAACAGACAGTTTATACTGGGTCAGAATAAAAGTGGAGTACATCCGTCATGAAAACAACAACAACAGATGCTGTGGGGTCTGTACACACCTTTCAAATTTTGGGAGTCAAGATTTTTAAAAAATGCTTTACCAAGGCTGCATTTAGTTGATCGTGGAGAGAGTAAAAATTAGGGATGCTCAGATCGAACAGCCGGAGATCGGTATTAGCCGATAATCATATTTAAGGGCTCAATCGATATTCTCGGATCTCATAAACTGATTGCAAGTGTTTGTTTGGGTTTACAAGCAGAGATGACGCATGTATATACATCAGCAGCTACAACATGCGAGGAGATAAATGATGCATGGGGTGTGAGCGACTGTTGCATGTCACAGTAGCTAAAATATATACATGTGTTGCGAACACTGTTTATATAGTTTATTGATGCAACTCGCGCAAGTGATGGTCTTATTGTTGCAACAGTTGTATGTCCAGTGCTTTGAGATGGTATGACACATGCGGAGCGATCACCATGACAAGAAATCGGTTATCTGTATCAGCTGATCACCATGACAAGAAATGGGTTTTTTGTATCGGCTGATCACCATGACAAAAAAATTGTTTTTTTGTATCGGCTGATCACCATGACAAGAAATCGGTACTCTATATCGGCTGATCACCATGACAAGAAATCGATTTTCTGTATTGGCTGATCACCATGACAAGAAATCGGTACTCTGTATCAGCTGTAAAAATCCTGATCAGAGCATCCCTAGTAAAAAACGTTCTTTTGCAAAATATGAATAGTTAAAATACCTACTGGTAACTATGTTCATATATTTTGAAGAGTAATTTATTCTTGCGAGTTTACGGTGGCTCTCGATCTTTCAGATACTGTTTTATGCAAACATTTGGACACCCCTTTGTGGCTGCATAGTTATGTGCTCTTTCTTTAAAAGAGAAGATCACTGTGAAATACCATTTCTAGGAGGCACATGCACACATGGGGCTCAACCTGTGCAGTGCACATGCCCTTTTTAGTGTTGGATAGAAAACGCCCTTGCAAAATGATCTGAAGTGCCATCCAGCACGTTTTTACACAACGAATGCCTTTCAGGCCACAACCCATCTCTGGGAAATGTTTAGATATTATTATTATTATTATTATTAGTTTGGGAAACAGCGTCTATTTATCAATATGGAGCACGTCTGACAGTCATGCACTGCTACAAGTTTTAAGGATTGCATAGGAGGGGCAACGCCACCTGTAATGAAAAGGAAGGGAATCCTGCTATTTTTATATTTATTTCAAAGTGTTTCATGCCTAAATAAAATGAAAGCACAGAACAGATTCACATTTAAAAGCAAGGGACGTCCCCTGGTGGTTTGGGGGTATGGGTTGCATATAGGGAGGATCGGCTCTTGAACGTTTTTTGCCATCCTTCATAAAAACATTCAAAACACAGGAAAATATCTTTACGGGATAATAACAGGATAGAATTGTAAAATAGAGGAGAAAGGGGAGGGTTGACAGGTATGGTATAAACGCAGTAAGGCTGCACAATATTGGAAAAACCTAACATTGTGATATTTTGTTTTGCTGCAATAAATACTGCGATATGAATATAATTTCACCAGATGACTTAAATAGCTCTATTTAGAAAGATTTCAAATATTTTAATCGACTAGTTTGATCAAGTCCTTTTCTATGCCTTACATCTGCATAAAAGCTAATAAACTAAGTATATATAAATATGACAGAAGACAAATAAAGGTTAAATAAACAGGACGTTATGGTTATCTGGGCTAACAGTATTCAAAAACAAAAGCTGAACTATCAAACGTAAAATATCTTAGTCATCATTGTATAAATAATTGTATGCGCAGGGTTCATACGGTCATGGAAAATCATGGAATTTTGACACGGCATTTTCCAGGCCTGGAAAAGTTTTGGAAAAACAGAAAAACCCACAAGGTTTTGGAAAAGTCATTACATTTAGATGTAACATTACAAGTTACATTTAGCAGACGCTTTTGTCCAAAGCGACTTAAGCTGCGGTCACACTAGAGCCTATGCTTGCGAAATTCTGTCGTACGATGGTGCGAAAAAGGGCGGGATTAAACAATATGGTTAGACGTTAATAAAAAGTGAGCAATTGCTCCATATTTTAACATTCTTATTTTAAATGATCTTCTATTAGTTTAACACAATCAAAGAATTCACCAAGCTTGAACTTTCGAATGCAGCAAAATGCAACACTTGTCACACGCGCTTGCATCTCCGGTCTGCCTATGAATGGAAGTCTATAGAGTGATAAAGTGCGGTGTGTTTAAAAAACGAATATAACAAACTATTAACATGATCTAAAATGAGTTTGACAAATACCTGTATACTGAAATGGATGTTAGTTATTTTTACTTTGCTTTTCTTGGCCAAACACATGCTCTCACATTATTAGTGCTCTGTAAGCATTATCTATTTTACATAAATATAAAAATAAACTGAAACTAAAGAGATTGTTGTGTGATTTATGATGTGCTGTAATACATTTAAATGTGCATTGTTTTGTTTTTAATGATTTACCATGTATACGTAGACACTAAATAAAACGTTAAGTCGTGAAAATTGACTTGAAAATCCTTGTAAAATGTGTTTGAACCCTGTATACAATATATAAAACAAATATTTAACGATATCATTTTTTCTATCAATCTTTAATAAATAATCCGGTAACACTTTACAATAAGGTTCACTAGTTAATGCATTTACTAACATGAATTAATTATGAACAACACTTGTACAGCATTTATTAATCATAATTGAACATTTACTAATGCATTATTAACATTCAAGTCCATGCTTGTTAACATTAGCTAATGCACTATGAGTTAACATGAACTAACAATGAACTACTGTATTTTCATTAAATAACGTTTAATAACATGAACAAATACAGTAGTAAATGTATCGTTCATTGTTTGTTCATGTTATTAAATGCATTAATTAACATTAACTAATGAACCTTATTGTAAAGTGTGACCAATAATCTAATCCGGCGATGTGACTCTTGCGGATACACACATTGCGATATCAATGCTCAAAACATACATTGTTCAGCCCTAAAATGCAGTATAAAACTATAAATTGTGAAAGGGCGAATCCTTCCCTCAGTAAACCTCGCAGATCCTACACTACGATTGATCCAGAACATCACAATTGACAAATACGGTTACTGTATTTTCACACAAGAAAACCCACCAGTGTGTTTACCTGCTCGCTCTCCCTTCATGGCATCCCAGATGTTGCAATTGAAGTCGTCGTATCCGGCGAGCAGCAGGCGTCCGGAGCGAGAGAAGGCCACAGAGGTGATGCCACAGATGATATTATCGTGAGAGTACAAACACAGCTCCTGATCCGCACGCAGGTCAAACAGCCTGCAGGTGGCGTCATCCGAACCCGTCGCAAAAGCACTGCCGCTGGGGAAGAACTGAGGGATGAACGAGAGAAAAGGGTAAGTTTATAAAAATCTTATATCCCCACAGATATGAACTAATGTGTTTTCATTTAGGAGTGACACTTCGGGTTTAAAGAATTTCTATTCAAGAGAACTGGAACAAATCATTCTGAATAATGAGCTTGCACTAATAAATAATCCATATACACAGTGCAAATGAATATACACATGGATGCATAAGGCCTTGCGCTTGGTGGTATTTTAACATAACTTCAGTATTATAAGCATATCTGTGGCCACTTTCAAGTTCACTGTGTTTTGTTCCTTCAGAATTTTCTCTTTGATGAAATTCCTACAGTACAGTAATATTTATTTGATGAATGCGTATGTAATTTTGCTGTGTTTTAAAGCTCCCATATCTTGTATTGATTTAAAAATGTTAAACTGTTTTCAGATATCTACATAATAGGTATGTAGCTTAAGTATGTGCAAAAAAAAATCCAGAAACTGTTATATTTGCTCATTTATAAGCCCAGAAATTATATCTGGAAAGGAAAAGCTTGATTTTGACCATATTTAGAATGGTCATGAATATTAACGAGCTCTGCTTTTATACTCTGTACACTATTGTATTTGGGGAAATATAGCCTTAATAATTATTATAGTGAACAAAAGGGGCTGACAGAGATTCAATTCAATTCAGCTTTATTTGTATAGCGCTTTTACAATGTAAATTGTGTCAAATCAGCTTCACATAAATGGTCATAGTAACTGGAACAGTGTAGTTCAGTTTTTTAGTATTTAGAGTTGTATTTTGAAGATTTAAGATATATGAAAACAGGTAGGAGTATCAGCGTCCGCATAAAAATTAGTTTAATAATGTTATTAGGCATACTTTCACACAAGAAAAATCACAATAAGAGCTGAGAGATATGACACGATGCATAAACATCCATTTAGGACTAATTTTAGCTGTTTATACATGTCTGTTCCCTCATTACAAACGTAATTATGCCGGAAATTTTACAATAAATACAGATTATTCCATCTAAATCAGGGGTCTCAAACTGTTGGCCCGGGGGCCATTTGCACCCCCTCCTCCCCCTCCCTATCATAACAAGATTTGGCCCACCAAACCATATATTTTGAAACAATATCATTGTTGTGCAGTTGCATATAAGGCCCATGCACACCACAAAGCTTTTTGCTCGCGTTTTCCCTCAACGTTTTCCGCCTCGTGACTAAATAAAGGGTGCCAATGTGATCGTGCACACCAACGTGCAAAACGGCAGGTGTAAAAGGGTAATTTTTTTTAAAATCTCATGCTCGTTTTTTTATTTTTTATTTATATATATATATATATATATATATATATATATTTTTTTTTTTTTTTTTTTTTTTTTTTTTGGGATTCGCCGCGTGAAAACCTTCACCAATCAGATTGGCACGTTTGTTCACGTGCACAGAGCTGCTTAACTGGTGAATAATAATCAGTTCTGCAACGCTAGAGCTGGAGCTGCTACTTGAACCATCCATGCTTGTTTAAATCACCAGTAACTTTAACAACAAGCTTGTCAACTTTCTGTCATCTTCCTCTGTGTTAAAAGCTGGTGTCAGAAGCTTAAAGTTGTGTAGCGCCATCAACGTCATAGAGTGATTTCTTCTGCTCGACGGCAGTAAAAATCACTTGGGTTTAATTCCGAACAAACGCTGACGATAAACGCAAACGAAAAGTGTCCCGTTGTGTACGAGCCTACAGCCCCCCACCCCACCCCCACACACACACCTACTGGACATTTAAAGCACTATACTATATGTTCGGGTTACTTTCGGTTTCTCTCAGCGTGCGGTAGAGAGTAACACATGTAGATTATTTCTGAGGCTGATTTAAACCTAGAAATATATGTCTGTAAGTGCTCTATTTTTACTCAAGCTGTATTTTTGAAAATATTCAAGGGTCATTTGATTATAATTAGTTTTATACCGCCTGTATTGTGTTGTACAAACACATCTGGCTTACGGGTTATGATGGTGGTGTTGTTGCAGTTTTACAAAAAAATTAAGATATTGAGAAGAACAATTACAGTAAAGTCACTAAAGTTAACAAATAAGTTACCAAATTGGACAGATTAATAATAATAATTATTATTATTATACCTATTATTAAATTGTAGTATTTTCATAACAATTTAAACTACCCCTTCAATATGTAAGGAGCTTTGACTGCATATTCACAGCAGAAGAATATCTGAGTGCATCAATTACATCGGGTTTCCGCTTATTTTGTTGTGCTTGAATGTTAAAGCGGTCCTCCTATGAATCGTCAGTCACTGATATGGCCCCCCACCAATTTGAGTTTGAGACCCCTGCTCGGAAGGGTGCCACTAAATAAATTTATAATCCATCTTTCCCACGTTTTGTGTTCTGACAAGCTTTAAACACATGAGAAGCATGCCTGCCAGCTTTACTAATCTGTTTCTTTTTAGTCTCCCTGCCTCTCCTGTTTCCAAAATAAGAGTCCCACATAGATAAGCTTGGATAAACTTAATAATAAGGGGAAAATATTGCTGTAACCTCACTAGAAAACATGGCCGATCAATCGCTGCCTGTGGTGTGCATATTAGTGATTCGATGTGGATCACCACAGTCTTTGTTTTTGTCTGACTGGCCTGTTTTTCACTGGGATTTTCCACTCATGGGAACTACAAGAGAACGAGGAAAGCCCGACGGCATGTCTTTTCCATGTGCTGATCCCAGGTTCCATCTATATTATACAGCTATACCTAGGTATATTCAGATTTCCATTCTATGGCACCTTTACATTTTGGGAGATTTCCATGGTCTGCTGAAAGTGATTAAATGTAATAAATAGCCTATTGTTATTTAATGGATGAACTAAAGAGGAAAACGACACCTTATTGCAGCACTTTACAGTTTAAGGGAAGCCACTTCCAAAAAATCACGCAAAACATCATGGGGCGTAAGCTAAATGTGGATATTCAGAAAGTTTTGTGTTTTACTTACGCAGGCGGCGTTGATGTCGGACTCGTGGCCGGTGAAGGTCTGTCTGCACATGCTGTCTCTGATGTCCCAGAGTTTAATGGAGGCATCGCAGGCCCCGGAGATGAAGGTTCGAGAGTCTGGAGCAAGAGAGAGACTCATGACATCTCCACTGTGGCCAGAGAACAGCGTGGTCTGCTGACCTGTCTCAATGTCCCACAGAGCACTGGAAAAAAACAACACAACAATGGTAAAACGCACAGCCCTGCCCAGGCCTAAAAATACATTTAAAAGAAGGTAATAACTGGAATTGAATGAGCAGTTTCTGTGGCTCTCAATGGATCATTATTTTGGTATTAATAATATTATTCTGGTCATATTAGATTTTAAAGTCACAGTTTAGCACGTTTTAGGAACATGAGAGCTTTATAATTGAATTACTGTTGCACAGAGAATATCGATATCTGAAATTAAAATGAATTTTTTATTGGTTGTTAAAATAGTAAGAGTACTTTCAAATGCAGATTAATGTTAATAAAAATTATTTATATATACAGCTGTAGTAAAAATGAAGAGACCACTTGAAATGACAGTTTCTCAAGATTTACAATTTATAGTTATGTGTTTGATTAAAATGTATTAGTGCTAGGCAAAAAGTAATCGCAATTAATCTCATCCAAAATAAACTCTTTTTTTTTGTTTTTATTAAATGCATAATTTCATAATTTGAGTGAGTGTAGTGTGTGTATTTATTATGTATATATATAAATACACGCATGCATATGAGAAAATGTTTATATATATATATATATATATATACACACACACACACACACACACACACACACACACACACACGTATGTATGTATGTATGTATGTATGTATGTGTGTGTGTGTGTGTGTGTGTGTGTGTGTGTGTGTGTGTGTGTGTGTATGTATATATATATGCACAACACATACTGCACACACATACATTGTCACACACACAATGGATTATTTTAGCACCAGGTTTCGATGCCACAGGTCTGAGCCCTGAAGCAAAACCAGTTAAGAACCACAGTAATATAGTGTACTATATGTAGTAATTGACAGTGAAGTTTCATATTACTGAACACACCAGGTTGTGTCTCCTGAACTGGTGATAATCTGATTGTCATCTATGAAACGGCAACAGGAAAGGTAACCTAGGAAATGAACAGACAGGAAGTCACACACTTAAACTGCATGAAGGTAAAGAAACATCTTAACACTCATAAGCGGTCCATTAGACCACTACCAACCAGTGTCAAATATTGAGTCACTGTGTAGAAATGACTTATCGACTGAAAAAGTAAAATAAGCGGTTACTTTTAATAAGTGCGCTAGTGTTTATCAGCCAATGATGAACTTCTGGTAAATGATTAACATGACTATTTTCAATTTCATAAGGTTCCTTTTGTAGCATCAATGTTGCAATGTCATTTAATTGCATTCAGTTTAATCAAAGTCCCTTTAAGACAAATCATTTCACTCAGAGGCCATCTCTGAAATGCCTCGTGGGCTTTATGTTAGGGCATTTTGTTTGAAAGGGGAAACATCAAATTCTCCAAAACTGCTTGCCAAGCTCATGATTAACTTTCATATTTGAAAACATCAATTAAATTAAACGACAACCGTCACTTTAGTTTCATTTTTGAACGTCTGAATCACACAAAATTTGTAGAAACTTGCATCTGGTCTGAGCCCCTCCCCCAGAGTGTCATCAGTCTATAGCGATCAATGATTAACTCTTGCACAAGTAGGCGGGGCTTTATTTGCCATATGGACCATTATACTTTTCCTCATTTAAAATGATATGAGTGGTCGGAGCCAGTGGTTAGTGTGTTGACACATGCACTCCGCTGCCCACGGTGACCAGAGTTTGATTTCACCTTGCAGTCCAATGCCGATCCTTCCCCTCTCTCTGCTCCCAATAAAGGTGAAAACCCCGAAAAAGATAATTATAAAAATAAAAAAATGATATGAATGACATGTCTTGAGTATTCTATAGTCTTTGGTTTAATAGACTTCAGCATTCATTTAGTTGTAGAAGCATAAAACGAGTTGAAAGACCGTGTAACTGGTAACTTACCCAACACTGCTGCCAGCGTTATTTGGAATATAAATATTTAAAAACTGATCTATTAGACAAAACTGTCATATTTGAAGACAAGCATTTTAGTTCATATTATCGATTAATGTCTAATGACCTGGATTCACTGTTTATTTTGTAGTTGTGTGTGTGTGTGTGTGTTGTCAAACCTGTGTGTCCAGGCAGCTCTCGGCTCACTCTCACATTGCCCTCTCTCGTCTTCAGGCTGTATATGGAGCAAATGTTGTCCAGTCCACCACAGGCCACAAAGTTCCCGGATGGCGCATATGCACATGTCATCACCCATGAGGACCGCAGCGGGATGGCATGAATCTGAAGTTTGGATTATTGCACATGCACAAATTTAAAACAGGATTTTTTTAAACAGGAATACTGTATATTCATATATAACTGAATATCTGGCTGTGTTAGGAATTATAATCGGATTTGACCTGATGGTTTTATTGTGATCTTACAATGCATTTTAAAAGAAAGGTTCAGCAACAAAATGAATTTATTTACACATTTCTCTTCCTCAAGTGGTTTATTTTTTTGTTGTTGAACACTAAATAAGGGCGCTTTCACACCTGTGAATCGATTCATTCATTGTGAAACAGGCATTAAAATTTTGACATTGTTGCACTTTGTTCTTGATGCGGTTCGCTTTTACACAACAAAGTTTCTTAACGGAGATAAAACAAGTCATTTGCAAGTAAACTCTCCTCACATTGGTCAGAGATTCAGGGTTTATTTTGCAGAGTCCTGCTAATCTGTCATGCGTCCTTATTTTAATTTATGATGATGAGCAGTAAAGACATCATAAGCGAAAAGCTGAGCTTTAATTTTGGATGGAGACACCTACAGACATCGTCAACAAGTATAAATCTGATGTAAGACTTTCTCATACATAGGAGTTGGCTTATGCATTATTGGCTTTTACATGAAACACACATTTATCGGTAGGAATGACCTCCTGCCCTACTCATAATTCTCTCTTCATATGCATATGGCATATCCATGATACACTGTAATATAGCCGGGCTCGGATCGTATCGCTTTCTCACTACAATAGATCCACTCCTGAGTTTGTGTCAATCGAGCGGAGACCACGTCAATCAGGCGATCTCGGACGATTGATTTGGCGCGGATCTGAGTGCGATTGCTGGATTCACATTTGCCAAACAAACCGCGCCAACTGAGCAAACGAGACAAAAGTCTAGGTGTGAAAGCACCCTAAGATATTTTGAAAACGCTGAAAACCGGTAACTGCTTACTTTCATAGTAGGAAAAACAAATATTATGGAAGTCAATGGTTAACGGCAATGGTGGACCAACAGGGTATTTTTAATGATGCTGATGCTGATATTGAGAGATCAATTTGCAAACTGAACGACGTGTACATAATACATGTACAGTCAAATATACATACAGTTGAAGTCAGTACATGTATAATACATGCAAAAAAATTCTACTAATTTATTTGAACATTCATTATGCATAAATTATCAAAACATCAATTAAATGCATTTAAGTTAAAACTCAAAGAATTGCTGATTAATGAAGGTGAAAGATTCATAATTACTGAACAAATTATTATTCAACAATATTACAAACAGAATGTGTATTTTCATGTATTTTATGTAAAAATATAGTTTAAATAGCTTTTTTTAACTGGTTGTTCCAATAATTCTAATAATATAACTTATCATAAACATTTATGCGTCTGTTTTGTTTTTTGTCTTGTCTTGTTTCATTTAAATAAAAAAATACAAGACTAAAGGTGTATCAGCATATTAGTAGTATTAAATAAAACAAGGAACATACTGTGTATGAAATGGTATATTACACTGAATATTACCCCACATGATGGATGCTAAATTTAGCTCTGATGTCTCGCAGAAATATGAATAAGAATGTTATTGTAACACAACATAGGGTCATGCTGGAAATTGAGGATTGGTTATTTTAATGTCTGTCAAGTGCTGGATTCACATCTGACTGGCTTTCCTTAAAGACACAGAAGTATAAATGCAAAATATGGAAAACCTCTACACATGGAAAGATTTACGCTGATTTTTAAATTCCACATATCGGCCGATAATGGAAATTACATATCGATATATGAAATCAGGTGTCATTATTACTTTGAAATAAGTTGTGTTTTGATACATATGTTTAACATTTCTAAAGTGTTATGTTTTTCTAAAAAGGCTGTCAAATAAATAAAAATTTAAATTAATAGTTTAATTTGTATTTTGTATGCTTTTGAAACTTAAAAAAAAAAAAAAAAAATTTAAATTTTAAGTAGTATTGAGCCAAATCAATTTAATTATTGAGTCAATTTAAAGTAATTCTGTTATTTATTGAGTAATTAAGTTACTTTTCAGACAAAGTAATTCTAAAGTAATGTAAATAAAAATGTAAAGATATAATTAGTAATAAATAAAAGTAATAAATTACTTTTTCTGTACCCAACGCTGATTACGTGTAACACAACGATGCAGCTACTGACCTTGTTTGTAGTATAACTGTCCCAGATGATGAGTTTTCCATCCTGTGAGGCACTAACAAGAAGCCTGAGGAGAGGAGAAGAAAACAGACATGTATTGTTATGGATAGATTATAAACAAAATACAACAGGCAAAATGGTCGGTGGCAGGCCATAAAGTTGATTAACTTGTCAAGTCTTGACAGATATATGAAACCAGTTGTTTAGTATTTCATTTTTATTCTACACTAACAGTTGCTGAGGATATGATCCAGTTTAGTGTGATCATCAAATACCAGAGACTGCTGTGTTTATATAAATGTATATTCTAATTTTCATTCATAAAGGACTATTTGTATTCTATTAAAATAGTTGGTGCAGTGGGAAGCGCTGTCGCCTTACAGCAAGAAGGTGAATTGAATAAGCTAAATTGTCCATAGTGTGTGAATGCAAGAGTGTATGGGTGTTTCCCAGTGATGGGTTGCAGCTGGAAGGGCATCCCCTGTGTAAAACTGAATGAGTTGGCGGTTAATTCTGCTGTGGCGACCCCAGATTAATAAATGGACTATGCCAAAAAGAAAATGAATGAATGAATATTAAAACAGTTTTGTACTGTTTATTGTAATAGGTCATATTAGATGTGCATTTGTATGTGTAATACATTTTGTAAAGGTATAGTTGACCCAAAACTGAAATAATGTACTCATCCTTGTCACAAACCTGTTTGAGTTTATTACTTCTGTTGGACACACAATGAAAACAAGTAGCCACTGACTTCCACAGTATTTGATTTGATTACATTTTAACATGTAGGAACATTCTTCAAAATATATTCTTTCCAGAAAAAGGAAGCTAATAAATGTTTAAAACCACTTGAGGGCGAGCAATCATTGAGTAAACGTTCATTTTTATGTGAACTATCCATTTTAGGTTAATGTTTTAATGACAAATGTAACAAAAACATAAAGTTATCCTTTCATACTTCCATAATGAGATTGTAATACACTTCTTGTCTTCATTTTTGTCATTATGCGACAGGAGAACTCAGACAATTCAAACATTTGGCTTCCTGAGATTTCTAAATTATCATAAGGAATTAAGGGGAATCATTTTGTTTTGTTTGTACACCATCTTTAGTTTCTTCAGAATGTCAGTAACTGTTCACTTCTGATTTATGAATCACCAAGAACCAGAGTTTCAGCTGAAGATATTCTTAAATGTTCTAAGACTCTAAGTGCGTCCCAAATCCCATACTTCTGCACTATTCCAGGGGCTCTCAACCTTTTTCACATTGAGGCCCACTTTTTTCTCCGAAAATTTTTGCAAGGCCTAAACTGACTGTCTTTATTTTAAAGCTTTATTTATTAGCAAAACATTTCTTTTGCCTTTTATCATTCCCTTATTTTATAAAAAAAAAAAAAACATTGTCCATTTGTATGTGTGTGTGTTTACTGTATGTATGTATGTATGTATGTATGTATGTATGTATGTATGTATGTGTGTGTGTGTGTGTGTGTGTGTGTGTGTGTGTGTGTGTGTGTGTGTGTGTGTGTGTGTGTGTGTGTGTGTGTGTGTGTGTGTGTGTGTGTGTGTGTGTGTGTGTGTGTGTGTGTATGTATGTGTATGTATATGTATGTATATATATATATATACTATTTCTTTTTTAAATATAATATAAAATATAATAATATAGATTTTAATATTTTTTTAAATGCTCAGACCGGTTCAAAGCTCCTGAATTTTTAATTCAGTTATTCTTTACAACTGCAGAGTATTTGGGCCTTTTCTTCAGTAAAGGAACCTGACAGGACTACATGAGATGGCAAAAACGCTGCTGCTGCTTTGAATCAGACTAATTTCTATTCATCTATTGATCTATAGCCATTAAAATAAACAACCTAACCATAACCCTACATGTAAAATACATTTAAAAAAATTCAATCTGTTGAAACATTGATCTGAAGGTGGTTTGGTTTGTAGCTGGATGTTGAACAGTGAACAGCTGTTCACTACTGAAGCACCACCGAGTTACCGCTCCTGTACGGTGGCGCGTCAGTTATAAAACACCCCCAAGATGTTAACTTGGACAACTATGCAGATATTTTGAATTGTTCACAAAGACAGAGCATGCATAGTTTGTGAATTAACGGACTGGTGCAATTCTGAAACAGTATGAGTCGCAGACATGAGGCACGCGCGAGCTGGGTTTAATAACTGTCATCTTTGTTACCTTTACCATTGTGTGACTGAGTTTGAATTATGTTCAATCACAGAAAACGGGAAATGGCATTACTACTATCATTTTTATATGACCTGTTTAATAATGAAATTAAATAATTAAAGTATAATATTTAGGTAAATTCTAATTATCTCACGGCCCACCTGCAGGATCACTGAGGCCCACTAATAGGCTGCGGCCCACCGGTTGAGAATCCCTGCACTATTCTACACCATTTTGTTGTATAAACAGTGTAAATAGTTTGTAATTACACTGATGATGCCCTTATCCAACCGGTAAACAGGAGTGTGGAATGTTGGACACTTCAAGCACTCAGCTGCAGCTTTGCTTACGTAGCGGAAGGGACACAGCATCGGGCACTGATGTTGGATTACTTTATTTATTTTAGATTGTGAAAGCAAAATTTTCCTATGAAAGTGCTTATAGCACCTCCCGAGTCCTGATGGTGATTGTGGTTCTACACATGGCAAGTATTCTTAGGTAGTTTGGTCATTTATTTCACTAATTTGGCAACGTTTGAATATCTGTTTAGTTTTAAAAAACCATTAGTGTTCCCTTTGGGAACACACTACATTCATATGATATGCTGTTGAGTGTGTAAGTGCTTAAGTACATAGAGTATAGTATGCCATTTAGGACGCTGCTCATGTCTGATGTTCTCCATCTTGGATGACCTGACTCGGGTGAGTATTTATTTTAATTACTATTATTCATTATTATTATTATTTCTACAGTATACATCTTTAACATTCACATTTTCATGTCAATCATGAAAATCAACTGTACATGCACTATTCCCAAGTCCACACAGACACAAAAACAAAGTCTTTAAAGAAAGTCATTTCAATTATGACTGTAGTGTGGGCTAAGATGATTAACTAACAAAGATAGTTTGCAGGTCAGTGTGTCCTGTTCATTGCATTGCATACTGTGCCAACAACATGTGCAAAACAAAAACCCAAGTCACGAGCCACTGAATCATACTCTTCTGCTACTTTTACATTTTTGCTTGTCTTTGATGCCAGGTGTGTTTGTGAACCGATGCAGGAGATATGAGAAGACAGCGGACAGACGTACCTGGAGTCTGTGCCCCAGTGCATGGCGTAGATTTTCGCCAAATGGCCCCGCAGTGTGCGCCTCGTCCTCATCTGTATCCTCCCCACTGGGTCCAGACCTGCTGTTATCTACCACACGCACAAACACTACATGAGTGCAATGCCACAGACCTCTGGAGGATTACACATACATCTAATTTCATCTCACCTGTGTAAGTGTGGAGTCTCCGCATGCTTTCCTGGCATCCTGAGGGACAGAAGACAAGGTTAACCAAATCACTGTACTGTCACTATTTGAACGTGGAGGTAAGGCCTGTTTCTAAAGTAGGCAAAATATCCCAGTACTAATGGAAGCCAATATGGCATTTTAAAAAATTTGTTTACAGCAGTGGTTCTCAAAGTAGGGGTCGTGGGACAATGAGGGGAGGGGGTCGCTTGGTGATTTAAAAAAAAATCTCATATATTTTATTAAACTATTATTATTATCATATTTTAGCAATTATTATATTTTATTTGTGACCCCTGGGGTTATTATGCTAGATTCACATCACAGCAATAGCGTTAGAGCAGTAGATTGATTTTACGGTACAATATTAAACTTTGACACCTTTCTGGCACTCACATACATTAAAAATTAAGGCCACGACAGAACAAGGAGGATGATCTCCAACTCTCCAAAATTAAAGCAAGAATAGTCTTTTCATATAAATATGATGCTCACCATTCTTATTAAGTGAGGTTAATATTAAATTAAACAAATCAATAATGATTGTAAAAAAGATATCGTTGTAGGACTGTGTTTTTGTGTTGTCAATATGCTTATGTTTATATCGTTTCTATTAGTGTGTGTGCACCATTGTGTGCAATATTTGTATGCTTATAACCACCTCTGAGCATAATAGGGGTCGCAAGCCCGTGGAGTTGTTATTTTAGGGGTTGCGGGCTGAAAAGTTTGAGTACCCCTGGTTTACAGGGCCCAAACATCTCTAAAACCACAATCCTGAATAAGCTTATGGCTTTGATTAAGAACTTTGGTGCCATACCATGGCTTCAGCAGGTACAATGATGGTACGCAACGCCTGAAAAAAGTCCCAAGCTAGGTTACAATTTCACTGCGCCTGCTGCATCTATGGTACAGCACCAAAGTTCCTTATAAAGACATATCAACCTAGAAAATAGCAACTTTTCATGTTTTTCCCCTGTGCTTTAAATAGGAAAATTATCAAAACTCTGTTTTGAAATTTTTTAGATGCTAATGGTCTAATCCAATTTAATTATTTATGCTAAGCTAAGCTAAAAGTGCTCACATCAGACCCGGAGATTGGATGAATAGATTAAAAAATGGTAAAACTCAACTGTTAGGGAAGTTGTAAAATGAGGCTACTTCAAAATAAAATGGAGCGCTCCTTTAAAGCAAGATCTGATTCTTTGTAAATGTGTTTATCACTGATCAGTGGGGAAAAGATCATTTTTAAAGAGATTTCAGTGATATCACTCCTCTCTGTGCCATTATCATTATAGCTGGAATGAGGACTCTGCTATTCTTTTAATTCAGAACAATATCATTATTGTTATACTGGGTTATCATTCTTATAGTGAACAGTCCTTTAGGGAATGTGCAGTTGCTGCAGTTCCCTAATAATAGATTGAGCTAAAGCAGTCCGAAAAAATAAGTTGACCTTCATACAAGTGTATTTAGCTGTGATATGATACATTAAGGATATTACTGCATGACATGATGAAAGGGATATTGTAAATGATAATATGGCGATAGATATTGACACGGGTGCATTTCCCAAACACTGACGTACAGTAATAAGTCGCTGAACTACCATAGTACAATGCATCATTCAGGGAATAAACATTGTATTGACAAGACTTTCCCGAACTCTGTCAGAGTTCCATAGTCTCAACCATGTTATTTACAATGCAAAATTTCTATAGTGGTGTGGATATGTAAGAGTTTGAGTAAATATGCATTAGCTTAGGTTTGTTTAAGTAATGAACACTTAGTTTGTTTGCTCGCCTTGGTCAACCTTTTCCCTACCATACTTTATTAAAAGAGGACATTTGCTTTCTTTTAAAAATATTACTAAAATATTACTAAAATATTACATATATAACATATATTTTCTGTCTCATATACAAATCAGATATATGGCCATACAATGACATGTAAAACAAAATGTGTTTATTTGCTAACTAGACATTCCAGAAATTCTATTTTACAACAGTGTAATTTTTTTTTTACTATTTAGTAAGTGTAGTGTTTTTTAATGATAGTTACTCATTTTTACTAATTACAGTCATTACTTCTATTCTTACCAGTGTACTCAAAACACTGCAGAATTGTATATACAGTTGAAGTCAGAATTATAACCTTTAAATTTCACTTTAAGCTGTTTAGAAGTGTCTTGAAAAATATCTAGTCAAATATTATTTACTGTCATCATGGCAAAGATAAAATAAATCAGTTATTAGAAATAAGCTAGTAAAACTTTTATGTTTAGAAATGTGTTCTCTCCGTTAAGCAGAAATTAGGGGAAAAAACGGGGGTTAACAATTCAAGGCCTACCATTTTAAATATAAATTGAAACCATGTGTATGTGTATACAGTTGAAGTCAGAATTATTAGCCCCCCTGTTTATTTTTCCCCCCAGATTCTGTTTCAAGAGTTCACACATAGCTGATGATTGATTATAAAGCTTGTTGGGCATGATGTCACAGGAGAGAGCCCTAAGCTCATAAGATCCTCGAGCCCAGGGCTCCCTCCTGTTTGCAAGGCGAGAGGGGAGTTTGAGCTCAGGTAGATCTCGAGAACTGCCCTGCTGTAGTGGCTAATGAACAGATAGCGATTGCTCTTAAGAGATAACTACTTACTAGGAGCATGTCTATGGTGCCAATTTGGATTAGCCATCTAATTTAAGTTGCATGTTTTTAGACAGTGAGAGGAAACCGGGGAACCCGGGGGAAATCCTTGTGAGCAGGGGAGAGTGTGTAAACTCAGCACAGAAACGTCAGCTGGCTTGGTAAGGACTAGAACCATTTCTTGCTGTGAGGCAACAGTGCTAACCACTGGGCCACCGTGTCACTCATCTAGGAAAGGAGGAGGAGTAGGGGTGGAAGGGGGGATTCCTCAAAACAAATATGGCTGTGATATGAAACTTAGGGTATTTATAATGGCTGAAGAATCATCTGATTGGTGAATCATAAATTGGATAATGTGAGACCAGCCATAAGCAGCCATAAGCACGTGATCCTCCCAAAATTAGTTTATAAATAAACTTCACTTAACAGAGAGATTATTTTTTTAACACATTTCTAAACATAATAGTTTTAATAACTCATTTCTAATAACTGATTTATTTTATCTTTGCAATAATGACAGTAAATAATATTTGACTACATATTTTTTCAATACACTTCTATACAGCTTAAACTTTATACATTTAAAGGCTTAACTAGGTTAATTAGGTTAACTAGGCAGGTTAGGGTAAATAGGCAAGTTATTGTATAACGAAGGTTTGTTCTGAAGTCAGTTGAAAAAAATGTGCTTAAAGGGGCAAATAATTTATGACCTTAAAATGGTTCATAAAAAATGTAAAACCTGTTCTATTCTAGCCAAAATAAAACAAATAAGACTTTCTCCAGAAGAAAAAAGTATTATCAGACATACTGTAAATTTTTCCTTGCTGTGTTACACATCATTTGGGAAATATTTCAAAAAGAAAAAAATTCAACTGTAAGTACTTCACCTGTAATGTAAATTTAAAGAAAAAAAAAAGCTACATTTCTTAACGAACCACAGCTATGTTAAAATTTGCAAAATAAATGTTTTCGCCGTGAATTAAGAAGGGCCCACGACTGTCAATCGGAAGGTCAATAAACTAAACAGCAAAAAAACTTTGAGAGCAAATTAAATCAATGTAAGCAAGACAACTTTAATCTTTCATATCTGTGGAAAGTTTGGTGGAAAATTTATTTGAATTATTACAAAAGCATTAATTTCTTTAAAACTTCTTTCTCACCATAAGCATCATATATTTAAAAAAAACTCATACCTTTATAAAGATGATATCACAAGAACAAATTTTACAAGAAGGGTCATTCAGACGGTGGTCATCTGCTTTTAAACATATGCATTTAATAGATGTAAATCTTGGCTCTAAAATCTAATGCTCTAAAGAGAACTGGGAGTCAACTGTGACGAAGTGGGCCTTGAAGCAGGGGAAAGAAGATAAAACCTGGTATCTGGCTAGCATGTGTGTCACACTCTGCAGCAACGGGTGTTCCTGTATGACTGTCAGACCTGTTCTTTGCAAAGAATAAAATCTTTTTGGAAGTAAACCTTGTAAGACTTTATTTGAAAGTCTTTATTTGAATTTGCCATGATAATAGTGAAGTGTTTGAAAGTAATAGGGCATAGGGGAGATAACTCAAAATAGAACACAGCCAGGAACTATGCTTCTAACTACAGGTCTAGTATTGTACACTCTCAGAAATAAAGGTACGAGAGCTGTCACGACGGTGGTACCTTTTCAAAAGCTACACATTTGTACCTAAAGGGTCCCTATTAATACCTCAAGAGTACATATTAGTACCTAAAAAGTACAAAAGTCTCCCTTTTAAAACTTTTAGGTACAGATATATGCTTCTTAGGTACCAATATGGACTCTTTATGAATGTGTGCCTTCTGAAAAGGTACCACTCCAGTGAAAGCTCTCGTACCTTTATGTCTAAGAGTGTTGTTTCAACCACACAAGATTGCAAAACTGTTTGCAAATGATTGTTAAAACATTCAGGACACACAAAATTGCCAAACTGTATTTTTAACAACAAATCTTGATCTTTTGGGAAATGCACCCCATGGTGATGAAGATCTCAGCACAATGAGTAATGAAGATCAATGTATTTGAGCATTATGAGCTCTGGCACTCACTCTGATCTGATTGCGCAGTTGCTCAGCCTCCTGACGAAGCTGCTCGAGCTCACTCATCTTGAAATGACCTTTAGCCTTTACCCTCTGACCTCTCTCACCTCCTCAGACACCTGTGGGTTTAAAAAGGACATATGAATAGCAACAGACACTACAGTGCACTCCTGTCGAACCCAGCTGAAAACCACAGAGCGTTGTAAGGCAAGGCAAGTTTATTTGTATGGCACATTTCATACACAATGGTAATTTAAAGTGCTTTACATAAACAAGAATAAAAGTATAAGAAAATAAAAATTAAATAATAAAAATGATTAATAACAGATTAAATGTGTTAAAACAGGTTATAAAAGAATGAAAAAGAAAAGAAAGACATTACAGTGCGATCTGTCAGATGTAGCACAGTGCTCATTCAGTAAAGGCACAGCTAAACAGATGTGTTTTCAGTTTTGATTTGAATGTGCCTAATGCTGTAGCACATCTGATCATTTCTGGAAGCTGATTCCAGCAGCAGTACTGTAGTAGCTGAAGGCGGATTCACCCTGCTTTGGCTGAACTCTTGGTACTTGTAATTTACTTGATCCTAAAGATCTGAGTGATCTGTTAGGTTGGTATTGAGTGAGCATATCTGTAATGTATTGAGGTGCTAGGCCATTTAGTGATTTATAGACAAGTAAATCTATTCTGAATGTAACTGGGAGCCAGTGTAAAGACCTGAGGACAGGTGTGATGTGCTCTGATCTTCTGGTTCTGGTCAAAATTCTGGCAGCAGCGTTTTGGATAAGCTGCAACTGTGTGACTCATTTTGGGAAGACCAGTGAGGAGTCCATTACAGTAATCCAGCCTATTGGTCATAAAAGCATGAACAAGTTTCTCCTCACTGGAAACAAAGCATCTGATTCTTGCAATGTTTTTGAGATGATTGGATGCCGATTTAGTCACGGCCTTGACATGACTACTGAAACTCAGATCTGACTCCAGAGTAACACCAAGATTCTTGACCTTATTTTTTGTTGTTTGACCCTTAGAGCCAAGGTACGCATTCACCTTGAAAACCTCATCTCTGTTCCCAAACGTAATGACTCACAGTTTTCTCTTTGTTTAACTGTAGAAAGTTTTGGCACATCCAACTGTTCATTTCATCAATGCATTAACAGAGGGTTGTAGGTTTGACAAGCAAACCAAACAGCTCCATTGCTATTTAAAATTATCATTACTGTTTTTTAAATAAATCTCACTTTTGGTTTTACAAAATGTAACCAAACAGGATTTTATCGCATTTAAATGATGTGTGTAATAATTTCAAAGCAGAGATGTGCTGCAGGGTTTAGATCACAAGTATGACATAATCTCTAATCTGGTATAATCTGGTTAAAAATCCATAATTTAATAGGATTACTGCTCTGAAAGCCGTTCAAAATCAGAAATGAGATCAGGACTTTAATGGGTGGTAAATAAAAACGTCAGATCGAGAAGTTTGCCTGACCTGAATCCTGCAGGAGTTTTTACACATTCAAATTGGCACACAAATACACACAGGGGTTTGCATTTGTTTGTTTACACAGTCAAATATGTCACAAATCATCAACCAGACACATTGTCTTTTGGCCATTATTTACAGTTATACTTTGCATGTTTTCATGTTACAAACAACCACACAGATCTGACTATTGTATCAAGGCTGATGAGACCTGTGAGAAACGCATGCAAACATTATTGTTATTACCTCTTTAGAATGCATACTTATTAGAGAGCATAAACACAACACTAACACAACACCACAGCAGGCTGAAAAAAATCAAGCCATATATATAAGAGCCAATCTATGTGAAATCTCCAGACAAAGAGAATGAAAGCTACATAAGTCACGTTAAAACTTTCACAGTCTATCACAGATTAAGAAGCAGCACTGCTATAATATACAGTTGAAGTCAGAATTATTAGTCCCCCTGTATTATTAGCTCCCTGTTTATCCCCTGAATTTAACTAGGTTAACTAGGCAGGTAAAGGTAATTAGGGAAGTCATTGTATAATGATGGTTTGTTCTGTAGTCAATTAAAAAAAATAGCTTAATGGGACTAATAAATTTGACCTCAAAATGGTTTTTAAAAAATTAAAAACTGCTTTTATTTTAGCCTAAATAAAACAAATAAGACTTTCTATAAAATAAAATAAAATAAAATATTATCAGAGATACTGTGAAAGTTTCCTTGCTCTGTTAAACATAATTTGGAAAATAATTAAAAAAGAAGAAAAAAAATCAAAGGGGGGCTAATAATTCTGACCAACTGTATAATGTTACATAACCTATCAATTCAATATATGGCTTAGATATGTGGAATCTTGACTGATTTTCTGTAGATGACTGAAAGCCCTTCAGGTCATTAAGATTCGCAGATTAAAATTAAAATTTGCTTTAAATTTACTCACCCTCAAGGCTTTAAAGATGTATTTTCATCAGCAGAATGTATACAACTATCAATGGCATAATATTGAAAAAGCTTAAGTTGCAATATTTAGATTTTCTGCAATTTACATTGTGATATTTCACAAGATAACTTAGTTAACTCAATTTTAGATTGACTAGGATGATTTTGTAGGGGAGTGCATCCGTATAAAATATAATAAACAAACTACAATCAGAAATAGAGTAAATATGCAAATAATGGAGTCTAACAGTATACAGATACAAAAATAAACTAACCGCATGTACAATAAACAAGTATAGTTCTCATTGTTTAAATAATTAAATATAATTCATCTTTGTTAAAGCTACACACGTAATAATTCCTTGTGTCCAAATGTCTCGCTTAAAAGGTTTACGCAGGCCTTAAAAACACAAGCAATTGATAAACTTACACTATGGTTAAACTGAAATGAATCTAAAATTCTCATGTGTTCTGGACTGAAACCTGACTCCACATTGCATGTACTGAGATTGTAGTAGCAATAATGATGCTAAAACGATATATTGCGAAGCCCTAATGTGGCTGTAGACTATATACAGCCACATCATACCGCTACTCATGTGATATTGCGTTTATACAACAGTTCAATGGCATAATAGTGTATATAAAAAAAGATAATCAAATATGGAGAGTCTAAAACCCCTTTTGAATGAGGAACTACTTTCTTCCGCCATTCATTCACATCTGCAGCTGACGTCAGAACAGCAGAAACCGTTACTAATTCACCAACATCATTTTAGAGCTAGTCTTTGAATGATTCTCTAGTGTAATGTCTAAAGTGATGACAAAACAAGCAATTTTGCTGACATTTTAGGATTATAAGGCTGAACACCATGAAATGCCATCAGTCTACAGAGATTTCTCAGTTTTTCTCTGTTGTAATTGAGAGATCACAATAATTATCCCTGAAAAAGCCAAAGCAACGCTAACACTACTAGATTACTGTTGTGTTTGCGATAAGAAAAAACGCTAAACATATGCAACCATTTCCTCTTTCTTTCTTTTAACTGAACTAGTCTGCAATAACGAAAACAGGAGACGCATTAGAAATAAACAAATGGCCAACCAAAAAGTAACCCAGGGTTTTACAAGGAGTGGCCAACACAAAATACACACAATCCTGATATCTGAGTCCATCTCACACACAGTACACTACAATTACTATGGTATAAATACAGCACTACAACATCAAAAGAGAGAGGTCAACTTAGAATGTAATTTACCTGATTGGATCGGCTGTAGTTAGAAATTACGCTGTTTTTCTCCTCTAAGAACTTATTATGATGTCTCTGTCGCTATCTTGTGGATGAAAACGTCAACTGTCTTTGCTCTGCTTGATACGACAGGCTAATGGTTGCCAACACACTGTCTCTCAGAAATGATAAATAATTGAAAATAGGCACTATCCTTGCTGCAATCTAAACAATATTTGCAATATTTGCCAAACTGTAGAGTGTCTTCTGCTTGTCGCTGTATGTGGGCGGTGTAATACACAAGGGTGAAGGGTAAAAGGTTGGACAAGTGCTGTTATTTGCAGAATATTTGCACAGCTATCAGCCAATCAGATTCAAGAACCAGACAGAACTGGTTATATATATATATATATATATATATATATATATATATATATATATATATATATATAAGGTAATAAGATAATTTCTTAAACAAACAAGGTCAGGTCAGTTTGCTTGATAAGACCTCAATGTATCAATGCAGCAGTCACAAGTATTTAATTTTTTTACTCCCAAAGTGCCAGTAGCCACTGATGTAGCATTCTGCGAATCCCTAAGAACCACACATTCAACTAAAATTATTCATGAGAATTTTGTACTGAAGACTAATTTCACCAACATCTTGGATGACATGAGGGTGAGTAAACTTTAAACAAATCTTTTTTGGGGGCGAACTATCGCTTTAATCAAGGCAGGGTTATTTATCATAGCATTTCATCATAATGCCTTCTGGACTGATGTGAAGTGTTTGAAATCAGGTAGACTAAATGTGCCTTGGAAATAGCCTCAGGGTCAAACATTACCTATTTATAACCCAACAGTTTTTTTTCTTCTTTGCAGTAATAATATTGTCAGCACTATGTAAAATAATACGACTTCATACATTAAACATGACTGAAGGGGGCTGTCAGCTGATGAGCACCAAATTGAGAGCATAACAAGGCCACCGGTTCAGGGAAAGCAAATGTTTTCTCCGTCACTATAAAACAGGTTAAATGTTTTACATTTACATTTACAGGCATTTTTATACAGATGAGCAGTGGAAACAGAAATTGTTGCATCATCACGTCGACAAAGCCTGGAAACAATTTCACTTAAATAATCAACATTCAAACACACCAATACTTACAATTGTCACTGGATTTCAGTTGATTTAATTAAATTAGTTCTTTTAGCATGAAGCATACACATAAGTACAGTTAACCCACAGCTACAGCTCAATGTAGTGAAATATCACTGTTCACTCTGAATACTGCAAATAAAAATGAGAACATAATCTTTAAAGTAAAGTTTACTGCTACTGTGAGCACAGCCACTGCTTTCCCTGAAACTGCAACCTGTTCATTCATTCATTCATTTTCTTGTCGGCTTAGTCCCTTTTTTAATCCAGGGTCGCCACAGCGGAATGAACCG